AAGTATATCCAATCTAATATTTAATATATAAATTTTATCTAAGGAGAAACATAATTATAAACTTGAGAGTAGCATGCAAAACTCTCTATATCAAACTCAATAATTTAGTACTTATAAATCATGTTGTGAAATAGCATATATATGAAGCACAATTTCTCAATATATATAAACAATGCAAAAAGGACCAAGTATTAAATTGAGGAGCAATGCATAAACAACTTTCTATTTCAAGCTAAAAATTTAAGTACACAAGAATTACATTCTATGAAGGAACTATATATAACATAATATCTCAATATGTGATATTTACATTAAAAAAATACTAATATCTAATAAAAAAGTGGTTCATAATAAATTAGAAGGCTGAATTATCCTCTAGTTTGGCCCCCTATAGTTGTGAATCTGATATATGAGTAGTAGGTGAAATACTGAGTTTGAATTAGATAAATCTAATATTAAGGTGATTGAAACTCATAAACATAACACAAATGGAGAATGGAGAAGGTTTATTTACATTTCTCACCAAATAAATTACCAACTATAAAAAATAGTATGTGAAATGTATTTTTTGTCATCCAATATCATGTTTGATTTTATATGACATTAGTTCACCAAGATAGATGGTGAATTAAAAATATTTATTTTTTTGTCTTTTAATCTTTGATGTAGATATAGAATATAAACAACAAAGTATTTCTCATGTGAATTTATAATGGTTCAATCACTTGTCCTACTTCACTCTCCAAGTATCACATATGTTCTAATTTCCTCAAGTTTCACTAAATTCTTGACAAATTACACATTTAGTTACAAGTTTTGCCAACCATTCAATGTATTTAATAACACCAACTAGCTTAAGATCTTATCCAAAAATTATCTTTTAAGTGCTCCACTCATCTCTTCTAGATTCACTAATCCAAGGAGCCAAAAAAAATTGGCATAACTAATGTCTTCTATATTCAACTCCACATGAGCTCTAAGTACCTATACACTCTAAATAAAAAGTTTAAACAAGTTTTCATTATTATCATTTGGCTCCTAGTTTTTTAGAAGCTTCAATCGTCTAATTTCTTGTTGAAGAAAGTTTAGCCTAGAGTAGTCAATGAGGGCTTAAGCAATAGTAAATCTTGATTACTTTTAGCTGCTCAAGGATGGAATAATCTAGTTTGGACTTGTGTTCAAACTATTCTCAATATCAAAAACAGTAGATATATTGTGTAATTTATCTTTAGTACTTTGAATCATCAAAATTATTATTCTAAATATCAAGATTGTGACTCAATGTGTTTACCTAAATATCGCACTTGAGCTGATTTGAATCAGTTTTGATTGATAAAATCATCATTTCAATAGGACACACATTATCAGTTTTATGTTTATATTATCATATTTCCTTATCAAAACTATTTTTAAACCAAAAGAATCAAATAGTAACATTATGTATTAATAAGATTATGTATTAGTTATCTAAATTACTTAGTAGACAAATCAAATCATATCTTCATTCATTCAAATTTATGTTTATTCTAAGAAAAATGGACATTGAAATATCACAAAAAGATTTAGGAGGATATTCACATATGATTTACCTATAACTACTAAGTATTTTAAACAGATAAATATTTGAACCTAAATGTCTTTATCTAACCCACAACATTGAGCTTTAGAGACAATACTCCATAAAAAATATAGTGAGAATGAGTGATGGACGTGTTGATTGTATAAACTCGAAAAGGTTTTAAATCATGATCAACCATTAAGCTCTCACACAATCTTTCTTGACCCATTGTGTGTTACTGTTTATTAAATATTTAGTTAGCATCCTTACAATAAGATAAATAGAAAAATTACGCTTCACATTCAGATGTACTCCAAGTCTACAACATCCTCTAAAACTATTTAATTGTGATATCTTCAGTATTTTTTGTGATCACAAGCTGAACATGTCCCTGTGAAAAGTAATTTTACCTCTTATAATAAAAAAAAAACTAGAAAGAAACTTATGAGTAAAATTCCAAAGGAGTTGAGCTTGATAATCAACAATGTGATATGACAATAATACTTAGTAGAACCCAATAAAAAAATTTGTTCTTGAAAAGTGGACGTAGACAATGAGTTGGACCACTTTAAAATCCATAGTGTTATGTTAAATGGTCTAGTAACACTATAGGTATTTGTAAGTCAATGGGAATATCCATTTAGATAAGAGATTTTATCTATAGATGAATGAAAAACAAATTAATTCAACCCCCCTCTTCTTGATCTTAATGCGGCATTAAATCCAACACTTACTATTAGAAAATCATAACAAATTGAGTTCTTCAAATTTTTATGTATGCTTGTTGCATCATACTTGTCTTTCAATGAGTGGTTATATATCTATTTATTGTGGCAATAATTTTTGTCAAAAATTAGTTTACTCAATTCATGCACAAATATTGATCATCATGCCCTTGATATATTTTATCGAGCTCATTAATATTGTAAGAAATAAAAATGAGAAGTTGTACTATCAAGATAGTGGACTAGGTCAATTGAAAAAAATCACTATAGTTATTGATTCCACACATTGATAAGATAGTTGAACTTTAGAAAGTAAATTAGAAAAAAATAAATTCATCCTTACCCCCCTCTTAAGTTATAACCTCTATAGAAAGAACATTGATCTCCTTCATATTAGTTCTTCCTAACCTCATTAGACAACACCACAACATTCAAAACTTAGCAACTAAGATTGAAGGCATGAGGGGTTCCAATCAATGAAGTATTTAATATTGATGCCACTTGATAAGGCAAACATGTGCATGAGCAACACATATATGAAGTACATGAACAAATGATGTTGGCAAACATAATGAGTCAAAGAGAGTGACAATACAAGAGAAGTAGAATTTTAAGGTGGTGATAACTCTTAGCTAAGCTGGATCAAGGCTTATCACTTATAGTCTCAATATTTTTGCCAAGATAGAAATATTAGAAAACTCATGTATTTTCTTCATAAACCCCTTAACAACATATATTATATTATTTAAATAATCTCAACAAGACAAATTGAAGATTACTAAATAAATGATGGAGTGAATGTTAAATTAGAGTAAGACATATTGAATGGAGGAATAATCTCACAAAGTATACTTAAATTTAAGCATGATAATAAAAATAAGCTTAAAGAAATGCCTTAATCTCTAAGTCATTAGGTCACTAATGCAATTTTCTCATGAAAGTGATACCTCTTGACATTCCAACATTAAGATCATGTCTCATTTTCCAAACACCTTGTGAAGAATATTCATGACTCTATAAACTTATATAAAAGTTAATAAATTTTACTCAAACTAAAGTTTGGATGACTTTTCCACACAATCAGCTTCTACCATAAAGTATGTATGAGTATAACACTTAGGGAGTCTACAATGAGTGTACGTGCTTCCTCTGACATTCCAAGTTTTTGATAGACCATTATGTTCTCTTAAGGAACCTTAATAGTAGTAAATTGTTTTTATGATAATCAAATTCATATGTAGAAATATGTAATTGTGTGTTCAGGAAATCTTTTTAATATTTATGCATATAATTTGAGATGGAAAATTGTAGAATTATATGAAAATCGTTTATTATTTAATATAAAAATTTGCCATTAAAATTTCAAATTATGCTACTTGATTAAAAATAATGATTGTAGGTTCCTATGATTATTTTATATGAACATTAAACAGCTAAAACAAAAATAAAATCATTATAGCTTTTTTTTATTATTTTAAATCAATTAAAAGAATAATCACTACATAGAAACCATTACTTACTTTTGAAACCACATCACTATTTTTATGCATATTTGAAGCAATGATTTATCACCATTAGAAATCGCAAATAAATGACTTAGAACATTGGAATGAAACTGCAAAAGAAGTACACATGATTTGCATCTTGATTTGAATGAGTTCTAGAGTGGAAATCATTATCCTATTTCAGAATATAATCCTGTATTTCACTTAAGTAAATTGAATTCCTATGTAATTAGTGGAGAAACATTGAGACATTTGTAATAACTAAGAACATGAGTTCTTGGTAAACTGAACTGAGGTCACTCTAACCAAACTACTAACCAAATTATGTGCCAATCATTATAATTTGAGCAAGATTAAGATATCCATATTACAATATAAGATTTAAGAAAAATCTATCATACCAATTCAAACCCCCCTCCTTTTTGGGTCTAACTTCAGCCATAAACTCAACACATAAAACCTACTTGAATGTAACATTTGGCAAAGTAAATCACATTCATGTTAGTCTAAGAGAGACGATTATGGAAAGAGATGATGCTGAGAAGGGAAGGAATAAATTATGATTTCAAAACAGAAGACATACCTTCAATTATGATCACAATAATGCAAATAGGTACATACAATTGGTTGAGTTCAGTATGGTCAGTTTTCTAAGATTGAATTAAAGAAAAATATTAATTATGCAAGACATACAAGATATCTCGACTTATCATTACCCTTATACTTATAAAATTGATACTTTTTCATTTTGCCCGAAATATGTTCTACATTTACATGTTAGTTAGGTGTTAACTGCCAATGGTGAAGCGTTCATTAAGTATGCCTTGTACTTCATTGACCTTTATAAGACTAACTTTCTCAAGCATTTCATAGAGTTTACAGGGCAAATGCAGGCGCAATTATCAACCATGAGTTTGTAATTCTCGTTGGACTAAAAGTAGTAATCTTCATCGCTCAAAAGATTACGACATGAAACCAACAAAGACCATGCGCAAGAGAGAGAAAGAGAGAGAGAGAGAGAGAGAGAGAGAGAGAGAAGGGTACATGGAATGTTATATTCATTGTCGCAAAGAAGCACGGGAGATTACAAGAAAAGCAGTGGAACGAATAGGAAAACACCCAACCAGCAGACCTTATCCCCGCTCCCCATCAACTATCCCCTTCAGCCCTCCCCCATCATTTTACACGCCGAAAAACTAATCCGGCCAGTGCTCACAGCTCATAGACCTGCTTGCCGGTGAACTTGACCTCGATTTGGCTGACGTTCTTCCCGATGGAGCGGAAGTTCTGACCCACCCCCTGGCGGCCGGGGTTGACCTTCTCAGGGTAGACACCATCCTTGGGGTGGAGGTACTGCACCTCCCCATTGGGGAAGACCCGGTAGAACTGGTACTTGATCTTGTACTTGGACCTGAGGCGAGTGCCCAGAGCCAGGCACTGTTCCTTCCTCGCCAGCTTCAGCAGGTTGGGGCCCTGCCGCATGATGGCGGCGCCGCCAGTGGGCATCTCGAAAACCTGCTCCTTGGGGGAGTCCCAGGTGATCACGTAGAACTCCTCCACCTGCGCCTTCCTCAGGAGGCCCCCCGTGCTGCCGGCAAAGATCGGCGAGGGCGTGTTGGGGTCCAGCTGCGGGGGGGTGAACCCGGCGGGGGCCTTTTCCTCCGCCGCCGGCGCCGCCGTCCCCTCGGTGGCGCGGGTCCGCAGGCTGCCGCGCGAGGCGGAGCCCAGCGGCTTTCCGGCGACGAGCTTCCACGGCGCCGCCACCCGCGCGGGGGCCGCGGAGGTGGTGGGCTTCGCCGCGAGCGTGGTGGGGGTGAAGACGGTGGCTTGCGTCGCCATGGCCATTGGGGGGATTCCTCGCTCCTCCTCTGCGAATGGTGGGTGATAAGGAGGAAGAAAGAGGGCGAAGCTTGATCTTAGATGGAGGGGGGGGAGGGGAGAGAGGAAGAGGAAGAGGAAGAGGACGAGAGACGGGGGTGGGTTGGGGATAGGATAAGGAGATATGGGACGGACCAATGGGAAGGGGTGATTTTGATCCGTCCTCTCTCCCACGCCATGTCTTCGGTCCCCCTCAGCGCTCTAGCTCGATCCTCTGAGGAAATTACACATTTACCCTCACATTTTATCTACGATTCCACTCTCTGCTACTGTCGGTGTGGGCTAGGGTTTCCAACTACGTCGCCCATTGTTTAGGCCCAAATAGTGGTATAAGATGGGCCGGGGTTTCTATTTATTGGCCAAGATTCTTGGGAAAAAAAACAGGGGACATGTGGGCAATTACACGTGTTTCATTCAGGGTTTCTACCGAGGGCAAGGATTTCTTGAAAAATTATAACAAAGAATTGTGTGGGTCTGTGTCCCAGGAAAATATCTGAATAATCAATAACCCCCCAGCAGATAATTAATTGCACTTACGACCGCAGGCCATTTTCATTTTGCTGGGAGAGGAGGGGGAGGGGCATATAAGAATTTACAGAGAATATCGATTATCACCGATACTTGGAGTATTTATTGGGGACTTGACTGAGAGAAGAACTCCCTCTTTTGATCCTGTGGACAGTTGAACTCACGGTGAAGAGCCGCCTGTCAAGGAGGTGAACCGGTAATTACAGATCATTTAAGGGCTCTTCCGCAATATTCTACATTTATAGTCCATGGTCCTTCTGATCATCAAAACTATTACAGAAAAGTCGAGGGTTCATAAGCAATTTCCATGTAGATATAACCCGGTCAAATTTCCAAAAGCCAGATGAGAGAAGTTGACCGCCTGGCCCTCTCTAGTTCCAGTTTTCTCTTTCTAACCCAGTAGCATGAGCTTGACCAAGGCAAAGACTGCAATGGAGATTCCGTACTGGGGCGTCAAAAGGAAAGGGGGAAGAGATGGCAAGTCAAGAATAAGAGGTCAATCTTCGGGCAAAGACTGGTAGAACAGCTTATAGGCCTCGATGACTTCCAGATGCCAGATCGCCTCCCTGTCGGGGTGTGGGGAGAGGTTAACCATCTTGTGGACCTGCCTCAGAGTAAGACCATGAATAAAGAAACATTTTTATTAGAAATTGGAAATGGTGATGAACAGTGCGAACTGCTTCTGTGTTCTTGGTTCCTAGATTACGGAGATGGAAGTCATCTCCCAAGAACAGACAGCCCAATTAATTTTAATTAATGTAGAATAAAGAGGGGATAAAACGGGCTCATCATAACGACAAGCTGCGTTTTAATCCCGAGAATTATTAAAAATAAAATAAAATGGTGGGCAGGGAGTCCAAATTGTGATGCATTTTTGAAAGGTGGGCTCGTGAGAGGATTCTAACCATGGTAATAACATGATTATAAAACTACCATAAATACTTCGCTTTTGAGAAATATGCACAAAAATGGCTCCCATTTTCATGCTGCACTCCAAATTATCGGACTATTTTCCATTCCTTTAATTTCAGTCAGATATTTTTCAAATGTGGACAAACTTCCACCATATAAAAAGTTTTTAAAGACATTGGGCACATGAGGGACTGATCTGAGAAATTTCAGAAAGGACACGAGAATGTGATTTGGATGCTTTAAACTCTATCAGCGATTGGAATAGGATTATTGGTTTATTAGCTTCGTCCTCAATGGAGGACGAGGATTTTTTTTGGGTTTTTTTATAGAAGAATCAAATAACATAAGCATTTTTTTACATGGAAGAAAATGCAGAATTGACAATTATTATAAAAAAGAAACAAATGGAGGCGTCTGGCTCCTATACTTTCTTAAAGATGAATGAATACTTGGTGAGGAACCATACTCAAATAATTCCACGCGGAATGTAAGCCAAAAAAAAAAAAAAAAGATTTCGTAGATCCAAAGGAGCATATGAGAAAATCCTTCAGGAAAACCTTGGGTAACCAAGAAGAAATGATAATCGAGTGAATGACATTAGCCTCCCTATGATTACACTGCTCCTAAATCAGTCTTCTTTCCTCACATAGACAAAAGACCTTAAGCTAAATGGATTCCTTCAGATTCCCTTACTAGAACGGTCCAAGAAAGGGAAAGAAATCCGAGCAAGTCATTTTTCAAAAGTAATGCATTCGTAAAAGTCAATCTCAAGATTTTATTGGTTTTCTTTTCCAAATGCCCTTTCTCGCAGAATTTAAGTCAGGCCAAGACCGAATATCAACTGGGTCGATGACACTACCCTCCACAAGTTTTGAAAGAAAAAGACCAAAGCTCTAATCAGTTGAAATTTTAGGTTAGAAGTTGATATCTATCTGGTTCAGATGAGCAACTTCTACAAAGTTTTACTGACAGTTTATTTAGGATGGAAACCTAGGAAATTCGTGTAAGGTAATAAATAAGCGAACATGTAGGTGAGCGTTAGTGTTTCAGATCCTAAGATCGTTGAGCTTTCAATATTTTAGGCATCCGTAGCTTGGCCCCAACTTATGTTGTAGAATATAGGTGAAACTGATATAAAGCAAACTGTTTTCATCGTAACAAAGCAACGGATAGAAGAACTGCAATCTTCTTCTGATGCAAAAAAACTTCACATGCTTTCGAAAGATTGTTATAAATTTTAAAGTAGAATGAACCCTATGTAATTGGTATCCGTGAAGGGACCAAGTGAGTAAAAGCTCCATTATGAACTTTCACCTCTGAGTTCTGTACCGCCAATGATCTTCGGACTACAACAGGTCTATATGAATGGTCAAAATGATGAGAAATATTCTCTCACCCTCCCGTTTCATTTATCATAAACAGATCAGTGGCAATACTCTTCGATGAGCCCGCAGAAATCATGATGAGTTTGGAAGAAGAGACATACCTTGACCAGAGGAATATCACCTGCACGCGGCACGAACTGTCCGACGGCCATCACGTACATCCCTGAGACAACCGAAATAGTATGAACAGATCGGGATCGGAAATTCATTCATTGGCAAATCACGTCACGAATGTTCGCAGGAAGGCATACCGACGGCCCAGTCATCGTGCTGCTGGTTCTCCTTGGACAGGGAGAGCACCACCAAGCCTGTCCCATCATCCAACACAAATCGCCCTCTCTCTCCGATTCCCACATCAGCCGCGGCCACCAAAACCCCCTGCCTGAACAAAATCGCCACACAGTCGAGCGCCGCCACGGAGAAACCCCAAGAAAGACGCCATTCGACAGACAGGCCATGGCCGCAAGCGCAGCATTGGTAGAAAAGGAGAGACCAGAGTTACTACCAAACAACGAGCGAGCGGAACGGACAATGGTGGCGGACACGCACTACCTGCAGCCACGCTCGCTGGAAGAGAATGCCGAACAGCGTCGAGGACGCAGCAGCTGTCGCGGAAGAGCAGGATGAAGCGGCGGAGGTGGACGGCGGAGTCGTCGCCGGCGACTCGGCGGCGTCCTTCAATTGGCCGCAGAAGAGCTTCAGCGCCGCCAAAGAGTAGTCCATGGAGGAATACGAGCTTCCGGCTAGACCGTCTTCTAGAACTCTCCCACAGTCTCGGCCATTATATATATAGAACCATTAACCGGGCCGGGCCCAAGCCCATCACCCTGAGAACAAATCTCTTTCCACCCAGCCCCGACTCACACCACCAATTGATTTTTAGCTCGAAGCCCGGAATAACCGGTCGGGCCGGGCTTCGGCATCACCGGGCCCGGGGATTAAGCTTCATACTTTGGGGGAATTTTTTTATTGAGGAAAAAGCCTCTGATTATTGCATGCATGGGGGATGATCGTCGTACATCAATCAGATCCTTATGCGGATTACAGAGAGTAGGAGGTGGAGGAGAAGGGGAGTCGCCCGCTTCGGTTTCCTTCGGCGAGGCGGCACTGGTGGTCGTGGGGGGGATCACCGACGCGGATTGGTGCCGCTTATTGGAAGCTATGAATCTGGGGAATATAAGCGAGTGGCCGCCGTCTCCCAACTGCAGAACGGGGAGGAGGATGAGAAGGTGGAGCGAACGTTAATGGCGTCTGAAGAAGAAGAAGAAGAAACAGGAAGCCTAAGAAGAAGGAAAATAAGCAGAAGAGCGAGAACGAAGAGAAGAGGAAGAAGAAGAAGAAGTAACAGGAAACCAAAGAAGACGAAGATGAAGAAGAAACGGGAAGCCTATGAAGAAGAAGAAAGGAGGAGGAACATCAGCTGGGGGTGGTGGAGGAAGGAGAAGAAGAAGAAGAAGAAAAAGAAACCGGAAGCCTACGGATTACCTTAAGGAGGAGAAGATGGGGGTTGGGCGTCAGCGGTTGACGGCGGCGGAGAGGCAAGCCTCGGCGCACATCTTGGCGCAGGACTCGAGGTTCTTGCCGTTGGAGCAGCGCTCGACGCAGTCATCGAGGCAACCGTAGCCGGATATGACCGGCACAGCGGCGAGCACCAGCGCGAGGACGAGGACGAGCCCCAGGAGGAACTTCGCGGCGGAGGCCATCTTCTTCCTCTTCTTCTTCTGCTTCTGCGAGGGGGTTATTGTTTGTTTGTCTCTGCGTTTCAGCTACCACCTTCCACCGCCGCCGCCCTCGTCTCTCTTCCCCCGCCGACGAAGGCCTCCCCCAATTTATAGACCGGACGACGGGGGGAAGAGGAGGTGATGATGACAGGTCGAGCGCACGGGGAGGAGGACGTACGGTCGGCGCTGCCGGAGAGGATTGGGTGGCTGGGAGAGAAGGGAGACCCGGGTCTCTCTCTCTCTCTCTCTCTCTCTCTCTCTCTCTCTCTCTCTCTCTCTCTCTCTCTCTCTCTCTCTCTCTCTCTCTCTCTCTCCATCTATCTATCTATCTCTATTTTTCTCTCTCTATCTGTCTGTCTCTCTCTATCTCTATTTCTCTCTATTTCTCTCTCTCTCTCGCTAGGGTCAATAAAATTTTCTTCTACTATCAACCACTAAACAACATGAAATAGAAATAATGTCATAATTATAATAATTCTAATTAGAATTTCAAAAAGAGGAACAGTCATAGAGTTTAGGTCATAGATATTAGGTGTGGATGAGCAATCATATCAAGATCATAGTTAAAAAATTACATACTTTTCTAAGTCATTTTTTATTGATGGATAATTGACACGATTATGTCAATTGTCTTAAATACAATTAATTGAGGGACTCAACACTAAGTATACAATTTATGTGTACTCATGACAAAGCCTGAGATGCATATAGATAAAATAGTCCTAAAATCCATAAGGAACAAAATTTATTTTAAGATTTCTGACCCTAAATCTAAAGAATTTAGAAACTTTGACCTTGTAATCCATAAGTACATAAGATCAAGTAGGTTTTCTTGAATCCACAAGAGAGGCACCATAATCCACCAGCAATAAGATAAAATCTTGAAAAATAAAGAAATTTAAATAGGCAAGTTTCTATTAAGGTGCTCCTAAAAAGGCAATTTAGTTATTTCAACATGTTAAACAGATTTCAAACATGTTTAAATGAATTAAAAACAAACAAAAAGTGAGAAAAAAGACTAAAAGTGAAAAAAAAAAACCTTTGACCAATTGATCATGTGTTTTATTGTGGGCTGGATTAGTTCATGGACCATCTCATAGATGTAGTCCATTCTTCACACTTCTTAGGCCTCTAGTTAAATATAATTGGATAGTGGATGGGCTACATCAATTTTCAAGGTAAATTAAAAAATAGATGGACTTACTTATAACTCAAGCTATTTTAACAAAAGTAAAAAATCATATATACCTGATTCATTATTTCTCTATTAAAAATTATGCCTTAATCACATGATTTTAATCTAATGAGTTTGAAGGGTCACAAGCAGATTTAATTTTTTTTGGGTGTTTTCTCAATTCAAGGTGCTTTCAAGGGCTTCTACAAGAAAAATGTTCTATCTAAAATATCAAGAATGTGGTAACTTAAACATTTCTATTGGGAGTGGGGGGTATCTGGCAATAAAAATATACAAATATATCATTTTATTAATTAATACTAATATTGCCTCACTAATTAGGAGTGATAATGGGCCAATATGGCCCATAGTTTGCCCTACCTCACCAACCTAGTTAAGGAACTGGTTCTTGCTGCCATGTGGCGGCCATCTATCTCTCTCATCTGTTTCTTTCCCACACTCTTGTTTTGTCATCATTCTCTCATCAAAATGAAAATGAGAAGTAAGTGTAGTTACAAAAATAAGAAATTCCAACAACTGGATCAAGGTGATTACACAATCTTTTTTTTTTTTCTGCATATGTGACTATGTTTGTTAGAATTTGCACTTACAATGTCAAGTACTTGAGATTGTCATGATCTTTGATTTCAAATTGTTTACAAATTCTGATTTTTAGCATTTTAATATTTTCATCATCATCTCACATGATCACCATATAATGAATATAATTAAACTACAATATTTTCCTCTTTCTAATTTTATAAAAAGGTGTGATCTGCACTTTTTTGCTTTTGACTAAAAGTAATATTGACTCTGTAAAATTTGCTAAACCATATATAAGTTTCTATAGCTTGTATAGTTTTCCTAGGATAGTGTATTCAAGTGGACACTACATATATACTTCTTCTTGAATGCCTTTATTTGAGAATATATTTTTTAAATCAATAGAATGCCTATTATTCAAAGTCTTAGCTACTCAACCATTCTATCAATGATTCCATTTACTTGATATTTGATGGTGAATGCATTTAGAGTCAACAAGTTCCTTCTGTTGGGAATTCCACAAGATCACATCGTTTGTTTCATGTGGGGCTGGGTAATCATACTTGGTCAAATTCCTAGTGACAAGCTCTCATGTTCCTTTCATTGCAGTATTTCTGAACAAATTCCAGGACGAGAAGCCTATAAGTCGTCTTTTTTCTAATATTTTTTGGACAGAGAAGAGAAGAGAGTAGGAGGCGGCCCGAAGAAATCTAGGTCAACGTGGCAGCTCCTCCCTCTCCGATTTTATTGGGTCTTTTTAGGGTCAAGCGAAGTGATGACGAGCAGTTCGAATTTGCAGCGCAGTGGTCGGCGGGGGACGGAGGAGGAAGGAGGAAGTGGGGATGTGCCCACAGATGCCGCAGTCGCGGCTGCTGAGCGGGACCTCGTCTTCCTCCTCCAGCTCCGACGGGGGATCTGGCCTCCTCCTCCTCTCCAGGAAGCTCGCGGCGACGCCAATCCCGTGGACCCGCCGCGATGGCTGCTGTGCGCGGAGGAAGGCCGGCCGCGTGGTGGCGTCAGCGGCGAGGGGGGAGCAGGACCACTACGCCGTCCTCGGGATCTCGCGCCGCGCCTCCGCCGCCGATGTGAAGAGAGCCTATCGCCTTCTTGCTCGAAAGGTTCTCTCCTCCTCCATTCCCCTCCCTCCAACGTTTTCTTCCATGGCCCTCCCCCGCCCGAATTGACCACAGATTTCTTCTCCGATCGTCAATGTGTTTGGCACTGCTGCTGCATTCCGAGCGAATGACCTTTGCTATTTGATCTATAGCCACCTGTGTTGCATATCGGTCTGCAGATTCTTACTGCTTTTAGTCAAGGTTTCAGAATCACCAAGAGATGCAGCTGAGGAGAATTTTTTTTCGATTCTCTGCATCCTTTGATAGATCTGTACTCTCTCCAATTTTTCGGGAGAGTTTTCCCATGTCCGTGAAAAACGAGCCACAGTAGAACGCTCATCACGAATGGAAATCGGCCAAAAATTTTGCGATACCATTCATCGGAAACCTTGTATTCTTCCCTTTATTCGGTGTTCATCGCCAGAGTTTCCTTGATTATACATAGGAAATCGGACTATGGTCAGGATGGATGCCAAACCCATTGATCCCCTTTTCATAAGAACTGTAAACGGTTTGGATCAAACCTGGTCCGATCGACTCCCTTGCTTCTGATCAATTAAATTCAAACCTGAGCTATTTCCAATCTTCTCCTAGATTTGTACACAAATTTAGATCTGTTTTACATGATGACTCTTCTAATAATAGTTTCCTTACACCAAGTGAGAATCTTAAAATTATTACAGGCCCATCACAAATGCTTCGATCTGAATTGAGATAGGAAATCTAGAAGTGGATCATCAGTATGTTCAATCTATGCAGTTGACGGTTCCTTGCTCATACTCGTATCCTGTGCATCTGGGTACGTTGGTCAACGCTTGAGATTTTACATGATCATCATAATCCCTCCCCTCCTTCCAATCCGGGGTCTTCGGGTAGAAATCAACTAATAAATTCTAAAATACAGTTTGACATTATAGATTACATCACCCATTTTATAGAGAATCTCCCACATCTTATTCTTACTCAGATTTTTCCTTTAATTCGAATTTTTCTTGATATTGTGCTTCTTCAAGCGATCAAAGCATTTTCCTTCTCTTTTTGCAGTATCATCCAGATGTGAGCCAAGATGCTAGAGCTGGTGAGCTGTTCAAGAGCATCCATCTCGCTTATGAGGTAGGTTTTCTACTTGCTCCTCATTTCCCTGGTTCCCGGTGGTTCTCTCTCTCTCTCTCTCTCTCTCTCTCTCTCTCTCTCTCTCGCGGTGCATAGATTTCTTTTAAACGTTTTATTTGGCTGTCCTACGTTGCCTCTCTGAGTTCCGAGATTTCCTTATTTTATGTGATAGAAAGTGGAGCCGGGATTCTGAATTCTTGGATCTGTCGGATCGTTTAATCCAATCTTTACGAGAACCTGGGGATTGATCCAGGTGCTGTCGGATGAGAAGGGAAGATCCCGGTATGATCGGGAAGTGAGGCTCCGGGAAGGAGCGCCGCCCCGGCCATGGCCGCACGACCCAGTGTGGACTGATGGGAGGATGAACCAGTGGGCGGAGCTGAGACAGCAGATGTGGCAGCGCCGCCGTGAGAGAGCCGCCGCCGCTGCCGGCTGGGCCAGCCGTCAAGGGGGAGGAGAGAGAAGGAGGAGAAGCTCCGACACCGAGAGGGGGCCCTTTGGGGAGGTCCTCTGGTCAACCTTCTTCTCTCTCTTCCTCATGAGGGCTGTTGGCGCACGGATTTCCCTCACAGTGACTGGTCTCCTCGCCTTGTTTGACCCGCGGCTGGACGGTGGCTACAAGATGGGCTACCTCACAGCGTGGGTGCTTGGTGGTCAGGGAGGGGTGCTTCTGGCGGTGAGCATCTCCTTTGCAAGCTGGGTATGGGGGAAGAGCAGCAGTGGCATTGTGGCGCTGGCGGTGCTGGTGATGTGGGTCAGCGGGCGGCTCGCCGCCACTGTCCCCCTCCCTCAAGGTGCGATCCTTACTCTCCTCTACATGTCCATGAAACTCCAGTCTGACGATCCCAAGTGAAGCTACTCAAGGTTCTCACCTCCATGAATTGTGCATAGAACCCTCTCTCTCTCTCACACACACACACACACTCTCACTTGCTTGCTTATCTCCTCAGTTACTTGTATATACTACCGCAGGCCTCACAGTATGTAAGAGTGAATCTATTTCCCAGTTCACTTGTACATGGATCTCTCTCTCTCTCTCTCTCTCTCTCTCTCTCTCTCTCTCTCTCTCTCTCTCTCTCCCCTTCATCTATCTACCCCCCCTCTCTCTCTTCCCCATTTATCTACCTTCTCTCTCCCTTCCCCATTTATCTACCGTCTCTCTCTCTCTCTCCTCCCTCTATCTTTCCTTCTTTATTTCTCTCTCCTCTATCTCTCTATATTTCTATTCCTTCTTTCTCTCTCTAGTGCGAGCATTCGTTGTTTGAAGAAATTACCGGGAGTAATTTATCTCCTGGAGGAAAATGTGAAAGCATTAATGGGCTCTTCTCCAGGCCCGATTTGGGTCGCAATATTGGGCCGCTCCAGCGATAGCACCTGTTCTGGGCTCCTTCAAATAGAGCCCACTTTAATCCGGTCGCTGTTGGGTCTGCACCGGTCATCCGCAACGGATAATCCGTAGCACATCCAGGGTTTATATCTCGGAAGCGGGCCCCACGTCAGTTTGTGAGCGCAATTATGCCACGTGTCGCTTCGAGGTTTCGTCACTCAGACAAAATCCCTCCCCCCGGTTCCAGCCGTCCTCGTCCGCCAACACCACCACCACCGCCACCGCCACCGCCACCACCGCCGTCATAGCCACCGCTGCTCCGCCGTGCCTCGCCGCTTCTGTTGGGACTCCTTCGGGTTCTTCTTCCCGCCATGGCTGCTTCCTCGCTCGTCGACATCGTTCACTTCTCTAGGGAGCATCCTCCCAGAGCTTCCTCTACATCCAAGGCCTCGCTCCTCCCTCCCCCTTCCCTGAGATGGAGGCCCCTCTCCACCGGAATTCTGTTCACGCGGTGTCCTGCCGTCGTATTTGGTGGCATCAAGGCGGCGCCATTCTCCAGATCGAATTCTCGGCCTCGATTGGTCCTCCTCAGAGCTTCCGCCTCCTCTGGCCCTTCGTCTTCTTCCTCCTCCTCCTCCTCCTCCTCCTCCTCCTCCTCCTCCCCTACGGGAGAGATGATGGAGTGCCAGAGGAGCCCCATGGAAGGGGTTCTGGACGCTGCGCGCCGGTTGCTCCAGGCGATGCGTAAGCCGGCGGCTGCCGCCTTGCTGATCGGCCTGCTTCTCGCGGTCGATCCCTCCGGTGCCCTAGCCGCCTCAGGGGGAAGGATGGGCGGCAGATCCTTCTCTTCCTCCTCGCCATCTCTTTCGTCATCCAGGAGCTACTCGGTTTCTCCGGGTTCCTCATCGTCCTTTTCCTTCTCGGCGCCGTACTATTACGCGCCTTCTCCATTCTTCGGTGGCGGGGGAGGACTCTACCTTGGGTTCGGCGCTGGCTCCGGGTTCTTTGTCCTCATGTTGGGCTTCGCGGCCGTCATTATGCTCTCGGGCTTCCTCTCCGATCGCTCTGACGACGGCAGCGTTCTCACCGCTACTGAGAAGACCAGCGTCCTCAAGCTTCAGGTCAGCAAGAGTTGCTTCCTTCCCCCTATTTTCCGTTTGGCTATATGTAAAATATTTTTCTGATGTGGTCCAATCTTTAGAATGCTACCTACTGCCTTCATTGATCATGAATTTTATGATGCAGTGCTTCCGTATAATGAATATTTCGTCTATCTATGTGGATATATTTTTCATAGTTTACTGATAAAAAGGAATTCATCTTAATCCACAGAAAGAAGGTTCTCTCACTGATTTGATGCATGAGATTTGTGATTTTGGAAGTAGAATAGGTGTCTATCTCCCCTCCCCTATTCTCCTGTTCGTGGCCATTTCTGTGCCCCTCTTGAACAGTGGTCTTGCTGGTTCTCTGGCAGTCTGTTATATATCATTTTTGGAGAGTCTCGTCTTATTCAGTTTCCATTTAAATTCGGAAAGGGAACGACTGTCATCAGTAATACTTCTTGATTTGTCTCCATTGAATTTTTATTATTCTCCTGTGGAATCAATCTCAAGTAACCCTTATCTCTCTGAGACATCACTTCTTGAGGCAGATTGCTGGAGAACAGCAGTGCCTTCCGGGTAAAATGGGAGAGTCAACTTTCGTCCCATGTTTCTTTCTGAGCTCCTTTGTCCCCTTGCTGTCGAGCAACTGTATCCTCCATTTTGGGATTGTCCTGCTGTGGTAATTATTGTGTCCATGGTGATGGTTTTACTTGGTTTAGTCTGAATTTTTTTCCCATGCTTTCAACGATTAGCATCAGTGACTTTATTACGACAGTGAGGTATATTGTTCATTATGGTCAGGGGTACAATTGTTGCTAGACTCCCGGTATTTTCAGTGCTTCATTCCGTTTCGTAGGTGGAAGAGATTTTTTTCTTTTATGCACGTATGGATACTATTCCCTCAGTTGAGTTTTATTCATAGCTCGCACTTAAATTTTTTTTGTTCTAATATATTTGTATTTGGTTCTATAATTTATGTTGGATTGGGATTTTCTCTCATTGGAATGTGATTCCACTTTTCAATCTTTAGTTTCTTGTTCAGCAAAAAATTTCATTGATTCTACCAGTGTTCTCAAATTTTTAATAGTTTTCATATTAATTGAAATCCTTCTTCTCTGCATGCAATCCAGCAAAATACCAGCTGTCCTTATGGTTAGACGTTTCTATTTTTCTTATGTCAGAAGATTTTTAGCGATTTAGTCCCTATTTTTTTTTCTGTTTTTTACTTTGACTGTATAAATTTTGATATTGGCATGCACTTGTGGAGACTGTGGAGCTGTAACCCCTTGGTTTAAGCAAGCACAGGTATTTATTAACTTGTCACATATTAATTCACATAAAAACGGTGATCAGTGAGAAGTGTGGCTCACGGGCTGACCGTTCATGCTAGTTTGCTGATTTCTGTTCTTGTTGATGAACATAATTTGTGCCTCAGAAAACATGATTTTTGGGCTCATATTTACGTTTAATTTATATTTATCACCGAAAAGTTTTTGCTGATGAAAATTTCTTAGGTTGGTTTATTGGGATTGGCGCGATCATTTCAAAGAGACCTTGATAGAATCGCAGAGACTGCAGACACATCCACTCCAGAGGGCTTAAATTACGTTTTGACCGGTAAAGTTCCTGCCGAAATTCTTCCCTTTCAAACAAAATACCCTTTTTAGATCATAGACTTCATTGGCGTGTTCTAGAATCACAGCCAGCATCTATGTTGCTTGGATTCCTGAAGCAAGGACATAAGTTTTTTGACGTGCACATCTCATCGGGACAGTGGGCTTCATCCTGCAAACATCATCATGGGTTGACTTATCGCGTATTCTGTTGACCACCTGCGTTGACTCGTGTTTTTCCATCTTCTCAGATGGTTGGACATAGTCAGCAGCCAAGATCGGCGTCACCTAGTTCATCGGATTGCTTGATTGTTTGAATAATACCTGACTTTTGGGATCCAAAATGATAAGTTGGGTGAGCAAACACGAAGAAAATGTCGAATGGGAAAAGCCAGCATAATTTTTTTCCCTCATCTTTTAGATTCTCCCTTCCTAATTAAACACCAGATAAACCATTGGGATCCCCGCAAACTGTCTATGGAACCTCTAGATGGATATGCTCACACAGCAGAAACAACATCAGTTATCAAATATCACCCCACATTGGATAGACATTCTAAAGTGTGATAGGTCTTGTTCAGAACGACAGCCAGAGGATCTTTTCTCAGAGAGTCTAAGATTGTAAGCAGATAACTTACCTAGTAATAGCATTGGCTGTGTATATTTTCCAAGGAAAATTTTCGTACATCTTTTATTTACCCCTTTTTTTTATTTGTTTATTAGTGGCCCAGTTTGCCGGTAACCGCTTGGAAAAAGATGAAACTGAGACTTTGGGTTACATATATATATTCATATATATCCATGTCAATTATGTGTATTATTTTATAAATTCGCGCTGAATACTTTGGTGTTATGATGCAGAAACCACACTGGCATTGCTTCGCCATCCAGACTGTTGCGTCTCTGGTTATTCATCTGTAAGCATATAACTCCCTCTCTCCCAATCATCTTCAACGACATCATCAGGCCTAAGAGCTCTCAACCCATAAGTATCTTTCAAGCATTACCTTTTACGTTCAATATGCATGCGGCAATCTAGATTATATAAATTATTTTTTGCCCTATCTGATGGCCACGCCCCTTTCCCGCGCTTCCATTATTACCCGATCAGGGAATGACGCCGCAAAAATCTGGCCTTCAGGTAGATGTCAAGCGGTCTGTGGACGACGGGGAGAAGCGCTTCAACCAGCTCTCGATCGAAGAGCGCGGGAAATTCGACGAGGAAACCCTCGTCAATGTGAACAGCATCAAGAAGAAAAGCTTGAGCAGCTCAAGATCCAACACATTCAGCAACGAATACATTGTGGTATGCTATTTCTCTCCCCAAATGGCTGTTTAATTTAATTCCTGTCTGAACCAGTTGAAATTTTTTTGGTTATTTTATGAAAGACGGTTGATCAGTTTTAAATCCAAAAAAATCAAATGTTTAATTTTTCTGGTGCTCCAACTAATTATTGTTAAACTATTATATATGTATGTGTTTTATTTTTTTATTTTATGATGGATGGGTGGTCGGTTTATATATATATATATATTATTATTATATTTTTTTCATCTAATTTTTATCTTCCTTTTCCCCACCTGAATATCGGCCAATGTCTCCTCCAGATAACAATCCTCGCGGCCGCCGAAGGAGTCCACAAGCTCCCCGTCATCAATGGCAGCTCCGACCTCAGAGATGCCTTGCAGAAGCTGGCTTCCATCCCTTCAAGCCGCCTCATGGTGCTGAAAATAAATAATAGATAATAGCGAATAATGATTTATTTATTTTCTCTGGTGTTGGTCTCCCCTAGATGATGTAATTAATTGATTAATTAATTAGGGTCAAAATTTGGTGTGTGCAGGCCGTTGAAGTGCTGTGGACCCCACAGAACGAGGACGACACCCTCTCAGAGAGGGAGCTCCTAGAAGACTACCCGCTTCTGAGACCCCTGTAGCCGGAGCACCCGAGAGACCAGGTCAGTAGCAGCACCTGCCCCCACCCATCCAGCTACTACTAATTTTCTCTGGAGAGAGAGAGTGAGTTTCTAGAGAGAGAGAGAGAGAGAGAGAGAGCCATTCTGACTGCCACATTGCAGATGATCGTATCATATTTAAGGAGATGTATATAAGATCCCGATATTGAGATGTCCCTCTGGAGTTGGGTTCTTAAAGAGCAATTCGTAATCTTGAAGAGGGTTTATATGTAAATTTGTGTACAGTGGGAATCAAGTCGGGAGGATCCCTCCTCAGACTCTTTTTCCTCTTTTTCTTTTTTCTTCCTTCTCTTTTTTTTTATTTGTATTTTTTTTTATTTACAAGGTTCAGATCCTCTTAGTTGGGCCGTCAGATCGCCCTTTCCCAGGGCCCAAACCCCGGCCCAACCCTGGGGACGCATTTTTTGGAGGGGAGAGAGAGAGAGAGAGAAGGGTTTTCTCGACCAGACAGATGCAGGCATGGATAGATAAAGATTTCCAGGGTTTACTAAGGTGAATAGTCTAGAGAGAGAGAGAGGGAGGAGTGTTCGCCTCATTCGATGAACGAACTCCTGACAGATGGCCCAACCCAGCCGTCTCCATGGGACAAATATCGCCCAATTATAGCAATCCAGGACCCCAGCTGGGATCTGACTGGATCAGTCAGCTCAGCAGGGCTCCCTCGATCGTCAATGGGGCCCAGACCGAGCTGGCAGAGACCTTCGGACTCTGCCTAGTCGGGCCTAGGCCAGCTAAGACCACCTTGGAGTCGCCCAGTTAGTGTACGTGGGAATCCTCTGGCGCTGTACGATCCCTCCGTGGTGGGCCCCACGGAATATGTGGAAGTTTCTCGGTCCGACAATACTGGTTACCAGGCCCGTTGACGAACTCGGTGGGGGCCTTTGACCCACGTTTGCCGTGAAGTCACGTGGCGTGGGCCCCACTCCACCTGCTCCCAATTATGGGGCCTACTGGGCTGGGCCCAGCACATCTCAGATGATCGCTAGATGATAATTGGGCCGGCCCACAAAGTCACGTGCGGACGTACGGTAAGCTTCGAGTTCAGACCCCTGGGAAGCAGCTCCCCTGTCGTCTGTATCACGTGCGATGTACGACACGTGTCGTTACCTGGCGGGATCCCGATCCCCTCGAATCGTTCGGCCCCCAAGACGAGCTGGGACTTGTTTGGTCGGTGCCCCCCACTCGTACATCCATGCACGAGAGGGAGAGAGAAGAGAGATGAAAGCTGCTCATTAATGACCCGAGTCATCCCGAGTCAAACCGAGTCAGACCGAGTCATACCAGCTCAGCCCGATTCCCCGACTACGGCTTTACGCCCCCTACGGGTGGCATCCGAGGTGAGAGTTTCAAATTTTGAAACCGCCCGTCAGGTTACCACGCCGAAAACGATATCCCGGATAAGACAAAGCGAGGCAGAATAAAAAGGAGAGCAGATGAATCTAACCGGCGGTGCGCGCTCCCTTCCGCTCCAAGCGGAGCACCCGATTCTCCCACGTTCCCGTCACCACTTCCCACAACGCGCACACACCGCCCCCCCAACCGTCCAAACAAATCCCACCATCCGCTACCCTCCAAGAGATGGAGAGAGAGAAGGCTACCGTGTTATCAACTGAAATAAATAAAGAACAGAGGAGGAGGGTCGTCGGGGGACGGCGGCGGCGTGGTTTGACAATTTGGGGGCGGAGAGAGAGAGAGAGGTAAGAAGTGAGAGAAAGAGAGAGGAGAGAGAGCGCCGCCGGTGTCTCGTGAACTACTCCGAGCAAAGTGAGTCCCGAGACCGGCGGGAGGGGGGGTTAGTAGGAAGGCCCCCCGCGAACCCGCCGTTCGCCGTCGTGTAGCCTGCCGCAGCTTCACTCGAGGTCATCGTTGACTTAGCCTCCCCCCCCCTTAGCATCACCCGCTCTCTCTTGGGAAGAGAGAGAGAGAGAGAGAGAGATTCCGAAGCATGTGAGGAATGTCTGCCCCCGACCGAGTCGACCCCCGTGAACAGTGGGGATTAATAGGCCGGGCCGGGCCCGGAGAAAAGAGCGAAAACTGGGTTTGGCCCGTGTTACGTGGCTCATTGTGGGACAGCCGAGTGAAGACGGGCTCCAGACTAGGTCCATTGACTTACGTTTTGGCCCGGCCCGATATCGATAATTACTAGTTGAGTTTTGGAGAATCGAGGATTTATCGGGTTTACAATGGATTTTCCTTCAAGTTGAATGTGATGGAATAAGAGTGTGGATGGGCCCCACACAAATGGACGGTTGAGATGCCATCAGGAGATGAGAGAAAAGTCGACGGCGGAGGACGGAGGTAGAATGCGTTTGACCGACGGCCGTAAATGTGAGAGAAGATCCTCTCCCTCTTTCCATAACGGCATGCCAGGTTGGACAAGATGGCCGGCCGGTGGGCTTTAAAAGCCCCTCCCCACTCCCACCTTCTCTCTTCCTTCGTCTTCACGACGCTTGCCTTCAGTCTCTCTCACTCTCTCTCACTCTCTCTCTCTCTCTCATCTGTTCTGCTGTGCTCTGCTCATCTCCTAAGCTCTCGCTCTGCTCTGATCGGCGTTGCCCCGAGAAGCTTAATCGAACGAGTGATTCCCTCTGCTCGGGTTAATCTTCCATGGTGTAGTGGAAAGATCCATTGATCTCCTGGCGGTTTGCTGGAGGTTCGGCTTCTGGTGTTGTGACGATTGAGGAGATGGGAATGGGGAAGGAGGACAAGAATAGAGAACGGATCGAGGCGGTCCTTCAGATTCTCAGGAAGCAGATGTCCCTTACGGTCAAGCAGGTGAGTGGCTCCTCAACTCTCCTTCTTCATCGTCCCCCGCTTTGTCGTGATTTTGAGCAGATGATACTTAAGCTGTTGTGATCCTTGTATCATCGTCTCAGAGTTGCTGGATTCAGCTGCAGGATGTAGGTAAAATTTCTGTGGCAGTACATCGATCGTCTCCACGTGTCTTCTTTGCTCCTTCGTTGGCGAGTTTTTACCCGATCTATCCGCTCTATATTTGGTCTTCTTGCGCCATATTGTCGCTTGCTAGGGACACTCTGTCCTGGACAACTTGGTAGTCTGTGGGAAACCTAACTCGCTACGTTTCTTCGGTTGTCTCTGGTGGTGGTGGCGGTCGCTTTCCTCGTCGGCGTGAAATCGTAGGAGAAGTTCTGTACGGACGCGTGCGTGGCGCGGTTCCTCAGGTACAAGGGAGACAACGCGAAGAAGGCAGCGAAGCATTTGCGGGCGTGCCTCTGCTGGAGAGATGCCATCGGCATTGGTCCGTTTCTACCGCGCCTCTTTGCCTCATCTTCTATATCCGTTCCTCGTCTTGCGTCGTTTTACGGAAGCGGCAGACGCTGCAGTAATATTCTCGGGATCGTGCTTTTTTCTTTTCGGAGTTCTTATTTCTTCTTCGAGAACAATACTTTTTCTTTTTTCCTTTGTTCTTTCCCTTTTCTTCGACAGGAGGAGAATCCAAATCTTAGTGCTAGTGGTAAGACGGAGAGAAAAAGAGGCTGATGAGTTCTCCCTTCTGTGCTTGTGTTGTTTGAGCAGAGCATCTGATGGCGGACGAGTTCTCCGAGGAATTGGCGGAAGGCGCCGCCTACGTGGCCGGGCATGACGATGACGCCAGACCCGTAATAGTAAGAGCCCGAAGAACATCAGCTGACTGCGTCGGCTCATCGTTCTTAGACTTAAAAACCTTTCGCGCGTGATCGCAGTCGATATATCTTCTTTTTCCAATTTATTTTTTATCGTTAGATCTTCTTTTCAATTGCCTCTTAGATTCTTGGGTGATGAACTGACGCCGTCCCCCGAATTTCTCCTCCCGCAGCTGTTTCGGATAAAGCAAGACTACCCCAAATTCCGTTCTCAGAGGTCTCTCCCTTCTTTCGACGACTAAAACGCTACCAGTTCCCACTGGTTGTAGGTAGCGTCCTCGTCTCACGGTCGCGAACACAATTCTGCAGGTATATGCGGCTGTTGGTGTTTACGCTGGAAGTGGCCATCTCGTCCATATCTAGATTCGTGGAGCAGTTTGTCCTCCTCTTCGATGCCAGTAAGCTCCCTCCCCCCCCCACTTCTCTCAATACCCACCCTATTCAAATGGCCACTCAGTCCACCCCCCGCACCTCCGCTGAGAAATCTGCGAGCACGAGGAAGATGAAGGCATTGCGTCGTCTCCTTCCCACATGGCTTTCACCAACTGACGAACAATCTGCCAACCGTACCACCCTCCACGCGTCCCTGTGCTGCGACGAGTCGAGGCAACGGCGGGCGATACAAGCAGAGGGCGGTCCCCCTCATCATCTGCTCGACGGAAATACCCCCGAAATTCCCCAGTCCCAGGGGCACTTCCAGTCATTTCCGTCTCGAACAGGTCCCCTTCTGGACGCCGGGAAGGACAGATCCTCTTTTTCAGACGTCTCTGATCCTCGAAGATGGAGGAAGAAGACATCAGTCAATGGGAGCACACAGAGTCCATCCCTGCCGCCCTGCACCGTAGCGCGCAGGGCAAATATTATAGTTGCACTGTAGAAAGCAAAACAGTTAGATTCCCGAGGATTATTGTCTCGATCCACCCCCCCCCCCCCCCAATTATAATCGTAGAAATCACTGGTAGGGAGATTAAGAACCACTAAACCCCCGTCAGCGATTTTCCTCCAGATATTGAATTCTCGTTTCGAAAACCCATCACGGTCGTCTTCTGAGCAGAGAATTATTCATTCATTGGCAGGCTTTTTCAGGTCAGCGTCCGCCTTCCTCAACCTGTTCATGGGGACCCTGAAGATCATCTCCGAGTACTACCCCGGCCGTCTCCACAAGGCTTTCGTCATCGACCCTCCCTCTCTCTTCCCTTACCTCTGGAAGGTACAGATCTCCGTCCTCCATCCTTCTCCTCACCTTTTAATCTTTCCTGCTGGTCACCATCATCATCCTCCTCCTCCTCACCGGCGCAGGGGTCCCGCCCGTTCGTGGATCTCTGGACGTCGACGGCGGTGGTGTGGTCTCTGGACTTCGAAGACTCGCTGGAGGAGCACCGCCCATTCGCCGCCGCCGACCACCACCGCCCTGGTACAACCTCCCTCCGCTTCGACCCATCCACCGTCTCCTCCGCCGCCGCGTCCACCAAGATCGGCGGGGGCTCCACCTCCTCCCGCTTCTCCTTCACTGTCTCCCGCTTCGACTCCCTCAAGCCCTGGTACCTCACCCGCACCGAGCCCTCCCCGGCGGCGCCGCCGACCCCCGCCACCGCCGCCGCTAGCCCCTCCTTCGCCGGGCTCTCCCCCCTCAACGCCCGTTCCTTCTCCTTCGCCTCCCCCTCCGCCCGATCCGCCGCCACCCCGCGCCACCGCCCCTTCCCCTCGACCCCCTCCTCCGGCCCGCCTCCCCCACCGCCGCGGACCCCTCGCCCATCCTTCCTCCCCTCCCCCGCGGCGGCGATGAAATTCTTCTCCCTGGGGAAGGACCCGGCGGCGGCGGCGCCCCCCGCCGCCAGGACCGACCGAGGGAGGGACTCCTTCCTCCCCTTCCTTCGGTTCCACCGCCGCCCCTATGACGAGACCCTCTACCGTTCCAAGATGAAGCCCCCTCTCGGCGGCCTCATCTCCATCGTCTCCTCCCAGCTCCCCCGCCACCACCACCATCACCGCCGCCCCCTCGGTCACCTCAGACCCTGAGAGCCCGACCGGGAAGGAAGAAGACAGACGGTAAGGTAGATGCATCATCTCTTCACACGGGTGACCGAATGAATGAGACCGAACGGATGAATATACGGGAGGAGATCGTCGTAAAAAGGGCGGGAAACCCCATGCCCACGAATAAATCGATCGATTATTGGCTAGGCCCTCCCTCTCTCTCAGGAGTTGTTGTTCTTCCAGTTCTCTGAAATATGTCTTATGCTCCTGGGCCCACCTTCAAATTTTGTCATTTCATTTTCCGTCCTCATCCCACCGTTGATTTGCGTTCGTATCCTCCCTTTTTTTAATAATAGAGAGAGAGAGAGAGAGAAAGATTCATACTTTTAAGCCCAAGCCCGGAGGAAACTGGGCCGGGCCGTGTTGCGTGCCCAACGGCCCGCATCAGAAGGGGCGCTTCTCAAGTTCCATATTAACATCAATAAGAAAATCGCAGCAGGATCACCTTCCTTCCTGGGCGTCGCCACTTGCCACGTCTCCCCACGCTTGGATCTTCTCAGCCCAGACCCTTACCGCCCCCAGGCCTGAGAGAAACCCTTAACAGCTTTACAGATGGCGAACAAATGGCCCAAAACCCTATATCTAACATTCAGATAGAGAGAATTAGGAGAGAGAGAGAGAGAGAGAACATATGACCCACACTGATGCCACTGCATGAATCAGTGCGGGTCCTATAGAACATGGGGTCATTATTGGGGTTAGTAAAGCCCATATGAGGAGGTCTGATGTCCTGTCTCTTCTGTAATATATTATAGAAACATGGGCCCATTATTGGGGTAAGTAAAGCCCATATGAGGAGGTCTGATGTCCTGGCTCTTCTGTAATATATATAAACAGGTCAGGATTTGGGAGGCGGGATACGAATGGAAACCATAATATATCCTCTCGCTAATCATCTACCTACCCATTTGATTTTCTCACGGGAAGTGAAAGCTCTCCTATCATATTATAGAGAAGGGAAGGGGTGGGGTCCGCACGAAATGAGGGATTGTCATCTCTTATCATCAGTATCAGCGGCCAATGCAGAATCAGAGCGTTCACCAATCACTCCTTCCCCTTAATCTCATCAACAGGGTAGAAGACACGATGATGATTCCTAGATCAATATGGGTCCGGGGCATAACCCGGCTTTTAATTAATAAATTAATAAATAAATAATCATGAATAAAAAAACACGAGAAAATCATACGAAAATCACTCCTTATGGAAGAAGGAAAAAAGAAAAGAAAAAAAAAAGAAAAAAGAATGGTTCGAGTTTAGCATTGGAGGACTTACTTGTTTGGGCAATCCATGGACCCCAAAAAGGCCTATTAGCTGCCGCTATCTTGGGCCCAAATCCTTATGGTTCTATCATTATCGAGCCCTGCGGAGGCGATTTTGTTCTCGGTTGGGTGGCAGGAGACGGAGATCACCGTGTCCTTGTGACCCTCAAGTTTCTGAATCAGATTCTTCCCTTGTAGATCCCACAAGTAGACGCAGTGATCCTCCGATCCGCTGACGATATATTTACCATTTGTCACCGAGAACGTGGAAGAGATGCAGTACACCTTATTGACATGCCCTGTGTATATCTTCAAGAACTTCCCCGTTGAATAGTTCCACAATTTCTGCACAAATTTAAAAAATAAAAATAATAAAATAAAACCCTCCCCCCCTTCCGGATTGAGAATATCAAGAATGGACCCACCAAACAAGAACCGCACATGATATATTTTTTCATTTTATTTTTTTCTGATGACCTTATCCGTTATATATAGCTAATAAGGGCGTGCATTTCTGACGAGCCAGAAACTGTATGAAGAAGAGTAAGATCTATCTATTAAAGGTGGAGAGAAAAGAAGGTAAGAAGAACAGGAGGTACAAAAACAGAAGAGAATTGCAGCACGGTTTAGTCAGTGCTCCATAGAACCCCCCCCCAACAGTAAAGTAATAATATGCTGTGTACATTGTCCTGCTGCAATTGGATCGAAATAGGGTTCAGGGAATTTGGTGGCTGGTCACAGGAATTACATGCTCAACAAAAATAAACTGGTGGAGTCTGTGAGAAAAACGTGTTGAAAAAAAAAGAAAAAACAGATTGAATACCACAACTTAGGTAGGCCATTCTTGGAAGATTCACATATGAGTTCAATCAGAAAAGACCACGCTTGAAGGCAGAGCTTCAAGTATTCAATTCAACATCTAGTGGAGTCAAAGCTAGAAAACTTTCTTCAAAGAAAGAGTTTGTGTATATGAATGTGTATGTGTGTGTGTATGTGTGGATTAGGTTGACAGTAAATAGTCACAGAAAATCTTCAGCTTCATTCCCAATCATATTTCATTTAAAGTAGATATAACAAGTGAGCCCCACCCAGCTATCTACAACTGAGAAAGAGACTTCTCCATTATCTTCAGTGATCTTACAAAGCCTGCGTGATTTGGCAGACAATTTTCCATCCGGAATCCACAAATCTTCCCAAAATCCACTCACAAGATTTCCATGATGTCAACCAAACTGGGAATTCGTCCTCAAGTAGGAGAAAAGGAGGAGCAGAAAGGACACTTCATGATCTATCTATTAACTACAATCTTCTTGTTATTTTCCTTGATGGTCTTCTTCCACCATGTTTCATCCTCATTCCCTGATCGCCACAGCCATTTCCACCAATGGTAGCCGATAAGGGAATTTTAAGGAAACTAGACCTACCCTTGTTGTGGTCAGTGCATCTATCTTTTTCCTGCTTTCTCGTCCAGTGTTTTTGGGATTTTTAAGATGGATAGGCCTGAGGTGGAGAAGATGGAGGGATTGGCTAGGAAGAGACGGGAACAGGAGGAGGGCTGCTGAACGACACAAGTAGATACCTGAGTTTTCAAATTACCTCTTTCCACAATCGTCATGCTTAATGAGACATGTAGTCCCTGATTCTATTCCCCAGGTAACAGAGCATCTGATCAACCAGAAGAACAGTAGTGGTGAGATACGGTGACTTCCATCTACTTTAATGGCTAACCCTTTAATTTCCTGCCAAAAATTTCATTTCATCAAGAATTTCTCACTCCAAACTCCCTGTTAGACCTAAATTATCCATAGTTTGATCACCTTGTATGAACTGTTGTTCTGTTCTATTCATTTTCATTCCTCATCTAGGTCCATTGTCTTAATTAAAATTCTGTAATAGTTTTCTTCATCAGAAAACCCTAGAATTGGGTTTCAAAAACCCAGTTAGTTCACTTGCATTCACTAATTCAGTGAAATCAAAAGGTATCAGATTGGGAATTTGGGATATCACTGTTCATATTCCTTCTCTGATTCATTCTTCAATCCTATGCCATCCCCTACAACCGTGTTTTTAATTTGTAAGGCATATCTTTAGCACTAACTGAACCTTGACGACCACTCTCGCCTGCACGCATGGCTTGCATTCCAAGGTCTCTCTGAACAGAGCTCCACAACTATCAAAGGAACCTCCTCCTCATGATATAACCTTTGTTGCACTCCAGCGATGCGACAGAGTGCTTTCAGGCGGAGAAAATTATCCACAAAAAGGTGCGAATCCAGAAGAGGGAAGACTTGGTAGAGTGGCTTATTTACCAGCGTACTGTCTAGCGTGGCGACGAGGATGAATTTGCCGTTGGGCGACAACTTGGCAAAGGAGACCGCGGGCACCTTATCGTCGATAAGTACTTTGAGGCACTTGCCCGAGGCGGTGTCCCATATCTTGCAGCTCCCGTCGTGGCTACCGGAGACGATGATCGAGCCATCACGGATGAAGTGGACCGACGTGACGGGCTCATCGTGAGCTTCTATCGTCTGGACAAGGCGCCCCGTCTTGACCTCCCACACCCTCACCGTCTGGTCGAAGGATCCCGACGCGATCAGATTCGACTGGGGATTGAAGTTGACGCAGAAGACGAAGGCCGCGTGCCCGCGCAGGACCTTCACGCAGGGATCCTCCCCGTGCGTGTTCCGGACGTCCCAGATCCGCAGCGTCCGGTCGTCGGAGGCGGAGCAGACGTAGTGGGAGTCGGACGACCAGGCGAGATCGGAAATCCCCTCGGAGTGGCCGGTGAGGCGCGCGATCTGAGCTAGGGTTTGCGTGCACCAGATGATGATGGTCTTGTCCAGGGAAGCCGACGCCAGAAGCCGCCCGTCGTTGGAGTACTTCACGCAGGAGATCGCCCTGGAGTGCCCCGCCAGCGTGCGGAACAGCCGGTAAGGCCGGTATGGCGGCGGCGCCGCCTGCTGCTGCCCGGTCGCCATGATCTAAGCTCCTCCCTACCCAGCGCCACCGCACACGGCCCGTTATTTATAGTCCCAAAGTGGGTCCCACAACGGCCATACTCTTCCTCAGTCCACGTCAGCCTGTGCTGTGTCGTGAACCAATAATAATCCGTCAGACCGAAACGCGGACCAGTGAGGATCCGACAAGATGATCGAACGGAGGAGCCACGTGGACTGTCCAGAGGGGGCCGGGGGCGGAAACACTGACGAGAAGATAAACTTCTTTAGTCCACGTCATCCTGTTCTGTATTGATGACCAGTAAGGATCCGTTATACCGAATCGGGAACTGGTGAGGTCCGACAAGAGTATCAAACCAGAAGGTTGAGATGTGGACCCTCCTGGGGTTGGCACGTCGAAATGGCGGAGATCCCGAAGGTTAAGTATTTAGTCCACGTCAGCATATGCCGTGTAGCACCGATAAGTATCCGTTATAGCGAATCGCGAACTAGTGATGGTCTGACAAAAGGATTTAACACTTAACTAAGATGTCACGTGGAGCATCCAAGGTGGCCCACGTGGAAATTCAGGAGATAGCGGAGATCCGGAGGAGATAAAAGCTCCGTCGTCCTCCGCCACCTTCACCGGCGGCGGAGCTCCGCCGCGAGACCAGACGTAGGTCGTCCTCTACCCGCCGCCGCCGCGGGGATTCCACCGCCCCCTTCAGCGCCGCCATGGTCTCCCTTCGCCTCCTCCTCTCCTCGTTCCCTCGGCCGCCGTGGCAGCGAGTTAATGCCGGCTCCTCCTCGACCAAACTCCGCGCGGCCATGGCCGCCGTCGCCGCCGCCACAGTTGGGATTGGAGTAGGCCTATCTCTGTCTGCGAAAATGGAGAACTCTGGGGGACATTTTATGTTCAATTCCCTGGGTAATCCTTCTCCCGTCTGGGCTTCTCTGTCTTTGACGACCGCTGCCGAGGGGACGCTGGTGGAGCCGAAGACTGGAGCGGAGTTCCCCGCCGTCCTGGACGGCACGAGGCGCCTCCTCGGTGTTGGACTTCGGAGGAAGAGCCTATTCGGATTGAAGAACATCGATGTATACGCTTTTGGTAGTCTCTTTTTCTTCATCAGTCTCTTTTCTTTCTGCTTGCGAATGGGAAAACCTAGCCTGCGCTGATCTCATGATACATTGTTCATATATCATATTTAACGAGAACATAGCTAGATTTCATTCGGTGCTTTTAGATCCCACCAACTGATTCATAACGCAGGAGAGTAATCTACCGTCGGAAAATACTGGATTCCTCGGGAGAGACGATAACATCTTTCTTGGCTTGCAACTGGATCTTATGATATCCCCAAAAATTAGATATAGATTGCTTGAATTTGGTTCAAGAGCGTGCTAATCTAGTTATCTGGGCCAGCTTTCTTATATATGCTATCATGTTTAAACCAGAGGGAGCGAAATATTGGGTGAGTTACTGCAACTTTCCAGAGAACACCCTATGATCATTAGTACTGGCCAGCGTCATATCTAGGGTATAACATCTTATGATCATTATCTGTATGCATAGTTTTCTCTTCCTCTCCATAATCTTGCGATGATATTGTTAGAGTGAGTGCATGTTAGGGTTTCAACTTATGAGATAGAGATGGAAAATCAACCATAGGTGAGAAGTATAAGCATTTACATACTGATTGTCATGTGGGAATCTAATGTCTGTGCTGAGCCCTGGAGTCTTAGAGCATGACAATCAATAGATCCTATGGAAATAAGGATCGGATTTGTTTGATCAAAAGAAATTGTTCATAATAAATAAGACAGTTTATGTTAAGAGTGTAAACTAAAATCTTAGCCCAACTCTTTATCCTCTCTCCATGGTGGAAACAGCATCTTCTCATCTGGTGTAAACGAGTTCTCTTATGGAAGAAATGTATTCAAATGTATTGTCGAATTTATCTGTAATATCCTCAAAGATCAAGAACTTGACCGAGATTTGATTGAAAAAAATTATCATCTCTGAATCGAAAAAATCTTGAAATAGGCAGATATAAAGGCTGCATTCATGTACGCCATTTTCATATAAAAAAATCAGGCTATTTAGAAAAAAATTAGTGATGAAAGGATGAAGAAGAAAACCTTGTAGCGGCTACTACTTACTATTTCTTGTGGGCAAATCTGGTTATTTCTTTCCTCTCTCAGTAGCTTATCTTTTTTCAGGTGTTTATGCTGATGATGGAGATATAAAAAATTTGAGAGAGAAATATCAAAATCTTACAATTCCTCAGCTGAAAGAATGCAAAGAGTTCTACGCAGATATCTTGGAGCAGGATATAAATATGACAGTCAGACTTCAGATCGTTTACAGTAGACTGAGCATTCGTTCAGTTCGCAGTGCTTTTGAAGAATCAGTCGGAAACAGACTACGGAAGTTTAATCCTGGGTCAGACAATGGAGACCTACTCAAAAGGTGGAACTCTCTCTCTCTCTCTCTCTCTCTCTCTCTCTCTCACACACACACACACACACACACACGTTGTCATTTTACTTCTCCATTAAACTTGAAAACTGTAGCTTCGCATAGAACTAGCATGCATGCAAAAGTATAACTCAGTCACATTAAAGAGGTCATCATGTTGGATTATTCGGATTCTTTGAGCATACAAGTAATTCAATCATTTCCCATAAGTTATCTTAGATTCTTTGTGTGCGGTTCAAAGCTCAAAACCTCATTTATTTGAAATAAATCATATGTTATGCTTCACATTCGAGTCCATAAATTCATAAAATCTTGCAAGAATGTAAAGATGACTACTACAGCGCATGATTGTCACCAAGATAAAATGTTAAGCGATGAGATCCCAGGAATTGATTCAATATTGCGCCTGAGGCTTAAACTTTGCACGAGTTTTGGTGGGCGGAAGATCTCTTCTCCTATTTTATGTAGATTATGATTGCAGTGTCATTATAATTTTACAAATGTCAACATTTTGGTTGATAAAAGAGTTTTCGATTCATCTATGAGCAATAGGTCAAAGTTGAAGGCTTAATTTTACATAGAAGCTAATTTCAATTTTGATGGCGGCTTCTCCTTCATGCAGAAAGATCACTTCTCAGTGATAATAGATCTGATATTATCTAATAATTAATTTATTTCATCACAGCTTTACGTCTTTATTTAAAGATGAATACAAGATACCACGGGGATCTACAATAGATCTTACAAGGGAATGTGGGCACGTGCTTCACACAAGAAGTAAGTAAGATGATTTTTTATTATTTTTTTATTTTTATTTTTATTTTTTGGAATGAATGAGTGATTGAATTATGCTGTCAGAATAATCTCACACTGGAGAAGAAAAAAATATAACATCATGTTGGTGGTAGAGATCGGCATATTTCCCTCATATATATATTAAGCGTTGATAGAAGATTTCTTTCAGTCTTACCTATTCTTCATTTTCTGGCTTTCATCAGACCAACTATGGGAAAATAGTGAATTATAATTATTACACTCATTGAAGGGATCAGTGGGATGGGCTGGTTCCATTCATCAAGGAGATCAAGTGAGCCTGCAGTCCAGCGGGGCCCAGTTTTATTTATACTTTTGCCTCAGGATCAAGTTATGATATCATGGACTCCACTAAAATCCCATGGATTCATTAGGGTTAGACCCTAATGAATCCATGAGTTACGTACTCTCTCTCTCTCTCTCTCTCTCTCTCTCTCTCTCTCTCTCTCTCTCACTCACTCAAGTGTGTAAGGGGGGGGCGTACCCAATCAAGAAAGGAAAAAAGCCAACAAGGGCTTGAGATAAATTCACGTTCCACTTAATTTTTATCTATTACTGTAGATATATTATGATGTGATCTTGAGGTCATCACCAGGCCGGAAAATTGATATATTTTGGGTATTTATTTCTCTAGTTGATGGAAAGGAGATTGGAAGCATCGAGAGCAAGCTCCTGTGCCGGTCCATATTTGATCTTTACATCGGAGATGAGCCATTCGATCGGCATGCCAAGGAGGAGGTTGAACTCAGTCTGGCTTCGCTTCTGCAGGACTAGATCTCAGCGACTATAGCAACTGGGTATTTTCCTTTTATCGTAATATTAGTTCATAATTTCTCAGCTGGGTATTTCCTCTTTTTCTCTATTAATTAAATAGGGGAAATCTTAGTGCTCATAATGGTATAATTACCTTTATTTTCGATTATGAAACCCTTCTGCTTCTGCAAGACTAGATTTCAGCGATTATAGCAACTGGGTATTTTCCTTTTATGGTAATATTAGTTCATGATTTCTCAACTGGGTATTTCCTTTTTTTTCTCTGTTATTAAACGGGAAAATCTTAATGTTCAGAATATTATAATTTTATTTTCCATTATGGACCCATAAAAAGAGAGCGAGCGAGAGAGAGAGAGAGAGAGAGCTGGATCACATCTCTCCCTTTGGACCTCATTTTTGGGCCCAAACTTCGGATGGAGCCCGTGAATCGGAATATATTTGAAATTGGTTGGTCTTCACGGATTAAAATATTTAATTTAAACAGCAAGGAGCTTATCGGGTTTCGGATATCGTCAACGGCTCCTTTTAGGGTTTGCTCTTGCTATAAATACGGGAGGAAGACCGTTCGACGGTGAACGACATCCGTCTGCAGTCTCTCGATTGTCCGCATAGCAAGGGTTTTAGAGTTCTTCAGATCTCATCTGGCTCCAGTTTCTTCAGATCTTTTGTTTCCGTCGTCCTCTGCTCGATCTCTTCTGTATTTTTTTGTATGATCGGAGGAAGTGATTAGTTCTGTTAAGGTTTCACCGATTTCTTCCAGTGTTGCTTGGGGTGGTGTTCAATTGAACCGGCGGAGATTCGGTATCCTGCTGTTCTTTCTAGCATGCACTTGATTCCCCCAACTTCAAGCAGTTCTCTCGATTGTCCGCATAGCTAGGGTTCCCCCTGCTGTTTGTTTAGGGTTTGGGATTCTCTTCCTGCCACAGTTTTTTGAATAATCTCGATCTGACGATTTTCAGTAACCCCGATTAAATCAAAATCAGCAGATGTCTGTATCATGCTGTTCTTTCTAGATTGTGTAATCGATTCCCCCGACCTGAATCAGTTCTTTCGATTGTCCGCATAGCTAGGGTTTCTCCTGATGTTTATTTAGGGTTTGAGATCCTCTTGCTGCCGCAGCCATGGAATGATCTCGATCCAACGATTTTCAGTGACCCTGAGTTCAAAAAGCAGGGGTGTGTTGATCTGTGAGCACATCCTTCGTAAATCTCAGGTAAATCGACGTGACATCATTAATGGGTGAACCCTTGGAGGCGTCAACCCACTGACTCGCGGTTCAATCAATGATGCGACATCTTCCTACTCGAGCGAAGCTCCGTCTTCGTCTTTATTCGTGTACTGGTTCATCCCTTGAAGAATGCTTCGTCGTGCACCATCCAATTGTCAAGTGGATCATCCTTCTAGGGTTTCATCTCTGCTCCTAGATGCATTGCAAGTCAACTCCACCAGATTGATCACTTCAAACTCATGGGTTCCAAATACCTGTCCGAGATCTCATGATCCTCCCGCAGCCAAAGCCATGGAATCTACCGGGTCTGGATAGATATATATATATATATATATAGTAAACTAGGGAATGGAAGCCCAAGAAAGAGTATCCGATGCCAAGAAAAAGGATTGAGAAAGAGGAAGACGGCAGGCATGGAGAAGCATCTGATCCTCCTACCACTAAAATAGGGGTTGAGAAGGGCAGAAGACAGACGGCGGGCCAATCTGGGTTACCATCATCAAACGTGTCTTTTTTCTCTAGAATGGTTTGAGAAAGCATCTGATCCTCTCTCTCATCCACATGAAAAGCTCTTAGCACTCGACGGGAACTTGGATAGAAATCACAGAGAATGAGATAGATGGCGGCAGTCTGGGTTACCAAGATCTAACGTTATGTATTCTTTTAAAATGGGTTGAGAAAGAGAGGAAGAAGATGATCGCCTGGGAAGATCCTCTCATCCACATTAAAACCTTCTAACAGTCAACCCGGAGGGGGGGGAGGGGTTGGAGATTGAGAGGGTGGTCAGAGGATAGAGAAAGAAAGAAAGAAAAAGAAACGGGCACGAGATAGAAATCACAGAGAACAAGATAGATAGATAAGATAGAGATGGCGGCAATCTGGATCACCAAGATCCAACGTTATATATTCTTCTAAAACGGGTTGAGAAAGAAAGGAAGGCGATGATCGGCAGGGAGAAGGGTTCCAATTGGATGGCACTCGCTAAAGAGCCGAATAATCATTGGGCCGCCCAAAAAAAAAAAAATCTCACTTGTAAATGAGCGCGTCCCTTCCGGGGCCGACGCCGATGTAGTGGATGGGCACGCCGACGAGCTCCTCTATCCTCTCCACGTAGCGGCGGGCCGCCAGGGGGAGGTCCTTGTAGGACCTCACCGAGGAGATGTCGGTCTGCCAGCCTGGCAGCTCCTCATAGTCAACCTGGAGAACAACGTGGGCAAGCAAGGTCAGGGGAGGAGGACAGGTCAGTTGACCGAGCTGAGGTCAATCATTCTCGAGTGCTGAAAATTGTCGGACTGCGGATCAAAACCATCGAGATAGAGAGAGAGCACAAGCATTTTTCGTAAATAGTAAACTTCATTGTTATCCTCAAAGAAAGAACATTATAAAACATATTACTCAAATATAAAAACTCAATTAATAATAATAATTACTCGATAACTAGTCAACGCCAGAGAAAGGGAGAGACCATGCACATTATGGGCTGATGGTAAAAACACATGAAATACAAAATAAAAAAAATAGCGCCAAGCTTAAATAAAAGGTTATATAATGCGCAAAAATCATCATGCTGAGATAAAAAATCAGATTCACCCCACTTGGAGACGACAAAACAGGTAATTGGGAAAGCAATATGAAAAGATGAGATACAAAAATACCTTCTTATATACATCTATTTTTGTCAACACGGTGGATACATGCTGAATGTCGGCAATGGGGCTAATTAAAAAAAATAAAAATATATAAAATAGGAGACTATTATGATCCAATATAATCAGATTCATATCAAAATTCAGCGCCATGATGAGCAGAGTTGGAGACCGAGACCCTCAATGCTATTGATTTAAAGGGTTCGATGCAGAAATTTCAATACTTAGCAAGACATCTAGAAAACACCTCCATCTTTGGATGGTCAACATGGGCGCTGACTTTTAGAGCTACCTAGGCATTTATGAGGATGGTGGTGGTTCCACATGGAATTCAATTTCCCTATCAGAATGGAAGCAGAAAGTCCTAGAATATAGAACCGGATCATAATCTCAGCCTCCTTTGCTAGGAGATGAAACCCCTATTCGGCCTGAATAAGGGAATGGAGCCTTCAAATGCCCGGCAATTCAATTCACCGTCTACTCACTGTCCTAGGAAGGAGTTAGCCAATATTCCTTAAAGAACCATCAAGTAAACGGCTGTAAAGTCTGTGCAGGAGAAAGAAAAGGCTTGCCTGCAGCTGCTCCAGTGTCTGCAGATCCGAAGGGAACGACTCTATCCTTTTACCATCAATCAAGTGGTAGGAGATGCCCAGCTTAACCTCCTGAAGATCTGACAGGACGTCGAGCTTGGTAAGGTTGAGAGATGAGAACCCATTGATCTGGCAGCAGTACTTGAGGGCAACCACGTCGAGCCAACCGCAGCGCCGCGGGCGGCCAGTGGTCGTCCCGAACTCCATTCCCGCCGTCCTCAGGAGGTCCCCCCCCTTCCCCAGGATCTCTGTCGGTAATGGGCCCTCACCAACTCTGGTCGTGTACGCCTTCACCTGCCCACAGAAGAAGAACAGAGTGACCCGACCAACCAAATGGCAAGAGGCAAAAAAAAAAAAAAAAGCAATCATCTTGCTTCCACCCTTACCACCCCAATGAGGTCGCCGAGCCGTCGGGGGGCAAGCCCGAGCCCAGTACAAATTCCACCTGCCGAGGGGCTTGAGGAGGTCACAAAGGGGTAGGTGCCGAAGTCAATGTCCAGCATGGTGGCCTGGCCCCCTTCAACGAGGATCTTCTTCTGGTTCAGGATGCAGTCGTTGATTACGTGGACTGTGTCGGCAATGAAGGGCTCCAACCTCTCAGCGAACCTCTTGTACCTCTCAACCTCCTCCTGGAGCATGCTGGAGCTGTAATTGAACCCTGGGAAGCGGGCTGCCGCATCCCTTAGGAGGGTATCCAGTTTGTAGGCAAAGGAGTCCATGTGCCTCAGATCTCCAACACGCACCCCGTTCCTGATCACCTTGCTCGAGTAGCAGGGGCCGATGCCCCTCTTTGTCGTGCCAATGAAGGAGTTTCCCAGCTCCACCTCCCGGAGACCGTCAACCCTCTGATGGAAATCGAACAGCAGGTGGGCGCGGTCAGAGACCAGGATGCGGCCTTCGCAGGAGACCCCATTGGCCTCAAGGTCGTCGATCTCCTTGAACAGCCCAGGGAGGTGGACTACCACTCCATTCCCGATCACACACAGGGTCTGCTCGTTGAGGATCCCAGATGGAACCAGGTGGAGGGCAAACTTCTTCCCTTCCGAGTTATAGATCGTGTGCCCTGCATTTGCACCGCCCTGGTAGAAGGAACACATGATTAATGTGCTCAGAACTGCCCCCTGGTGTTCTGCTAATTACAGAAAATGATCTAATCTATCATTAGAAAGATCTCAGTCTAAGTTACACACGGAAATTTCTTGTTTTTTTTTTAAGTATGTTCTTCGACCAGATGCAATTCATGAACATGGTAGAAAGAATGCATGATTTCTGTGCTCGGAATAGCCCCGTGGTGCTCTGATAATTTTATAAATGATGTAATCTTTGATTATAAATATTTCAACCCAAATTGCACGGAGATTTTTTTTTTTAAAAAAAAAAACTATGTTCTTCTGCAGATGCAGTACAGGGGCATGGTAAAACAGTTGCTGGAGAAGGAAGGACAGACGGATGTGTGAGGATAGAACAAAGTTTTGGGCCCATTCGAACCCCAGCCAAATTAGAACATCACCCAAATTAGAATATTTCAACTGCAAGGAGAATTTCAGAATGGGTGTTCTTCGATGAGGTGCAACATAATTATTCAGCCACTCAAGAAGCTCTCAGGACCTTTCACTGAATCGTCCTCTACCTCAGGCATTTCACAATTAGCAGGATTGCATTAAATAGCCTTGACGCTGAGACCAGCAATCCAGCACCGAATTAAAATATTTCTAAATGAGGAATAACCAAGAGGGGATAGAGCGGAGGGAGGGAGAGGGAGAGAGAGAGAGAGAGAAAGAGAGGAAAGCCGATTGTGGCGAAGAGTGAAGAAAAGCTGGGAATAAAGATTCCCCATCCTTTCCACCATGATCTATCTTCTTCAGCATCTAAGCACTGTTTGCGATTTACGCCCAACATGAGCATAATTCGAATAAAAGAAATGATAGAGCTTTTTTTCTACGGTATCAGGGGAGACAAATCACTGATGAATGAACTAAAACCTAAGAAATGATCTGGAAGAATCGACAGGATGTTATCGTCTTGAGAGAGCACGGGGTAGGTTGTGGGAGGCTGCAGAGAAAAACGCAGGTAAAACAAGGGAAGGGGGATGCTGCCCACTCCCTGTTGATCCTCTAGAAGTTGGATAGACAAGTCTTCTACAGGGTCTCTCACTCTCTCTATCTGTCTATCTCTTGGGGGAACGGAAACTCGAGGGAACGCAGGAAACAGTCGGAGTGAGAGCCGATAAGAACGGCGAGGAGTACCTGGCAGCGAGCGACGACGTCAAAGTGCTTGGCGAGGATGTCCACGAGCTTCCCCTTCCCTTCATCACCCCACTGGCACCCCAGAACCCCTGAGACCTGGCTCAACGACCCGACGCGGTCCACATCCTCCTCCTCCGCCACCGGCGCCGCCGGGGCCGCCGGAGATGAAGACGCCGCCGCCACCGCGCCCCTCCCCCGCCATTTCCCACACTTCCAAAAGCCCCTGCCGCCGCCGCCGGCGAGGGGCCACTTCACTTGCACGGGGGCGTCACCAAGGGTGGCCCCGCGTGGAAGGGATCCGGCGGAGCCGCAGGAGTCGAGCCTGAGGGCGGAGGAGACGTTCACGCACTCCATCATCTCCCTCCAATCGGCTCGGATTGGGAAGTAGCGGCTGCAGCAGAGAGAGAGAGAGAGAGAGAGAGAGAGGGAGGAAGCAGCGGGGGGGGTTTCAATTAGGGATGGGAGTGGCTCCTGCTAGAACCTTTCTTATATCAGCCGATGACGGCCCTCGCAGACTGGTGGCGGCGTGGCGACGGTGGGCCCCTGCTCCCCCCTCCTTTTTGCTTCAGAGGATGGAGTTGGGATAGACCGGGGGAAAGTGAACCCCACCTGCAAACGAAATAAATAGTCTTACATATTTATTTATTAGTACATTTACCCACCCATTAACATATTTGAATATTAATATCTGAACATAAATATATATATATATGTAGCTCGAATGGATCAGATAAAATCTGCGGGACATATATATATGAATGGGTGGGACCAAGGTGGCAGCACTTTATGAGAGGTGGGTCCCACCTAAGAGCAGCGCTGAAAAAAATGATATAAATAGTCTTAAATATTTATTTATTAATACAAATAAATTAGCAATAATAAGATATGTACATGAATATGAATACATAGCTCGAATGGTTGAGATTTTACGTGAGTGGGGTATATATATTAATGGGTAAGGTCAAGGCAGCAACACTTTATGAGAAGGCCCCAGCTTTGGGACTGCCATGTGGCACACCAACGAGCTGCCATGTGGAGAGTGAAGGCAGCAGCTTGCCACGTCTTGTTCATTTCGGTAGTTGATTAAAAATGGAATTAAAGTTTTTTCACTGAATTATAATAACTTGACATTTGTGCCAAAATAATTTATTATATATGGATTTGATCTTTAAAAAAGAAGTAAATCGCACATTCTGTAAAGAAAACAGCCGTAAGAAAGGGGAAGGTCATGAACAGTACTAGTTTCGGTAATAAAAATATCGATAAAAAAGAAGAAATAAGACCGATAATTGAAATAAAGTTAATGGAAAAGTCAACCACATTGACAAGCGTGGGAGTGGACTTGGAAGCGTGGAGCTTGAGATGGCCGAACCCAGGGAAAAAACCCGGAATTTATGGAAGAAGAAAAAAACCACAACGTGGATGTGCACGAAAATAGGGTAATATCGGCATTAAAATAAAAAAAGAGAGAAAAGCTACAACGTTTTTACAAGACAGTGAGGGCCTTTAAAATAAATAAAAAAAGAAGCGAATCCTAGAGAGAGAAACGCCGCCGCCTCTCTCCTACCAGAACATGATGAGTAAAAAGAGCCTGGAACGAGAAATTGACTGAGATTAGGTATATTACCATTTTTATATCAGAGATGGAAGAGGGTTCTTCAGGTTGCCGGTCTGTATGCGCCGAGCATGAGGCCTTCCAATGGGGAAGTCAAACAGGCCAGCAATTTCTCACACAGCTGCCGCAGCTCCCTGGAAGAGGAATCCGCCATGGAAATGCTGGCCAAGGTCGATTTTGCTTCGATAAGGCCCGTCGATATTCTCTCGACGATCCCATCTTCACTGGCCATGAGAGCTACTAAGAGCTTGGCGGCAGCAATCTTCTCCTGCGAAAAAAGTCAAAAGCTTTGGCGGTCAGAAGTGCCCGGGCGAACCATATCAGGGCAAGACATTGACTTCCAGTCACCTTCTCTGATCCTTTCTTGAGCGCTTTTATGGAAAGCTTGAAAAGATCCATGGAGTATTGGAGCACCGACGACTTCAGATGGTAGACAGCTGAGAAGAGAACCTGGAGGCAAGCGGGTCTGACTTCCGAATCTGCTATCGACTGCTGTCCAGCGATTGAGAGAGAGGGAAGGAGAGAGAGAGAGAGAAAGAGAGTCAGCGATTCCATGGATGAACGCGAAAAGTAGAATGAAAGAAGATTAATCACCTCGATGGAAGGAATGAGAGCTGAAAGGATCCTACGAGCGAGCTCAGATCGCTCGGAGCTCGCGACTTTCTGGCATGCGCTGATCAGAACACTGGCCATGAACAGGCGAGATGCCGGCGAAGAACCGAGTTCATGATGATCAGGAGAAGGTGATTCAGATGCCAGCCTCTGCATCACGCGGGTCAGAACAGCAGAACCAGCTAAAGCATCAGACCCTCCTGCAACGAATAGTACTCCCAAATTTAGAAAAACGACGAAGGGAATCGAGGATCTGGCATTCAGATTCGACCCAATTAGCAATCCGAAGAACAAACCCGGATGATTTCTCGGCCCCCGGAGAGGTTCCGGCGACTGAACCTCGGCGCAGATCATCAGCGCCAGGCAATCGACGCACCCGTGCTGCGCCTTGGGAACTAGGATCAGGAGATCATCTGGTCAGGAAGCAAGAAACAAGCGTGCAGAGATGGGTTTCTTTTTTTTTGACAGGGGGAAGGGGAAGAAAATAGGCCCTGCTTGCCTTCGTCGGAGCCAACGGACGGCCAGGACAGCACAGAATCGATTACTTGTCTGATTTCAGCCATTGATGGGTGCGATGCAGTCTCAGCGCCCCTACCCTAAATGGTAATAAAATGGTGTGGGGAGTAAGGAGCAGAGAAATAAAATGTTCATTCCTTGGAATAAAAAGCAAAGAGAGATTACCACGAGAGAAGTGCAGACTGCGAACAAGCAAGCTTTCAACTTGAGTGCATCACGGGATTCTGAAGCAGATCTTATATGGTATGCAACGATGGGAATGAGGACCTGAGAAAAGAATCAATCACATAATGCAGCAGCAAGTCTCTGTTTACATCACATGATAACTCTTTTTTTATCATTATTAGTAGAAAATAAGGAAAATATGAGGGTCACAATTGGTAGCGAAAATTCTCTTCCTAAATATTTCCAATCAATAAAATGATTATTAGAATAATACTCAATAATTTAAATTCAAAGGAATTAAGTCCAATTAAATTTGACCATAAGACCCAACCTAGGCCAGGTCCCTGGACAGCCCTGGACAAAGCCAAGAAAGAGATAAATAGATGGAGATCAGAGAACGACATGGTAGAGGGGCTATTGCACTGATATTATAAAAGTTTCCAAGAGTAGAAACCCAGGTGGCATGCCCAGGGAGAAGAGAGGCTGGAGAGCTTCCCAGTTATCAGTCACAAGCTTCCTTTTACACTGAGTTGTTCCTTGGTAAATGGTTGAAGATCCAATCTCAGTGGCTGTGTGCAGACTTGTCACTTAACATCGATAAATGGGCAGCGAACGGAGTATTTCTCAAAGAAATATTCAAGTTTTTGTGACGAGTGGAATCGGTCGCTATCAATAAACACCCAGTGACATCACAGGCTGCCCTGCCCCCCCACACACACGCTCCTAACCCCATTATGGTCACCCAAGAGAGCCAAGGCTCTTCGAGCCCACTGTCTAGCGGCTGATGTATTCCAAGATGATGTAATGAAGTATACTTCATTCATAAATAATGGATGATTCTGAAGAGGAAATATTCGATGAAGTAGTGAGGTATATTTTGTAAATGAATGAAACTTAGGTGAACTATGTACCTGAGGATGAAGACGCCCACATAGCTCAGCTGCAAGTTTCCGTACATCTTCGTATTCAAATAAACCAAACGCTCTGAACGAAACAAGGGAAGAAGAAATCTTAACGTGTAAAAATTATTTACCACTGAAAAGAGACAAACTGTAAAAGCTCCAAGCACCTGTTAATGAGTAGAGGAGCGATGCTTTCACGATTGCTCATACATGCATCTTTTTGAGCTGAATTTTTTTTAAAAAAGTCAAACAAAAGTGTTATCATATATCATGAGAGGGTGGGCTGTGCCAGGATAGATAACCATAATCCAACATAATCAATTGAGTATCGAAGGAAAGCAAAGGTGAAGCACGAAGTGACTTGCATTTCTTTATTTCCCAGGAAAAAATCATTATTGAATCTTTCAAATAATTTCTAAAAATCATATACAAGCGAACACACGTTATTTTATCTGCAAACACCAATACACAATTGACTGTTGACATCTGGATCTCCTTGAAATCAAGCTATTTAAAGCAACTTAGATGGATTCTCTCTCAAGGCTAGAAATTGAGAAAGAAATACTTCATTTCAACCATAACTAAGACCAGTGTTATCAAATTTGTGAATCCAGTTATAATGATAGCTAAGCCACCGACCAACAATGAAACTAGAAGAATAAGGGAAGCACAGTTCAGAAACTAAGAGAAAATGATTGCGAACAAGGGATCCAGAGATTGAGAAACTGGGAATAAGGGAAAATAAAGCAATAACATACCCTTCCAATTTTCTTCGTTAGGAAATACACCATATAGTGTCGAGGACCCCAAATTATCAAAAATCTTCAATGGGAGGAGTCTAAGAATCAATAGTGGACAAAGACGGCTAAACACGGAACTCTTTAATCTGATTGCGTTGTCACTTTCAAAACTCTCTTTGCTTCTATCAGAGACCCAGCTTTCATCCATACTGCAAAAGGACAGTAATGTCAAAAACAGAAGTGTTCATGTTTTATTGAAGGTATGTTCTTGATGTCACACCAAAATAAGGAATTATGTCAAAAAAAGTGATGGATAACTCAATCATCTAACAAACCAAAAAGAAACTAAAGCATTTCTAAAAAAACTAAAAGAGAACAGAAAAGGGAAAAGAATGCCAAGTGAAAATGACGAAAATATACAAAACGTTGGAAAAACAAGTCAAATGTGCGGTTAGAAGTATAGAGTCCTATCCTCAAGATAGACACTGAAAATTGTGTCATATACTTCATTATCTAACCAGACATTCTCGACATCAATTGCAACCATAGTCAATGGAGGAAATTTAAGATCATCAATGCTTTAAGTTAAATATCTTATAGGCACACAAATCAATTTACTATTCCTCCATCTTTGTTGTTCATTTAAATCTATTTTCTGAATGAGATGTTTTGAAATCACTAGCTCAATTCCATTATCATCCATGCTACCCTAATCAAATTGCAAAGAACCTACCCAAATCTCTCATTATTGGCAAGCAGTCAGACAAAGCTTTTTCACTACATTCTGCATTATCGAATCCCAAGTCCCCAAAGAAATTCTGCAGTATACCAGATACCCGGAGCATAACTTGGCATCCGAAATGGATAGTGCTTGAAGAAGCCAGTAAAAGATGTCAGGTCTCACATGACAGTTGACGGTGGAGACATGAAATTGCAGACAGTGTCTCAGATGCCATCTGCCGTTCCTTCCTCCATTGCTTTCATGGAGTCAGGATGCAACTGTCTCAAAACATCAGCTACCGATCACAGAGAAAATTTAAGTGCCATTTTTTCTGATAATAGTCTAATAAGGTTGATGGTACTTTATTACACAGCCCAAGTTTTCAAACCATCATGAAAAAGCAGTGTGAAGTTCCAAAAACATGAGTACAATGTAACGATCCTTTAATCGTTAGTTACCCTAGCACACTTGGAAAGTACAGGGTATAAGCAAGCTACGAATTACGTATTATCACTTGTTAATCAAGAAAACCAACCAGTTACCACCTAATGAAACGAATCCCTCCAAGATCTGACATCTTTGGAAAAAGCATATTTCTTTCACTGCGTCACAACCAAGGTTCTAGCTACCAAATCACTCGAGTTGTGAAGTGTGTGGATGCATAGATGGGTTACTCCGCAGCCTGACCAGGTTCAATAGCAGAAAACCAAGAAAGTCGATTAGTGACAATGAAAGGCATTTACTTACTCCTGCCCTTGCATATGTACCAGAACACGATGCAGGACTAAATCTCCGGCTTCTGCTAACCGTTCACTTAAATAACTCATAAACCGAAGAAGAACATGATTTGATGGGTTCAAAAACATCTTTTCAATTAGCTGATCGATCAAGATATCAATTTTTTTTACCTACACGTAAACAATGAAACAAATAGTCAGCAAAGAAACTGAACAATTGTGTCATCATATTTTAAGCAAAGTAGAGAAATCCAGCAACTCTACGTTTTTCTGTATCATCCCTAGATACAATGTGAAATATCCAAATGCCTCCTAACCAAAGCAAGGATCACAAAGCGGAAGAAAATAGGAAGTAAGTTTCTATGCATCGGAGAACCTCTCACAGGTACTAAAAGAGGTGAGTTTCTCACTAAAACGAAAGCATACTAGACCTAGCATAGGACACGATATAAATAGCCACTGTTAGCAACAAGAAGCACCGGCTGCCAAACGTGCTGGTCCACTTATAGATTATCTCGAGTATCCTTCAACTGAATGAAGCAATACGAAGTAATTGATCTTTTCAATGCTAAAAGATTTTATGTTTTCGTTGCATATTATTATCACTTTTCTTGAAATAAGCCAAATGCATAGTTACGTTCAATCTGCAAGACACAGAAAACATAACCATTTTTTATAAATAAAACTTCAGTGCAGACACTATGTTCCATCAAATAAGCAGTAAATTATTCAACGACTGAGCTTGGACTTGAATTACTAGTTCACAGTTTCAGCACTCCTCCCAATCCATCAATTATCAGTTTTCATTAAACGAAAAGAGAGAGGGTAACAAGAGAAGAGAAGGGGAAAGAAAATAGCAGTGGCAAGTTTTTCTTCGGGCTATATGCTTTATCAAGGAGATGACTTTCTTGAAGACAGGATTTTGGAGTCATTGTCATTATTGGGCTTGAATCCCTCCTAAACCTGTCATGAGCTAGTCCTTGGAAGTACAACTTCCAGTTGAATAATGTCTTCCCCTGTTCGGAGGAGTTACCTCCCCAAATTATATGAAGCTCCCGTCAAATTTGCAAGTATTCCTAGAATTACGTGAATGCCTATAAGTTTTTGACGGCCTCCTCTAGTCCTTCCCGCTTCATTTCCTCGTACCTATGCTCTTTGATAATTCTTTAGAAGAGAAGTGTACCCAAGGTTATAATGTCTTTGAAGAAACAGAGCCAAAATGTGAATGTAAAAATAAGGATCATTAAAAACCCTGCAACTCAGGAATTTTATAGTTTGATTATAAAAACAAAAGTGAATCATCTTGAGTTTTACCCCAGGTTTTTACAAGATTCAAATCAAACTAAGAAAACATCAAATTTTCAATATCATATGGTGAGTCTGATATATTCAAGATTCCAACCTCTTTATTTCAATTAGAAAGATAGCTCAGCCATCCCTTCAATATAAACATAAAATATCATATTTACAATAAAATCCAATAATAAATGCACAAATCTAAGAAAAACATGCGTGCACTGCAAAAAGAGCATGCAATCTTCAACTTAGAAACAGACACCGATAATATCAGTCACTACCCAAACATTAATGTGAACCATATATGGTCAAACACAGAGTAATACGAGTGAAAAAAGAATTGCAAAACAACAGCAAAAGATAATAACTTTGTCGCACTGAAAAACAGATCTGGATTACACTTCACTAGAATATTAAATTTTCAGGAAAAAGGTACGGTTGCAAGCCATACACTTTCTGACCATCCTGGGGTCAGCTTCAATACACGATCGATATCCAGTTTTGGACCTGAAAACCAATTAAAAAATCATCAATTATTGTAAGAGTTTAAAAAAATGACATGAACTCCAATTAGTTAAGGTCTATGTATGATAAAAGGCTCGGAAGATACTCGCATAAGAGTACAATGCATCAGAACCAAGGTTTTTAAGGCAACTAAGGCAGCAATTTGCCACCATAAGTCATTTCCACTCAATTAGGTAGCCTTAATGGCTCACACCGCATAGATGCCTCCATGCCAACGAGGTCCTAAGTGATGCCTTGAATACTATGATCAGAACATTAAAAAACCCATTCCGAAAATGTTCACAAACTATCTGCTTCATAAGGGCCTAATGAAAGTTAGCAACATCGAGTTAACATGTAAATTCATCAATAGAATAGATGAACCTCACAAGGGAAGGATGTAGAATCCACCTGACTGTAACAATGGAGATTTGCCCTCTATATTTTTCTCTGACGTTCCTGCTTTTAGTGAGAAATCAGGATTCTTCATAAGGTCACTGCAACAAGAACAAAAAACATAAATTTTCTGTGCTACAGAAATCAAAGGAAAATATTTATCCATTGATAATTTCATTCAATTCCAAATAGTATGAGAATCAGAGAGTATGGAAAAGAACCTGAGTGAGTCCACTAGCATCTCTATCACACTAAAGTCATTATGGTGGCTGAGCACAGAAGAGAGTGCAGTAGCAGAAGAAAAGCTCACTTTTTCATTACCCGAATATGAAAGATGAATTAGCTGAGGCAAAACAAAACTAGGATCTGGACCAAGGAGCAAATGTTCAAGAAATGTTAGTATCTAGTAAACGTAAAAAATAATTGTCCATGTTTCTAAACGTTTAATTTAGCAATACAATAAAAATTAAGTTTGGCATCCTTCAATTTCGATAAGATGAGATACCTTTGAGACCAAAGAACAGTTCAGTAATATGCAATGGCTTTCAGAGAAAGAATATATTAATGCTACGAACCATGAAGAAATGGCGTGTAAAAATCCCATCCAATAAGACTTTCCATTCTATATCGATATGTAGTCAACTTTTTGGAAATATTCAGAAGGTTTTAGAGGAAACAGTAAAATACGAAGTCCTATGAGAACATGACATGTCATCCAATAAAATGTTCGCATCTGTACTGCACGTCCAGCAAAATTTTGCCAGCATGTACGTTACATACAGATCAGGTACGCTATTGGTAACTTTAGAAATGGATACATAAAAATTTCGTTCATATCACCTCAGAAAAGGCACTGAAGTCAGCTTAGTAGTCCCGAAAAAATATTATATATATATATATATATATAATTACAATAAATCTTCAAAATTATTTATTTTTATCCCATGGAACTCAGTCGAGAAAATTTTCTTTTGACCTCGCGTGACCCTTATTCTATCAAATCCTAACTGAGCCGTTGTACAAGAGAAATCAGAGCCATCTAAGTGTCCTAGAAGCCAAGGTGGTTGAGTTATAGGAAGATGCTTGTTTCTCTTAAGACACAGAAGTCTTCATAGACCTCGTCATACCCCTACTTCAAGGTCCTTAATTACATGCAGCCTACTGTTCAATAAACAAAAAATTGAACGGTATTCGCACAGTTTTGACAGAAAATCAATAAACTTTATTCAAGATTCCTGAATAAGGTCAAAAGTTCATGATCCAAGAACGTCAAATACAAAATGAAACCATTACAATTTACAATAGTGACTATGACCATGATACAGTTTCTGAAAGAATAGGACAAGAGCTTGGTCTAAAGAGTGGATAAAATAAGATAGCGAGTGAATTTTTAAGATATATCTGAAAATAGACTTACCGAGACATGGAAAGAGGTTGGACGCCAATACATTATCTATAAGTTCTTCATCTCCAAGACATTCCAGCAAGTGCTTTGCAATATCCTGCCTATATATTTTGATAAATAAGATTCAACAATTAATAGAAAATCCATTGTAGTAACTCAAGGAAACTCGGTATCAACTGCAAAGAGTAGTCACTTACCACAGAGCAGGGGATATTTTATTTTTTGCATCTGAATAACCATGAACAAGTTCTACAATAACATCAACAGCATTCTTTTTTTGGTTATGTGATCCAGATGCGAGAAGCTTGAGAATTTCCATAATGCCTGGTCCATCTCTGCTTCTGCTTAACCATGAAAAGTCACAGAAGGAAAAAAATGAGCAGAGAGACACAGAACATGATGGATAATTGTAACAAATCATAACACATAAGCGCATACGATTTCTCAGAGCGATACACGTAGCAAAATTCTGCCAAGAGCAGAATAACAGCCTTTGCGGTGGAATCGCGTTCATCTAGAAAACTCAGCAGCGTAGGCAGAATATGTTGTAACTGATGTGTATCAACAGCACATCCTCCAGACTGAAAATCAGTTCTAAAGATTACTTCTCTCATTATGCTTACACTTATTTCCACCAGATCCTCGCGGTCACACTTAAGCTTCAAGAAAGGAAGGAAGGTATATTATTTCAGTGCTCACTTCTAAATCAAAATATGGAATGGAAATATGCATTTCCTACCAAAAATCTGACGCGAATTGGAATAGATTTTCAATGATCGTACAATATGGTTACTCAAAGGAAGTTATAATCTTAATCAATAGATAATGACCTGAACTTCAAACGAAATGGAATTCAAGAAGTCTGTATAAATTACCCATTAGCATCGGGACCATGTCAACATCAATGACGCAGAGTACAAAGCAGAAAACTGCGGCCTGGAGTGCCATCCGATTGAATGATGCTAACTATAGTATATTTTACTAAGGAGCATATGAGATGACTGTTGTAAAGTGTTCTATTAATGATAATGATAGGTTGTAATACATGAAATTCTAGCAGAGGGTTACCAAGACGCATCCCAATGGTTCAAAAAATTATCGTATTAACCATTGGCGTGGTTTAATAACTCTATACATAACTCAAAATCTCTCTCAGTTAGCATCAACAAGGTACAATGTACACATACACAATATAGAATATTATTTTACCTTGATTAAAATACAAATATTATCTTTTAATTTTGCTCTTGAAAATTTATATATAATGATTTTGAATTTTTTTAAGTTGATGCGTGAACCTTCACTGCTACATAATGGACAATCTTCGTTATATTAATCAACGATGTATGGATGTATTCATATTCTCATGTTCCAGGCAGACGGGAAATTTGATATGCAAGACTTTGGTATTTCAACAAGAATTCAAACGACATAAGAATTCCGGTTAGTATTATGTGAAATGCATAAAGACAATTCCTATTGATTTATTTATTTTTGGTTCAAACATAAGAAGATGGTACACGACTGCTAAGAACAACTTCTCCGACAAAATTGAGCTTACTAGATGTAATTATTCATAACCTAGAACGTTGAGCCAAACATTACAGGAAATGTCGAACAGAAAACATATCACAAAACATATCACGGGTCTGTAAAACACCATCAAAAGCTCAGGTTAGGTTGCTAAACACATTATGAAGGTGATCTTCAACAAAGCATGTAGTCTTAACCCCCACAAGCTCTCTTGATCCTTTGATGAGATAGAGATGGGGCAGACATGAAGAGAGTTTTAGAAGCGATTCGCTGCACTTTTTCCTCAAAACAAAAGTCATCTATGCAAACAACAGTTTAACAACCAGTATAGTCAAAAGAGGCTTAGCCTCACCCCATAGTCATGTCTAATGTTTTGTTGCAGATGCAGCGTTGATGTTTACATGGACACAAGTATGATTCATTTTTCCATGTATCGTTATTTCTCATTTATTTATCACGGGGGAGTGGTGGGGACTTATTTTGAGGGCATCACTTAAGAGAACTTGTAACGGACACAATCTATGGATATGTATCGGTACTTTTTGGCAAAGGCATCCATAATTCTATAGCATTCCTGCTGCTACATCAGCTCCCGTTTCTCTGCCAAGTGATAACCTCTTACCCAAAATGTGAGAACATGTTGACAACCTGCGTGCTCTGTAACAACTAGTCTTATACTCCTGTGATAATTCATTTATTTCACCGAAATTATTTTTCATCTAAAATTTCTCTCTTGAACCGCCGATCAAGGGGATCGAATGGGACAAGCATCCTCAAAAAATTTGAAACAAACCTCTTGTATTAAGTTCACAGAGAACGCAAATACAAAGGGAAAGCATCATGCAGTGGAAAACCTCAAGTAGACAACACATCTAGGTGCATTGACTACAATTCCAAACTCATCTGCAAAATCTGTAAGTTCGAAAACCACATCCAACAAGAAAATAAAATATGCTTAGAATCTGAGAGCAACCTTGATAATAACATCTTGAATAAAGAAGTATCAGATCCGATATTGACATATTTTAAAAAAATATGTCATTGAACAGAACCTGTCTCTACCCAGCTGTCAGAACAAGACTTAACCCATTAGAGCAACTTCGTTCAGTTAAGGACGAAACCTAAGCGTGTGTAGTATTTTGAAAGGAAGGAAAATATGTCTAACCACCATCAGAAATATACAAAGACAAGAAATGGAACTTTCATTATCAGATGAAACAATTTCAACAAAAAGTATAAATTGTAAAAATAGTCACATATTATATTAGATGATCCATCACAAAAAGGTGCCAAAGACAACAAAAGTCGATTAACCGAAAATGCTAAGTACATATCCTCTTTAAATTACTAGAGTAAAGACTACCTGTGACAGTAGGGCATTAACAAGCTTAATTCCAGTTTCTGATGTTGCTGTCTTCCGCTGTTCTGCAGGAAGTTTACCCCAGAAAAGTGCTATGCAATTCAAGAAGAATTTCCGGGTCTCAATCGAACTCGTAACTTTCATAGGATCACCGTCAGCATCATGTTGTGTATAGAACTGTAAACAGGACATTTAGTGCTAGACAAAGATCCCTGACAAAATAAAGATTTTTTTTCCTAGAACTGATAATATATCGGAAAGCTAAAAAAAGAAAACAGTAGCATAAGCACTCCAGATCACATAATATAAAAAATCACTAAGAATGGTGTTGCATGAGAAATAAAAATCTTGAAGCCTAGATCATCATAGATAAGTACAGAATTATTCTACTTGTAATTAGAACCTGTTACACGATTGGCGTAGCAAAATCTCTTCCCATGGATACCTCTTTGAGAAAATTATGAGCAACTGAACCCGGATTTAAGTGTAATGACCGTCCAAAATGATCACTTAAAACAAGTGTCGAACTTTTGTTACCCAGAAAGCAATTCAACTCATGCAACTGTTCTTTAAAAACGTAAATGGATGATAAAGAAAGCAAATAAGCAAAGGCAACATTACAGTTGTTGAACCAAACAAGTTAATCTTGATGATAACAAAAAAATCACTAACTCGTTAATTTTTTACACTACTTTTAGACCAAGAAATGAAATTTCTACAAGCAAAATATCATTAAATAAAGTAACAAGGCAATACGCTGAGGTTCCACCCCTTGAAGTTACAGGTTAAACCAGACAGAAATTAAGATATTGTATTTTTAGAAATTCAATCCACAAAAATAAAATCCCAACCAACCAACTGTAGGCACATTGGCTTCCAAATGTCAACAACATGCCTTTGACTCCCCTTCCACGATGGGGATGAGTGCCCTAACAGCTCTCACCTATGCTAGGGTTTCCACAGATTTTCTCATTCACCAATCACTCATCCTGAACAGGAATCACTCTAGGCCGTGGCCCTCATCTTTCCGGGGACTCTTCTCTAGTAATCTAATTCCCGCCTCCACCAAGTTTTTATCCGGGAGACTCATTGCCCCATTTAGGAACAATAGTGACCATGAGAATATGCTTTTCTTCTGCTCTTTCTTCCTCTTTTTCTTTTCTTCTGAAACCACCAATAAGCTTCTCATGAGTCGAAGCTGGAGCTGGAACATCATTGCCAAGAAAATATAAGATGATGGGACAGGAGTACTTGAACCAAAATGGCACGGCATATCCATCCTTGGTCATCTAGTACTGGGCATATCTTCCTCACCGAAATAGGTTGATAGGTCTTCTTCTCCTTGAAAAATTAGAGCTTGATCTACATGGAACATGGCTACTTCAAAATGCATATTTGGGTGCAGAAGATCATGCTCTTGTGTTCACAATATTTCGGATCATTAGGAACCCTAGGTGATAGCTTCTTCATTATTGCTAAGAGAAAATAGTCACCTTAATAGGCCACTGTTTATCCATGTAAATTTTTTACATAATTTTAACGGTAAAGTAGAGTAACTAGACCCTTCCTTCAGTTAGCTCTCCAGAAAACCCAATGTGGTCAGACCAGCATCTTGTCGGTGAGTTTCTTCTCTCCAATTCTACCACTTTTGTACAGTCAACACTGGAACTGCTCCTTCAAAAGTCCGGACCGACCTTGAGCTCGAAAGAGCACGTCAGACTCGCCCGGAAAATGTCAATGCTAAGACAGAAATTGCCGTTTGAAGTAGGAGAGAATGTTTCCATGTTGAAATAGACCGGGCCATTTTTTTTAACGGTGACTGTAAGACGTCAGTCACCATTATTCAACTACAGTTAGATTTCCCAAACCTTCCTGGAAATTGGTTCAACCTCTTTGACACCGACATTGATAGATAATATCCCTCCGAATCGCGAATTCGCTTTTACCTTTGGGATCGAACTCAAGTCAGCTGTGCAAGGAGGAGAAAACTCCCAGTGCTCAAGCTAGACCAAGGAGTTTTAAAATATTCAGAAACGTTATGACTTTGGTATCAGAAATATCAACATCTTCTATTAAAAAGTATAGAAAATAAAATCAAACGACCAAAAGTATAAAATTCGTCATAAGCCAGAAAGGAGAGAAAAAAAAAACTGATTATTGAATTAAAGTGAAACATAAGTTTTAGCATCTGAAAGAACTCGAAGATAACCTTTTTACTGATTATTGAGCAGGACTGAGAAGCAAAAGTTATCCCTCAAAGAAAAAATGCTCATGTCTGGAAGACTGTTTGATCAACAACTTCCTTAAGAGTATTACTACAAGAGCTGCTATCCATACATATTCAAAAGCTAACACAGTCAAAGAACAGAGTTATTTGCTTATAATGTCGTATGGCATTAAATTAACAATAAATTGTCCTATAGTTTGTTAAGTGGAGGATAAATTTTCAGAGAACTCTCATGTGAATATTATCATGTGATTGTACCTCTAGAGCAGACAAGTATTGGTCAAGCACTTGAAGACAATCTTGAGAGGATTTGTACTTTTCAAAACGGAGGAGCATCCCATAATGTTTCCAACATGACGAAAGCAATAATACTCCATTCCTCAGCGACTCGCCACCTATTTTAGAAAATCAAATTATATAGCGAAATGAATGAGGGAAATGAGACTGTAACAGATTAACACGAAAATCCGCATAGAGCAATAAAAGAGGATAAGATGCAAAACCTGCCTCATCTTGTACGAAAGAATAATACTCTTTTATCTCCAACAACCACTTTCTTACTTGTTTCAGCCCTTTCTCTTGTAAAGGCAAGCTTTTCCTGCTCCACTTTAATAAGCCACAAACACGCTCAAATTAAAACTTAATCTTGATGTCGCAAAAGAAACTAAAATCATGAATGAGAAACGAAAATCCAACGACAGCTGTGTAGGAGAAAAATGAGTAGAAAACAATTACAGCTTCAAGTTTTTCCACTAGGATAACGAGCTCATTCAAATAATGCCACAATAGAAATTCAGATCCTATATCGTCTGATGTATCTGTTACTTGAGTTTGATTGCGTTCCTTTTCATTGTCAGAAAGTGATATCATTTTGATAAGCTCGTTTTTTTTCTTTGAATCGGTCAAAGGTTTCTGACTACTTGACATAAATTCTTTTTTCGTCAACGCTTCTGTAAGAACTAAAGTGCAATCTGCTGCAGCCACTGCAAGGCGAGTAGGCAACTCAAATCCATCAACCAAAGTGCTGCAAGAAAACATAATTCTCAGATAAGCTTTACGCTCAAGCATTTAAGTGAATGGGCAGTTCATATTGTAATACATGAAAGAAAATAAAATGAAACTCTCAGGACTAGAGAGAAACATAGAACAACACTGTAAATGTCGGCAAGAAAACAGTGTCATCTTCCTGGGTATCATTCCAACAGGGGTTACAATTATACCTTCCCTCACATGTAATAACCAGTAGGCGAGGAATTGATCGGCAAAGAATCTTCAATAAAGTGAGATGATGTCGTTCCTCTTCCCCTATTACACAGGAAAAGTAATCAATAAAATGAATCCGCACCTTAGCTCGAGTAATGATGATAACAATCAGCACGAGTGTAAGTGGACTAGAAACGATGAATCAGGTTTACAGTAAGTAGGAAGACATCATCAGCTAATTTACAATAGATTCGTCAGGATTTAAGAAAAATGAAAGCAAAATGAATTTTGCCCACCACTCTACAGGGGGGCAAAAGAATGTGTTCCTGAGGGGGGACCTGATTGTAGTCCTAGAAAAGAGTGTGTTCCTGTCCCACAAAAAAACTGCTCACTTACGTTAATCTGAGCCCATCTCAAAGTCAAAGAAAACCTCGACCAGAGGCTCCCCATCCATTTATTTCTTGAGATTCGTAATCTTTCAAGTTTTGTAATCTTAGACACCTCATGAAAAAGCTATTTCGACCACGAATTATATGTCAAGTAGAGAATGACACAAGGGAGAGATCATTTATTTCATAGCATGGGCTTCTCCAACACCCAATTAACGGGAGAGACCCCAGGATGATGATATTAAAACATGCTTAAGCGTTGATACGAAAAACTAGAAACAACCAATAACCTAAGGAATAGAGTCTTTCAGGTGAGGAACACGATCATACTCAGAATCGCACTGTTATCAACGAAATGTGGCCTCGCCAACTTTAAAAAGTGAAGCCCCTGGTAAAAAATTTATGCTAGCAAGTTGCTTATGATGGTCACACTGGTTTATGAAAGGAAGCCAAAGGATACAGGAATGCAGAACCTCTCCAGAAAAATTGGAAATAACCCATTCATTATCCACATCTAGCTCCAAACATTTTAGAGCTAGAGCATTATTTTTTTCACTCTCTGGAACTCGCTTTTGTGAAGCACATATTACTCAAAGGTGAAAAGACATCATAACAGAAACTAAATTTTTTAAATGCTAACAAACCAACAGCCTATGAAGCTCATATCCACATCACTCCACCCTCTTAACTTTACAGCAACACTCTAAGTAATCAAAATCTTAGATTAGCAATACTCTGAAAGATAGGCACCTAAAATGGCGAAAAAGTCATGTAACACAGTACCTTCAAAAAATCGATCGGAAGATAGCTCAACTAGGCTTTTAACAAAGGTACACCAACCAAAGGCAGTGAAATGATCAGCCTTAGTTGTAATAATTTCTATAAGGTTAATTAAAATAGCTTGAAGAAGAAGTTCATTTCTGCATAACCATCCAATCAGAATGAACACTTGCTTGCTACCCTTTGGCTCTTTGGACTTTGTCACATGCAACAAACAAGTAAACAAGCAATTAGAGGAAAAAAATGAAGAGCATTTAGACCAAAGCGTAAAATGAAAATAATTGAAGAAAAGATTAATCAAGCAGACAGGGAAACGTAACAAACATTGACCAAGAAAGGTAATAGGTTTGGCTAATTAATGATCGGCACACATGTACATTTTTAAATGCTACTGTTGGAGCTCAAGAGCTTGATATCTCACTTCACAAAAAATTGATAGTTTTTCTCCAACCTAGCAATAAATTTGTGCTCACAAGGAACCTGACAGGATCTTTTATTTTAGCAGAAGGGTACAGTTGCATTCATCATACATGGGCAAACCCATTGATGAAATAATATCTAGCAGGAAATCCATTAGTGGCTTATCCTGTGAGAGGTTTAGAAGACCATCACAAAGGAAAAGGAACAGCAATCACCAAAAGTAATTTTAAAAAAAAACTGTGTATCAACAAACTCTTGACTCGGGCTACATAAAACAACAAAGATAGATGATATAAACTATCTCAATACAAAGAAAATTCCTTTTTATGCCACCCCCATTCAAACAAAAACGAAATTAAATGTATCCATGGGGCATTTTATGAAGTTAACTCAGGACCTCCACCCCAGAACAAGAAACACACTGATCTTCAACCAAAGTACGGTCAAATTCTTGCCTTTGGACAAGAACGGATTACTCTCTTTATACGCTCCAGCGATCACGGTCAAGTTATGGAAGAGAAATCTGATAGAATGGGAAGTTGAAATCACAAACGCTTTCTATTGAGTAAGTAGAATCCCTTTCAATATGAAGCAACAATAAACCTTCCGATTGTATCATGAAAATCCTAAGATTTCTGCCCAACTATAGACGTGGTCAAAAATCTAAGGTTAGATAAGCGGTTTTCAAGTCAAATGGATCTCCACCCACGAAATACAAGGTTTAAAAATCATCACCTCGATGTATAAACTTCAACAGACCTCTCTCAACCTCGTCTAGTAAGCAACAGAAATTGCTCTATTCTTAATTGAGCGTACAGTCTGATCCACCAGAATCTCTTTGAATGTCTAGCAAACATATGAGACCTTTACATGGCTTCCTTTTTCTAACCAATCTCAGAGGGCTAATATCAGCCAGGGAAGCTACAAAATCTTTGACAATAGACGGATGCAAAATGTGTCTTGGACCATTGATGGTTGACGTAACAAAAATGAGTACAATATTGGTATCAAAAAGTCAGGAAAAATGACGAACAGATGCATCCACTAATTGGCTTGCTAAGACAATAACAATTCAGTTTCTCAGTCAGTGATTACACATGTGAATTACAACATGACGAAGGAAAAGTAAGGTTATTTTTCTTTCTTCTCTTCCTCGTGGAGGATGGTAAAAAACTGATTAGCTTCCAAGAAATCAACTATAGCAACAAAGGTCAATTACCTGGAGGCCAAGTAAATGGTTTCACTTTGGGACTTTCTTCAAGGAATTTGGAGGATTGGAAATCAACAAAGGAGAAGTTATCACAGGAAGTTGAGGAAGATCAACTATGGATAGACTGCAATGTAAGCTACTTCCTGGTGCTAAAGAATGGGAGTGAGCTGTCGGATGCACAGAACAGGGAGGTAGAACGTAATACGATGTTGCTTAATTGTTGTTATGCAGGACTTCGGAGAATGAGTTCACGCTGAGCTTATCAAGTATTTATATCCCCCCTCTACGAGGATAAAGTTTGTGGTTTATTACTTTGTATGATACAAAATAAACCTATATACGCTGGCTCAATGATAATAGGAGCTCATTACCTCAAGTTCTTCATACTATATAGCACGTGAATTGATCTACTCTGTTGGCGATCACCCTCTTTCATGCACAGCTCGAGTTTAAACAGTACGAATCAATGTTACATCCCTCGAGCTAAATTAAAAAGGAAAAGTAAAATGGCAACTTAAAGTTTTAAAACTGCATGGACTCAGTCAACTTTAATTAATTAATTAATTAAAATAGATACATGAAAATTATAAACACACCATTGCAAGTTTTTTTTATAGATGATTGATTTCATCCTCAATAGCAACGTTCCCAGCAGATTGTGACACCCACTGTAGCCACAATCATAATGCATATTTTTTATTCTCTCTCTCGTTTTATTATTCCACGGTGCCATCACTTAGCAACATCAAGTTGGAAACCCCTAAGATTATCGAAGAGCTTTGTAGAGATCATCCCCTATTTAGATCCAAGATCGGTGAGCAAGGAAAGCATATTGTGCCAACTGCTGCAACTGATGATAGTCGGGCTGATACTCAACAAGTCGATATGAAGAAGAAGTTTCAGGAAAAAAACCATCCCACATCATTATTCATCACGTCATGTACCAAGGAGAAACTTCACGTTTCTGATTCACCAAGGGAAACTCAAGGGACTCGAGTTAATAGGAGATTGAATTAGCTTCACCACAAAGATGAGACCAATCCAATGGAAGCAACCCCAATTCTCTCTATGTACCACTAAATTTCATAGAGATCCTATTATAGTATAGGTTTTAGGAAACAATCATCCCACATCATTATTCATCACGTCAAGTACCCAGGAAAAATTTCATGTTTTCTATTCACCTAGGGAAGCTCTAGGGGCCCAAGTTAACAGGATACTGAATCAACTTCGTCACAGAGGTGAGACCAATCCAATAAAAGCAACCCCAATTCTCTCTATGTACCACTAAGTTTCATAGAGATCCTATTTTAGGAGTTCTGACGACTTATTGGTCTTGATGGATGTGGGCAGTTAGTCTCCATGACTGGCTTCAGAGAACCTACTAATCACAAGCCCAGATTTATGAAGACCAATTATGAGAATAAGAGAAAGCTTGTCTTCAAAATAGGGGTGTTTTTGTGCAAAAAGGAAGGGTTTTCAAAGTTAGTGAGTTACGAGACCGAAGAAAGATTAAAACTAATAGGTTCCACAGATGGTCAATTTGACTAAGAAGTTGAAAAGATTGAGGTGAGTTTAGACTAAATAGAGTGCTTATTAAAATTGTCACGCATTGAAAGGGTAAATTTAAATTGTGTGGTCAAATCTGTAGACATGAATACTTCATTCACCGACAATTAGTTTTAAGATGGAAAGATTGATTGCTAGTCATTGCATTGGATCTTCAAGTAATGTTCCTGAGTTATGCGCCCAACTCTATCTTTGCGTTAGAACACCAAAAATAAATGTTTGCATACAGGTGACTAGAACGTCCCACAGTAGCCAAACATTGAATGGTATAACGTAAACCACATTGTTACATATACTCGTCTAACCTACTAATTGCTAGCGAGCTGTGAGCTTCACAACTCAATTATTTAGCAAAGGTTGAAATAATCAACGAAGAAAGAGATCAAAGCATTATTCATAGGACAAATAGAACGAAGGAACAACCTAAAAAGAAACAATAATTTAAAGGACAAGCACAAAGGAGACGCTCTGAAGTCTGACTACGTCAATATTCTGGCCAAGAGCTATAATGTTAAAAAACATTGAGAGAGAAACAGAGGGTGGAAGGTGACAGAAGCTGATAGTCACATGGTGGCTTCAGGAAAGAGAAAAGGAAATGTAATGAAACATTGACGATGTTAACTTGTGGGTCAATGAAACATTATCCAGACACGTACTAGAAGCCAAGGTATTAAGTATACTCATTTGAAAGTACAGTAGAATTCAATAACAGAAAGTTGCACCTCAAGGCATCAAAGAAGCAAACCCCTCTGATTTAATCCCCAAAGACCGAAAGGATTCGGAGTTTACAGAATCACAAATCAACCAATTTCCTAGAAAACAAAGAAGATTATTACAAATATTATGAAGGCCGAGTACGAGATGACATTGACAAAATGATCAACTGGTACCAAAGTTCTTGCAGCAGAGAGGCAGAACGAAAATTTTATCTTTCTCGATCATCCATGAGCACGTGATGAGATAAGATAGAAATAAAAGCTTGGTGCTCGACATGAATTTCCAAAAATTTTACGACAGAATGCATGAGATTTGGGTTAATCAGAAACAAAACGTATGTTCATGGGCAATTCGATTAGGAAAATGGTATTCACGGCCATGTGATTGGGACTTGACCTTTCTCGAATACAGCAATGTCATCGGATATGCACACCAATTATATGGTTCAACAGGAAAAATAAAGATTGATATGAATTTTCCTGTGTTCCTTCTCCAATTTTGTCTGCAGATGTAAGTCAGCTTCAGTCTGAGCTTGGACAGATGCCATGGAGCCAATGAGACCGTGTTTTCAAGGGAAAAACCAGACCTCCATCTCAGATAAGAGAAAGAAGGAGGAGGTTGTCGAGCATGCTCTATGATTAACAGAATTCGAAAAACACAATTTCTAGAAAACCAACAGGCGACGAGATTCTCTCCAGACCAAATATTCGAAGCTCCACCTGGCGTACAACAGTTACGGTTACGATAATTTATACGCAATGACTCGCTGTTCCTGTCATCACATGTCCATGCACCTAGTCTCGGTTCTCATATGGGTCGGATACAGGTGAAAACGAGAGGAACCAGCTAACATTCCACCGAACCATTTACAACCACTATTTTGTAAACATTATATTCCATCTTCATGGATATGGGATTTAGGATGAAAATGAGATTCTAACAACGAGAGCAGCGTAAGAATGAAGCTCCGACGAGCGTAGAAGGTTGTACTTAGCTTATTATTCTGATTGAATATCCACATCCAACGACAAGATTTGAAGAAACATAAGGAGCAAGATGAGCAATGTACGCGTTCGATTAGAGGAACCAGAACATGATCAAGCGGCTCCTCCTTCTTGGCGGCGTCTTCCACATGTCTCCAGAGGAAGCAGAGAGACTCATCCAATAGCGCTGCAGATACACACTTCACGACTTCACATCATCGACCCCAAAAATGAATAAAAATGCATGACCAGCAGCAAGCTAGGCAGAGAAGCGAACCGCCAGAGGCACTCTTCGAAGGAGACGGACCGAGCTCGGCGATGGCAGCCTTGAGGTGCCTCGGCCGAGAGCTAAGGATTGTGTGCATGACTTGCCCTAGAGAAGAAGAAGAAAAAGAAGAACGCAATACTCCATCGTCCCCCGGCGACTCCCAAATAGCTTCCCCAAACATTTCCGATGTCGAGAACGCAACACTCAAACGCAGGCAAGATGGAACAGACCGTAAACCGAGAACCAGGCAAGGGGAAGGATCGTGGAGATCCCGGATTAGGGCTCCCCAGGCATTCTCTCTCTCTCTCTCTCTCTCCTCTGAGCTCTACTTACGCAGAACCTTCTTGACACCCCTCCCAATCTTCCCGCCAGGCCAGCCCAACGAACAAATTCTCTCTCTCCTCTCTCACAACCCAACGAACCAGGCTGCAGCCGTGTCTTGAAGGCTCACCGGAGGAACACCGGAAACACAACCGTCCAACTGATGAGCCTTTCTTCGGGAAACTGGATTTGTACTCATGATGATAATATTTAATATTATTTAACCATCTTTATTACAGCAGAAAAGTCTATTAATTTTCCCTCCCTTTCCCCTCCTCTTGGCGGCAGAGTGAGGAATTCGAAGGTTGACTTTTCTCTCCCTCTGCCAACGCGATGCGCCAGCTGGACCACCTCTTCTTCGGCCACGTCACGCCATGGATGGGTATACAACGTCCTTGCGGAATGCGAAACGCTGTCTGACGCCGTGTCTACAAGAGTCTTCCTTACCAAGAAAGCCAATCTCCACCGAGATTTTGAGGGGCCAGAAACGAATTAAATCATTGGGCGAGGGACTAAACTCAAAGAATCGTCCCATTATTCTGAACACATTCCACGGTGCCGAGTCAACGAACTCGCATTTGACTCAGATTAATTCATAAAAAATAAAGATAATGAAATAATAAATATTGTTTGTAAGAACAGCAAGAGGGAGAGAGGGAGAGAGAGTTCGATTCCAGTTACATCATCCTCCACAACTATATATTTAAATAAATAAAAGACACCTATTGACTTTTCTAACTATACGAGCCTTCTCCGCCGCCAAAAACATCTTCTGCTCCAAAAAGAATTGACATATCGGCATTTACCCCCGCATTGACTCGCCCCCCCGCCCATCCCACCCGGGTCAAAATCAGAAAAATGGATGAATGAGGATCACAAAACAGGTCCCTCCCTGGGAAAGACGGCGAGAGAAAATCAGGGAGAGAGGATCGAGTTTTCTGAAGAGAAAAAGGGTGTTACTAGCTTCAGTTTGGAAAGGGGGGAGAGAAAGAAGAGAGAGGAGAGAAAAAGAAGAGAGAGAGTGAGCGGGAGGGGGGCTGGAAAAATGTGACCAAAGAAGTCAAAGGGTGTTGTTTGAGAGTTACCTGGGAGAGGAGCAAAAAACTCTACCCCAACCTGATCCACCGATGAGAGAGGAGATCGATCCACAACGGAAAGAAAAAAAATCTGAAATGCCAAGAACGACCCACCAGAGCCTCCACTGTACCAGCGGCCCACTTGAGAGTAGCAGGTTAGCCTTTCTTTTTATCTGTTTTTTTCTTCCGATCCCAAGAAAAAGCTCAATCCAGCTGCAACTGCTCCATCCAGGCACCAAGAACGGCGTGATCCATGGCGTCCATCTGAGACTCGCCGTTGCCAGCCGAGTTGGCCTCCAGAGACGAGGAGGCGATCATCTTGCTCTTCATCTCCGGCGAGGGCTCCTTCACCAGCGACTGAACCCACGACACGTCTGGCTCCTCCCCGCCGGAGCAGCACAAAGTCTCGAAGGAGGACGACCGCTTGAATCGGCCACCGCCGCCGCCGCCACCACCAGCAGCGGCCAGTCCGTCGCCGTTGGGACCCCAATCGACCTTCCCCCCCGGGGAGCCCCACCGGGACCAGAGCTCACCGGCGGAGTTCGCCGGCGATCCCAGCTCCCTCGAGCTGAGGCTCCGAAGATGCTGCTGCTGCTGCTGCTGCTCCCGATGGGTGAAGCTGACTAACCGACTATTGATGGGTGACATGGGCTCCACTCCCCGGGGAGACATCCTCCCCGGGGACATCATCCCGAAGGAGGCCTGCAGAAAAGAGTTGTGCCCTGGTTCCGCCGTCTTCGGGGAGAAGACGCTGCTCGTGTTGATAGGCGAGAGCAAAGTCTGCTGCTGGAGCTGCTGGTGCTGCTGTTGCTGCTGCTGGAGCTGCTGGTGCTGCTGTTGCTGCTGCTGGTGCTGAAACTGGTTGAGAACGGCGGCCTTGTGGGACGGGGAGAAGACGGGCACCTGGTCGGAGCTGTACCGAGGAGACGGAGGCATCTCCATGGAGAAGAGATCCTCCAGATTGGACGGGGCGAGGCTCTTCGTCCTCCCCACTCCCGCGCGGCTGCTGCCCAGGCGGCTCTGCTGGGCGGAAGAGAAACTCGGGAACTCGTTCAACAGCTGCTGGGCGTCGAAATCAGGCAGCACCGAGAACTCGTCCACCTGGATGTCCCTCGCGCTGAGTGACGACCGCAGCCTGCTCGACTGTAGATTGCTCCCTGGTAGATGCAGAGTGGGCACGCTCGGCTGCGGCCAGGCCATGGTGGAGTGGATACCCCCGTTCCCTGTAGAGGGTGACATGGGCGGCGTGAAGGGCGACGGGGACATTACCGAGACCGAGGAAGGAGAACCCGGCAGCAAGCTCATCGCCGCTGCCATGTCCATCGCCGCCGCCGCCGCAGAGCTCGAGGACCGTGGTGACGGCACTGCCGAGCCGGTGGAGACGTACAGAGGGCGGAGTTCGTCGGCAGTGTGCGCGAAGAAGCAAACCCTGCGCGTGCAGCCAGTACCGTCCTTGCAGAGCCTGGTGCGGTACTGCGCCGGGTGAAGCCAACACTCGAACACCCCGTGGGCGTACTCGCAGAGGTCCCCTCTGCGGCAAGCTCCCTTGCGGAAGTCGGGGCAAGGGACGCAGCTGTAGTGATACTTCCTCGGATCTCGCCGGCGAGCGTTCTCCCCCGGGTGGACGAAGGGGCACTCGGTCCAGTCGTGGGAGTAGGCCCTCGAGCAGGGGCGAACCTTGAAGGAGAACATCCTGAATTCGTCCGTAGCGTAGATGCTGTTCTTGATGTCCGGCAGGGAAGGATCCACGGGGTACTCCCTCTTCTCCTTCTCCGTTGCCGCCGCCGCAGCCGCCGCCGCCGGCGGAATCTCGTGGGACTTCTCCGCCGTCGGAGAGGAAACCGAGTCCGAGTCGTCGGGTGAACTCGGAAGGTGGGAGAAGTCGTCCCCGCTTCCGGCAGAGTGGACGGCGGCGGTTGAAGAGGATGGTCCGAGCAGAACTTCCAGGGAAGCTCTCAGATGGGGAACCCTCGGGGGGACGACGATGACGTCGGAGGGGCGGCGGCCGGCGGCGTCGACGGACTCCGGATCGGCACCGGCTAGGAGGAGGACCTTCACGGCGTCAACGGCGTTGACGGATCCGCCGGATGCGGCGCAGTGGAGCGCCGTCGTCTTGTCGGAGCCGCAGCAGCGGTTGATGTCAACATCGTTGACGAGGGAGAGGATCAGCTCCAGGATCTCCACGCTCCCGTAGGTGGCGGCGACCATGAGCGGCGTCCGGTAATCCAGGACCATCTGATTGGAGCCCTTCTTGCGGCCGTACCAGAGGCCGATCTCGTCCACAGAGGATGAGCTGCTGCTGCGCTCGATGCAGAGCTTGAAGGCCTCCACGTCGTTGTTGGCTGCCAGCTCCAGGAGGCTGGAGGAGTCCTCCGAGTCCAGTGAGAGGAGGCTCATCGATGCGGGAGAGGAGGAACTTGCCGGAGACGAAGGAGACGATGATGACAAAGCCGAGGAGGGTTTCCGATTCTCCGGACCACCACACATGCTTCGGCTCACCGGGAACTGACCTAACAACATTCATGGCGGCATTTAGAAATCATCCATAGGAAAAGGTAAATCCCCGCACAAAGGCGAACCCAGGAAAACAACATCACGATCAAAAGATGCCGGAAGATGAAGCACCAAAGAGACCAGCAGCTTTCAGCGGAATAAATCGGAAAAGAAAACGAAGAAGACGATCGAATCAGAGCTCATTAGATGAGGAAAAAAGGGGAAGAGCAGAGGCGCCACAGACTGAAGCCGCCACTGCAGGCGGACTGAATCATAAACATCATCAATTCCAGCTCCGAAATCCCCGCCGTCGACATGGAACTACCTAGCTGGCACCATCACGCGAGAGAAAAACCGCAGTCCGAACAGGATAAAATCCCATTTTCGGCGAGGTAAGGAGGAAAAAAAAGGGGGCGGAGAAGATATGACCACGATCGACCTCGGAACAGTTGCCGGAGGAGCAACAGAACGATGCCGTCGGGGTCAAAGGAAACCGGAGGCCGCTCGCCGGCGAAGTATAGTAGCTCACCGGTTTGCAGCGGCGGGAGGAAGGCGAGACCCCGCTACACCACCGTCCGCCACGCAGGAAGCATCACCAGCACAAGAAACCCTAACGGTTGGGCCAGGACGCCACGCAGCCACGTCGCCGGCCGCCGGAGAGATCACCGGAGCCCATCTCCTCCACCTTCTCCGGCGAGAAAACGAGGAAAGAGAGGAGGGGGGGGAGGATCAGGAGAGAGAATGTCTCCGCCGCCGCCTGGCCTGATGAAAATGAGACCGAAATGAAACGCCGGCCAAATGCGGGCTACATAAATTCCGGGGGCCGCCGGAGGCAAAATGCGAGCCGAAATTCACCGAAATTCACCCCACATGCAGTACAAAGTAGGAGGTAAAAAGCGCCGCCACACACTGATCGCGTTGACCGGCACAGCCGGTGGAAAGGCCGGGGCGACTGGTTAGGTGGGCCGCCTCGACCGGCCGCCGCGCGTGCGCGGTCCGGAGATTTTTCTGGATTGAAATCGGCCCCGTGGAGTCCGCTCTGCACGAATCAGTCGCAGTAATTGACTCCCTGAGTACGCAGGAGAGAGAGAGAGGGAGCGGATTACAAGCAGAGTCAAATCGCATTAATCGAGGCAATGGGGCCCAGAAGGGGGACGCACTCAGCCGCGCGGACCAACGTCGCTTCTAAGATGGAGAGATTTTCAACAAGGTGTGGACCACCCAACGCTTCGCTTCCCCATATATTCGCGAAGTTTCCGATGCCCCCTATCTCCTCCGCTTATTTTTTTATAACCTCGTAATATCTTAATATATTTTATATCTGCTTTTTTCTAAGTATAGGACATTTTCTACCAGCTTTTTTCTTACAAACACCCCTGACACATGTACATTTTAGGTTATCCTTGGACGACCGGTGATCCGCGTGGATGAAATAAATGGACGGACACGATCCGCTGGCCGAAAAAGGAACGGTCATCGTCCATTAGTTCTCCCACGTGTCGACAGATTTTGAATGAATGGACCGGCCCGATCCGTTCCGACATCCTGGTACCACGCGATCGCTAAATCTGATTGGTTTGGCGTCACGTGGAATAGTGGGCCCCAAGCCCATCGCCATCCTACAATTGACCGAAAATCCAACGGGGGGTCATAGGGATGCACGGTTGAGATCGTATCCTGAATGTTGCCTGCTGACGTAAGCTAGAGAAACCCTGTGTAGCCCAGGAAACACGGCAGAAGAAGGTTTACTTCTATTTTTATTGGCAGATTCGTCCCCGAATAATCTCTAAATTCTCTTTAAACCACTAAATTTTTAGCTTCCGGAATATTTGGGGCCTCATATGATAAATATAAATTCTTAATTTTTTACGAGCAATTTAGTTTTATAAAAATAAAAATAAATTCCATATAATACATCGTAGAGACAAATAAAGCTATAAAAAAATCCATAATATGTACATTATCGACATTATCATGAACTGCCTATTTAAATAATGAAAAAAATAAAAATGGGAATAAATAAAAAATATTACATCTTAATCTTGTAATTTCAGTGAGATTATTTGCAATCGTGGTAAAATAGGTAAATATAATTCAGCAACTCGGGGTTTTTCATTTTCATTTAGCATCATATTTTTATGTCTAGTGTATGAAGGCGTTAAATAGACTTAAATTATAAGGCACGCTTCTCTCTCTCTCTCTCTCTCTAAATATTAAAAATTATATTTAAACATATTTTATCTTATTTGCATATTACGCATTATACGCTCTTGAAATCTGTCAAAAAAATGAGTACAGTGTTTTTTTTACGTGTCAAGCGCTCATTGGGCGGAGTTGCCTTAATGGTACTCCAGAACGTACGAGCACCCTTTTCTTTTTATATTGGGATATCCTTTAACTCATTCCCTTGGTTTTGGGGGAGAGAGAGAGAGAGAGAGAGAGAGAGAGAGCGAGGGTTGAGGTGGTGTGGGCCCACATCAGAATCAGAAATCATGATTAAGGCTTTCAGAGGGCCCACAATTTTAGTGGGCCTATATAACAATTAGTAGGCCCATGTACGTCCTACTAGTGGCGGGCCCCCACAGAAAAAACGAGTTAAACACTCCTATCCGGGTCGCCGCCCATTTGGCAGATTCGCCTGCCACGACTGTCTAAATTTACAAACTTTGAGTACAATATTCTAATTATTTATCATTTTGAGGGTTTTTTAAATAATTTTTCAAACCTCCCCGTATGTTCCAAAAATGTTAATCATCCATCCTCAGCCCTTTGTGGTTATTAAATCAAGTAGCCCATCGTATTTTATATTAGAAATCCTTTTTAAGTAACCTATAAAATATTAAATTTTAAGATATATATAATTGGGCTCAAATTCCTCAGCTACCCCCTCATATCACCTATAAAAATAATTGGCCCCACATTTACATTAAATCATTTTTTAATTTTATATTTTATTCCTATAGTTGGAGATGAAATATTCCTATAATTGGATATTAAATGCAACCGCGAGATGACGTGGCAAGAGAGGACACATAAATGGATAACGCAGGCCGCTTAAAAAGAAATCCACGGATGACGATATTTATTTAATATATATTTCACCGTGCTGTCCCCGTGGATGCGGCAAGGGGCATTGGAGTAGGGGGCAGCGGACCGAAACTTTAACAGATGACGTCATCATGACACGTCAGCTGATCAATCAGCGGTCCTCTCACTGCTCTCGATGCTGCTGACTGGGGCTTCGAGCGAGCGATTCGGTTGCGATCTCTTGCCCACTCTGACACGACACCTTGCGCACGTGTGAATCTCCGGGCAGTGGAAATTTGGGTCGAGAGATTCGAGGACCGAAGTATTTAAATAATACGGAAAATTAATTTAATTTAAGAACAGAAAATTAACGACGGCTGTAGTTGCGAGGCACTAATGGGATTCCACCTTCTCAACCGGATCATAATTGGGTCAACATTAACAGACAAAATGGCCCATTAAAGATGGGGTCGATCCGTAAACAGTAGCAAAAGTCGGAGACAGACAGAGCCATCGGCCTCCTGATGGAATTCGGCCGTCACAACTGGATCCGATTGGGCCAACAGATAACAAAGAAATGGCCCATTGGGGTTGGGCTTGAACCGTAAATAGTGGCAAAAGTTGGAGAGAGAGAGAGAGATTAGCAGAGACAGATCGAGTGAAAGAGAGAGCGACTGAAATATAGGCAGATAGAGAGAGGGATATAGAGAGAGAGAGAGAGAGAGAGAGACAGACAGACAGACAGAGAGGGGTTTGATCATTCGTCGGCTACGTCCTTGTGGTGCTCTCCGGTTTTCCCTCTCATGCACGACTTCACGAGGCTCTTCAGTCCCTTTCTATGGGACCTTCTCTCCTCCTTCTTCCTCTCCATCTCCATCTCCGCCTCCATCTCCTCCCCCATCTGGAGACCCAGCTGCTCGAGAGAATGCCAGATCTAGATGTGAACGAACGACCGAACGATAATTGAGGCAGCGGAAGAAATTAGGATTAGGGTTACACCTTCAGGACGCGGTCTTCGAGCCGGTGAAGGCGATCGATGAGGGGACCCTTCAGTCGCGTCTCTGTCACCACCTCCTCCATCGGCCGGCAGCGCAGATCGAGGCTCCATGGGGGCGACTCGGCGCCGACGCCGCCGTCACTCCCCGTCGTCGCCGTTCCGCTGGACGCCGAGCTCCGCCGCAGCCTGCCGCTGCCCCTCGCGATCTCCTCCAGGTGGCCCATCTGAGGGGGGGAACCAGAGGTTGAAGAGGAAGCCCTCAAGCAGACGGTTGAGAGGATTACGGTCAGAGTTAGGGTTTCACCATGGCGTCCAGGCGATCCATCCTCGAGAAGACGGTAGCCCCGGCCTCCGGCGGCGTCATCTCTGCGCTTCCGCCCGCCATCTCTGAGCTCCTGATGATATCGTCGCCGAGGGTTTGGCGTCAGGCGGGGGAGCCACGCGGCAGTACAAGAGTTTCCGACCTTGCCACCCCGTTGCCTGTCAATTTGCCACCTGGCTGCCGGTTCGCCGCCTCTCTCTCTCTTCACATTATCAGCTCAAAATGGGCCGAACAAGGGAGGCCTTCACATTATCACATTATTGGCTATTGAAGTGGCAACCTTATTATCAAAATACATAGGAACATGATTTGACACAGGGATGTGAAAAATTTTGAAGTATTAATACCTCCTAAAAGAGCTCACATACGAAATGGGTCATGGCTCTCTATTTAGATTTAACATTGGATTAATAAACAACATTTTGCTTCTTATATTTGGCTCAAATTAACAAGATATTTACGGAATATGTATAAAAACTTGTAGTAGATTGATTATGCATTAGTTTTTGGTTTTAATGCATGTAAATTTAATCATATTTATAACACAAAAAACTCTAAATAAATTCTATTAATAAAACAAGTTCAAGTTAATCTTCAATGACACTGAGAACCAGTTTTGATGGATTTCTATTTTTTCTAACACATATACTAATTAAAAAAAAGAACAAAATAAAATAGCATCAAAGAAATGATGTAATCTTCTCTTGAATACTTAAGATCCTCATTCACTAATTAATTTGTATATTTAATTCTCTTGTCAATTCTAGATAGTCAAAAACATATTAGAGATTATGGAATAGAAATATGAGAAAGGTGGTTGTCAATAGAATGACTTATATTGACATAGATGATATTTTGAAATAATTTAAACTAAGATCTAAAATAAAATTAAAACAAATGGAATACATAAGTACCTTGGTTGTCAATCAAGGTAAGGTAAAACAATTAAATTTGTGATCTTTAAAACTAAAATCAAATTATGATATTAAAACTAAAAAAAATTAAAGTAATATATTAAATATTAATTAAATATTATGACTTCAAATATAAATCTTTTCCTTTCCTTGTTCATCACCTATATATGAAAAAAGTTATTGAAAGTAATTAAAATCTGAATTTTAACTAAATTCATAATGATGAAGACAAAAAATAAATATGAAAGTCTTCTCATTTCCTTGTCTGTCACCCAAGAAAATGAGAAGAACAAAAATACTTCAATTAAATAAATTATATATAAAAATATTTCTAATTAAAGTTTGCCACCCAAAGAATAGAGAGATGAATGAAATGAGACAATAATTAAAGTAATAGAACTTTATTTCAAATTTAAGATCAATCAAACAACTATTCACAAAGAAATCATGATTTTTGGATCATCATTCGTTTAGTTCTAACATTTCAGATTTCTTAATTTTTCTTTGATTTTTTTCATCGGGTCAACCTATGGAAGACACAAGATTTGAACCTGGGTCACTCACCTGATAGGCAAGTCAACTGTCAATTGGTTGCTGCCACCTTTTAGTAATTTATTATTTTTATCATAATAAACTTACAAAAAAATCAGAAAAACATAAAAGTTCCAAAAATTGCTTAAATTTCAGAATAAAACCCCAAAAATTACAAAAAAATCACAAAAAATCTCAACTCATTTCATAATTCTAAATATTAATGTTTCTATTCAACCATCATAACTCACTATTCTTTTATTTTCAAAGAATATCAATAGATCAATGTAAGTACATAAAACTTTATTTTTCTGAAAACTATATCAATATATGTATTTTTTTAATAAAACCTAAACACAAATAAAAATTGACATCTTAACCATATAATTTAGGGTATTATTATAGACCTAATATCTTTATTAGCACCAACATAATCTGCATTAGAGTAGCCCCCACATATTAAAATGCTTGTGGTTCTAGAAATAAAGACCATTTCATAAGGATGATTATATATATCTCAATACTCGGCAAACATGAACCTAATCTACCTCCTTTGTATGTTGCATAAATTAACTCAATTGTCTAATTGTAACTGCAATGCTATGTCTAATAATGGTCAAATATAATAATTTTCTAATAAATTGATAATGTAAAAATTCTTTCACTACCATAGTAGCATCTTGATCACTACCACTAAGTAAAATATGAGCATTATATACTATCAAAATCACATACCTAGATAAACAATGTAGTGTAAAAAGTGAATGATCAATTAAGATTGTGTAAGACAAAATTATTATATTGCTCTATTAAATCTATCAAATTAAGTACAAGCACTTTACTTCAAACCATATATAACCTTGTTAAGTTTGCAAACTTTTGACCGCTCACCTTTAGTAATAAAACTGGTGGGTTGTGTCATATAAGCTTTATCAAATAAGTCCTCATGTAAAAATGTATTTTTAATATCAAACCTAAAAATTGTCCAATGATAGTTGACATAAGATATGGATAAAATTAAGGTGACTAGTAGGAGCAAATGTCTCAAAATAATCCACACCATATATGTGTATGTAAAGTTTTTGGCCACCAACTGAGCTTTGTGTCTTTTAATAAAAAAATTTAGAAGATATTTGAGGGTAAACACTCATCTACACCCCTACAAGTAATGCCTTTGGGGGTAGGTCTATAAGATCTCATGCTTGGCTAAAAATGAGAGCTGACATCTCATCCTTTGTCGCAACTTTCGAAAAGGGATGTTGTAATGCCTCAATATGATCACAGGAAATCTAGTGACTATTAACAAAAAATAAAAATTATTAAGTGAATATAAGAAGATATCCAAAGGTCATAATATGAGAAGATAGATGATCTTGAGCACAAGACCAATATCCTTTACAAGAGACAAGAATTACGTAAATCAATATCATGAGGAGGCTTGGGAGAAGATACTTTAGACCAATCTCTATCAAATGAAGCATGCCGTGGTGGAGTAATAAGAGGGTCAATAGTGGTGAGAGTCAACAATCTTAGACAATGATGAATTCAATTGACAAATAAGTGGGATTGAAGTGGGATTGAAGTGGTAGGTAGAGGAGACGGCATATGTACAGGAACCTGACTTGTAATAGTTATTTAGAATTCACATTTTTTGTTTTATTACTTTTTACACAACAAAAATATTTAAATTACAAAGTATATTATTATGAGCTTATATCCATGGACGTCCCACAGGCGCGTTCATGTCTGTGGTCGTCCCCGCTGCCGTGAGAGACCGGCTCTTCCCCACGTTAGACGAGTTCATCGGGTCCCGCCTCTGCAGCTGGGGGGGGAGGCAGCAGCGCCGCTATGGACGTCCAGGAGAAGGCCAGGAGAAGGCCATAGGGGTCAGTTTGGAGACGAAGCTTGATCCCTCCGCCGCCATTCGGTGAGAGATTTTTGACCTGCGGCGTGTTTTTCGTCTGCAGATGATCTTCTCCTCAGCGCTCAAGCTGATCTCCGGGATTGAGACTGGTGAAACGGCGGCGGAGCTCCAGGCGGAGTTCTTCAAGCTCGTTCGGGGGAACGCTCTGTCTCTCCGTCGATCTCCCCGGCAGCGCCTACCGCTGCGGACTTCAGGCAAGCTGTCATGCAACATTGAAGTATTTATTAAATAAGAAAGATGAAAAGCCACATTTATTAACTTATTAGGTGGTAATATAACTCTCAATAATTGCTAATCTTCTATGGGTCACCAATCATTTAATTGAACAGCCGATCATAGACTAGGAAAATTGAATAATTTTTTTTTAATGTAAATCAATATCTTCTTGTGAATAGTTAACATATTAATAATCATCATAATATGTTCGAGTGCGTAGTTGAAGAGTAGAATATATATGAGATTTTTTGAATTAAATTCGAAATAGATTTCGACTCAGCTATTTTTCATTTAATTAATCCTAGTAAATAGAGATCATTACTATTAATACTACGTTTAATAGAGAATCTTCATTAAAGTTACATTAACCAAGCAAAATAAGAATAAAATTACGAAAAATAGCTAATATTAAGTGTGGTGCACAGCAACTATACAAAGTAAGAACGGAACATAGTTTGTATAATTGAGATAAAATATGAATGTAAAATTTAAGTGAATTTTCTACATCTATTATTTATTGAAGGGGACAATCTTATCCGTTTATTATTAATATGATCATATTCACGTAAACATCAGATAAGAAAAAGCATGGAGCATGTGGATGATGAGCCCATTGGGAGTAATATCGCACATATTTCAAAGTCAACGGGATGCATATGTAAAGCCAAATGTGACAGCTGAGTGAATAATGGAGTCATGATTGAGGGACCTTTTCACAATTTAGGGCCATTCATGCGCTTACAATAATTTCCATCGGACCTCATTTTCAATTTAATAATTTATCCTGTCTTAGAAGTGCCTTAAATATTTTAATTTTGCTAAAGTCCCAGTAAGTTTTTATAATGGTATTGAGGAGAAAGGTGGAACATATAAACAGAATCTTCCGATGCCACCCCCAGAAGAGACCTCGAAAGCGATACGCAGAAGAATAAACAAATAAAAAGTTGGCCCCTTTTTGTAACTGAATCATTATACAGGGACTAGATTTTAAATCACCCCTCACGCATCTGTCCATGTCAAGGCGTGGTTCTCACGTGAAATTAACACGTGGACGAGAGACAGGTCGCCAGCTGCCATAACGAGTACATTCAGTCTCCGAGTCAGATATGGTCCCGGCTATCTCCGTCTCGGGATCTGATGATACCATCGTCACCGTCCGATGAAGGCGCCACGTAGGTTTTCCAGATATGGTAAAAGTAACTCTCACCTACTCCCCAGGGCGTTCCGCCACAAAACGACAAGCCCGTGACTGCGGGACAGAAGTCGCCGTCATAGCGAGATACCCCGGCGCTTTAATGTTTCCCGAGGTGGCTACCGGTACGTGGCTGCTGACCGTTCGTTTCCATGTCGGTGGCCGCCATCTCGACGTCTCCCGTGGCGGCGTTGAGGCTCCTGTCCATCCGGCAGAGAGAGAAGAGAGAGGAGAGAGTGAGAGATGTCTCTCCTCGTACGAACAGCCACCTGTTTGGGGGGTAGTACATTTTTGTCTCAGGACCTCGTAATTTTTTTATAATGTTATTACCCTTTTCTTACTGTGGCGGGAAGTAATGCACCATTTGATGAATTAGGATGAAATATTTTATAAATTAAATATGAAGAATTTGAATTTAATTTTTATACATAAACAATTGAATAAAAAATATTAATAATTTCCCATAAAATGTGCAGGATATAAATGGTTACTTATCTTATGTGAATAATTGGACAATGTCGTTTTTTAAAGGGTTTTCATGTAAATAACCACGAGACAAGTTAAAGCTACGAGAGAGAGTGGGAGAGAGAGTGAGAGAGAGAGAGAGAGAGGGGAAGAAAGGGGGGGGGGGGGGGGGGGGGGAAGAAGAAACAGAGTGGGTTCCCTTCAGCTCGGCGGGGATTGGTACGCTCTCTGCCTCGTTCTTGGTCTGGATCTGCTGCGTCTTATAGGAGGCGCCTGATGTGTTTGCAGTCGGGGATTCGGCGAGTTCCGTTTTGGGTTTTGAGTTATCGTCTGTGGTTTACTGTGGTCTACATCGTCTGTGATTTTGATTGGCTGGTTGTTGAAGTTGGGGAGAGGGGGATCTCGATTTGGTGGGCTCGTGTGTGAAGGATGAGGAAGGCCGGGCCTCGTGTCTGCAGTTGATGCCTCCATTCTCCTTGTCCCGGTCTTTTTCTGAGACCTCTTGGTAGCTTGGCGACCGTGTGGACGGTGTTTGAGGGTTCGGTTGGGATGGTGATTCCCCAGGAGGAGAATTTAGGGTTTGAATGGGGCGATTTAGTGTTTTTTTGGAGAGACGAGGTTTTGTTTCTGCCTCCCTATCCCATCATCCGCGTGGGGACGTCTCCGGTGATCGCTTTGTTTTTTGTTTTTTTCCTTTTTTTTTGAGTATTTTCGGTTCTTTTGATGATTCCTTATCTCTTTTTTTGTCTCGTCTCGGCTGGTATGATTGAAACCAACTACGCTCGTGAAGAAATCTAAAAATTCTGATCACGAATACGGTGACCGTTTTTCACGAAAATTCTGAGGATTGTTCTCAGTAGAGAGGGTATCCTGTGCACGAGCACCTTTCCACGTTCTACTCGTCTCGCTATTTCACCTTTTTTCAGCTCCTTGCATGTGTCTCTGTTGATCCCTTATCATGTTTCGTCCATCCCCCCAATTTTTTAATTATTGTTTTTTAATATTTTTTGGCTAAACAAGGATGCCTCTATTCTGCAGCCCGATCCTTGGAGAAACCAGAAGCATGCGGCAAGAATCCCTGAATAGAAGCACCATGGAGGCTGATGAACATGCCGCACGATCCGCCGCGGTGTGTTCTCAGCCATGGTGGCGTGGCGCTGGGTACGACGCCTCTCCAGGTTTAGGACTCGATATTGCATCAAAATCTCCTTCATTGGACGGCCTGGAGGTACGCGAAAAGGGAGGAGGTAGCCAGCCTCAGCAGGGGAGCGGCGTGGGTGAGGCCGAGGGCCATAGCAAGATAAATCAGGATAGAGCGGCTCAAGAAGGTTTGCTTTCTGTCGTGTGGAGTCAACTCTGTGTCGTGATCGCCCATGAAAGCAATCTCGTCCTACATACACTACTGAGCTAGTGGGAGCACCTTTTTAGTTCCTTCCATTCCGTCTGGGTTACATAAATTCGTCAGCATTTTTCTTGCTAACCTGTTGAGAGAAACTTCTTTCATGTGCTTGAGTATTCAGCTTTCAGGATCGGGAGACTATTCTGACTTACCAAACTTGCCGTCTGTTTCTATGATCTGGTTATCTAGTTGTCCGTTCTTTTCAATGTCTTCTGATGGTAATCTGGGGGAAAACACGCTATTTTGGTTTTCACATGCTCGACAGTGATCTAGAAGTGCTGAAAGGGCAGCTTCAGGGTTGCCATTGATGTAGGCCTCACAGGTTCTGTGTGCATATACAAATGCTGTGTGATTCATTGATGTCCTCACATGTCATCCCTGTTGCGACTAACTTTATACTTATAGTCTCTGAGAATGCCTTCTAGCAACTTATAACTTCTTTGTAGGGCCTGATGGGTACTACGGAAAGGAACAGCATCCTCAGCCAGTTGCATCCGCTGTGCCTCCTGTTGCAGCTGAATTCCTCGTACCACACGCTCAACTCGAACTTGGTCACTCAATTGTGCGTACTGGTTTCCTTTTAACCATTGCAGAATGCTTTTTTTTTTTATCAAATATCTTTATCGACTGTATGCATTTCCTAAAGTCTTCCTGCTCATCCTGTCCACCCGTTTTCATTCTCTTCAGGCTTGTGCACCATATATGTATCCTGAAACGTATTACAACGGGCTGTTGGGTACCTATGGGCCACAACCACTGGTGCGTACATCTTTCCATCTCTGATTGAATCGATGAACTCCATTCGGACTGTCTCACATTCATTTTGTTCTAAATTTGTGGGCTTATGCGCTTGTTGGAATATCAACGGCTCACGGATATCTATATTCCCTGGTTTACTGGGTCGAAGTTAATGTTTTTATTTATTTATAATTCTGTCCGCGCTTGTAGCTCACTTTTGATATCGGTATAAAGGATGATTTAGCAATGGAGAATGTTATTGCTTGAAAAATGCGTAATCGAAGCTTCAGTGGCTGATTGTTCTTGGAAACTGGGCAGGTAAATTCCCAGTTGCTCGGAATGCCTCATACTCGCGTGCTTTTACCTCTGGAAATGGCAGAAGAGCCTGTATATGTGAATGCTAAGCAGTACCATGGGATCCTGAGGCGCAGACAGTCACGTGCAAAGGCTGAGCTCGAGAACAAGCTGATAAAAGTTAGAAAGGTGAGTTAGATCAAAGAAAAGCTTAAGTCATGCCCTTTTGTTGGTCTTTGATCAAAGCCTTTCATGGAAGCTTCATCTAGGTAGCTGTATGTCTCTGTGTGCGCGTATTGTTCTCAAATGTGAGGTGTGGTTCTGCTAATGCTCATCCGAAGCATCGTCCCCCTTGCTGGGCATCATTTTATTTTCAGATTTGAAGCCCTGGGTCTCAGCGGGTGGAAGGAATTTAAACATAAATAAATCTCCAAAACCATCAATGCTGCTACCATACTCTCTCCATTGTTCTTTTAGACACAGAAAGGATCAAGCCAAGAATGAATTGCCTTCCAAGATAGCAGATAAACCAGGCACTGGACGATCAGAATTCCCCCTAAACTTCCAAGCATGCCGCCATCAAATGGTGAGGACCCGCTTCGGCGCCTGGTTCACCGCCATGCCACTCCGCTGCTGCCCTGAGCAGTCCCCATCCTCCGCCCTTTCATCCCCACTCCGCACTTTACAGGAACACAATAATGGCGGTGGGCATTTTTATGGGAAAACTATGTTGGTGACCTTAGTTGCATGGTTCCACATTCGGCACAATTCTTTTCGTCATGCCACATGTTTTGATGCATCTTATGCCAAAGGAGAGAAATAAAGAGAGAATGTTCGTCTCTTCGAAAATGTTAAGTCAAGCATCATTCATAAATCACCTCAATTTTTACAGTTATATGTTTTTATTGTTTCTCCTCAGCCATATCTTCACGAATCACGACACCAGCATGCAATGAGGAGAGCCAGGGGTTGCGGCGGCCGATTCCTCAACACGAAGAAGGCCGATCCCTCTTGCAAGACTGGTTCAAGCTCAGATCAAGCCCGATCCCCGCCGCAAGCCTCGGTCTCTGAATCTCTACCTGCCGACTACTCGGGGGACCGAGGGGCGCACGAACTGAAAGCCCACATGGTGCAGGGGATCTGTGATGGCTCATACCAGTCGCACGCCGGATTCCACTTGTCAGCGTTTCACTCAATCTCGGATGAAAGGGCGGAGGATGGGGACTGCTCAGGGCAGCAGCGGAGTGGCATGGCGGTGAACCAGGCGCCGAAGCGGGTCCTCACCATTTGATGGCGGCATGCTTGGAAGTTTAGGGGGAATTCTGATCGTCCAGTGCCTGGTTTATCTGCTATCTTGGAAGGCAATTCATTCTTGGCTTGATCCTTTCTGTGTCTAAAAGAACAATGGAGGGAAAACCCTTCCTGCTCTCTCTCTCTCTCTCTCTCTCTCCTCATCCATGTGATCACTGTGGTCTCTGAATTGTGTAAAGAGTAGCTAGCAGTTCGGTGTCAAGGGCTCTGTGGTCGAAGGACTGGAACCGTTTCAGTGGTCTCGTGGGGGTTTTCTTGGATGAACTCTTAGGCTCCGGATATTTTGGGTTATCTGTCATCATTAGTTTCCCCTGTCTGGCTGGTTGATTGACGCATTTTACCATCGTCTTGTCAGTAATTTGCAGAACGGCGGACATCTGATTCTCTCTTGCTGGTGGAAGAAGTCTCTTTGGGAATAAATAGCTCATTGCAGGAGACCCAAGATGGATTTTCCCCTTGGGGAAATGGAATCCATCAGTTTAGATTTCATATCGGCGGTGGGTTCAGGGATTTGGCTTCCCGTTCGAATCGGTGTTGGTTTGACTGAATAGGTGGACTAGAGAGTTGACTTCTGTGGTGTTGTGGGCATTATCTTTCATCAGAGTCAACGCCAGTGCCAGCTTCTTGAAAGCAAAGAAAAAAAAAAAAAAAAAAAAAACAAAGAATGGTCCTTTTAATGGCTTGCTCTTGTAAGGATTCGAGCGGGACGAATCTCCGACTTTCTTACAGCTGCAACAGGAACTAACCCTAATCAGAAGAAAGCAAGAACATGGAATTCGCTGAAGATTTTTTCCAAGAAATCTCAATGGATCAAGAGATCCGGAAGTGGGTTTATGCTTTCGGAAACAGACGAGAGATGGAGAACAGAGATTGCATGATCATTACATACACCATGTGACGAAAGCTTGCAATCTTTGCACAGTTTTACAGAGAGAGAGAGAGAGAGAGAGAAAGAAAGAGAGATGAGGGAGAAGAGAGAGAAAGTGAGAGAGGGAGGGAGAGAAAGGGCCACCGGCGGCGCCGCCTGTTTACTTGCGGCAGATGCTGGCCGTGGGCATCGTCACGCAGATGGGGGCGTACTTCTTCTTGGCCTCCGGGGTCCCCTTCTTGGGCTCGTCGTCGGCCATGGCGGCGTTCTGCGCCGCCCCAACGGCGCTGACGGCGGCCGCAGCTACGGCTAGAATGGCTGCCCTCCTTCCCCGGGCTCCCTCCGCCTCCGCCGCAGCAGCGCAGCCCTGGGCCTCTGGCCTCACTGCCTTCACAACCAGTAACCGGCGGCGGCTCGCCGCCGGCGACGACCTCTCGGAGACACCGGCGGCGCCGCCAAAGAAGGACGTGGGCATGGTGAGGGACGCCATCTCTTCTTCTTTTCCTGGCTCCGCCGGTGACGCGGTCTCTCTCTGTGATATTCTCACGCCGCGGAGGTCCTCTAAACGCTGCCGAGGGCGTGGGTTTGCATAAGAAGCGGCAGCGGGAGGTCAAGGGATGGGGTCGCCCTTGCGGCGTGGTTGGCCGAGGCCCCGGGGTTATCTTATCCACAAAGGGCGACCACCTATGGGAAACTGCCAGGTGGCATCATGGCGGGGCGCCTTATCCACCAGGTACTTTTGCCAAATGGGAGGACGAGGATTCTCCGATAAACCCGATAGGAGGAAATGGGTATCGGATCGTCGGCAGTATGTTTCACTGGCTGTCGGAGCCGCCTTGTTCATAAAATGGGAGATGGGAAGTAGTGTCTTGCTTTGTTAGCTCTCTCTGAAACTCTCTCTCTCCTCCCATATTGTTGAATGTTGGCTATGGGATTGATCGGTGGCGGTAGGTTTTACATATTACTTCATAATATGGGAGATGAGAGTAATTGCTCTCTCTCTCTCTCTCTCTCTCTCTCCCCTCCCATATGTATTCCTTGTCCTTAAGACCAAGTTATTGGATGTTGGCTTGGGAACCTTTCATGTTTGATGTTGTCAAAATGCATAGAACGGTAAACTAATAATTTTACAATAATTAAAAATGATACGCCATTATTTAAATTCCCAATGTGATTTCAATATTGATTGCATGATTAGTTGTCTCTTTTTGGTTTCTTAAGAAGGGAGTTGGCTCATGAGTCTACTCATTAAATGAGATTATAGTCTTATACTCAATCGTGATAAAGAACACTATGGCCATAATAGTATTTTATATTCATAGGATTATATTCTAAAATCTAGACAAATCATTACTCCTTTGGGTTGTATCATCTACAAGTTTTTTCTCCACTTTGTAATAACTATGTAAACCTACTTAGTATGAGAAATGATTTATCTATCAATATAGGAGTGAGACAACTCACCTTAAGAAAGAAGTTTAAGACTTTTAATGACCTAAGGAGCAAGTCAACATATCTAATAGGAAAATAATCAAATCACTTTTGGCAATAGAGTTGACTCACTCAACATGAACAAGCCTCAACATTGAGAAAAATGAATACAAAGGTAAAATGCTAATTTTACATTTCAAAAATATTTGAATATTTACAAAACCCTTAGATATATTAGAAATGCTACAATCTAACATTTGAAAACCAATATCTATAGCATTGCCACATTTTAGCAAGTGTTTTTGTGATACCATCTTTGCACCTTGACTTCTTTGATGTCTAGAGCAAGTAGTAGGATATCTCACTATTAATTAATATTGTGTCTTGACACATTTTTTTCATTTATATAGATGATGAATATAATATATATTATATTATGAAAGTTAATGTACCAATGAGTTAATATATATTACAATATCACAATATGAGTTCCAATCATGTTAAGTGGGGCCTATCTTTTTGTGTAATTATTGAGGCTGGGCATAATTTATCTCCTCTTTTTAGTGGATAACTTTTAATGGCAGTAATGATAAATAAATTTCACAATTAAAAGATAACTATTGAGTCTTGTCATAGGTTTACAACAAGTCAAAAACTCTTGGTTAATGCAATAGTAATTTTTATGTAGATTTTTAAGAGTTTTTGTTATAGTAAAAAGTGCATTTTTTTGTTACAATTTTGATGCAAAAAATCATTCTCAAAATCATCAAAAATATTATTAACTCAACAATTTTGGATGGCAAGAAGAGGATTGACCCTTCTATTATTAAAATATAGTTTATGAATATCATGATATATATGATACAAGAAAAATAGAGGTTGGATTTTAATTGTTGAGGATGAAAAATGTCAATTAAAGAGCCTTGGAAATAACAACTTGCTCTAGTAATTAAGCTAAGGTGTTGACAAATGACATCCAAAATGTTTGCTTTTGAAAAGTAAAAATTGGTAACTATAAAATGTTGAAAAATTAGTTATTTTTAACAAACTGAAGATATAATAAATCCTCAAGTGCAATCATGAATGTTGGAAGTTTTTTTAAAGACATGTATTTTAATTTTAATGTATTTAAATTATACACTGATTGATTTCTAAATATTTTTACAAATCAAAAGTTGATTTAGGTGCTTATTATATTTGATCAAAAGTTAATCCACTCATTAATTAATAATTCTAGATGTTTCTTATATTTGATCTCTAGATCAAACTCTTGTAATAATAAAATCCACCTAATTAGTTGTGGCTTAGTTTCCTTTTTCATGGGAAAATATTTTAATGTTGAATGGTGAGTGTATATAATTACTTTTATTCTTAATAAATAAGACTTAAATTTTTTTAGGCAAAAAGTACTATTAGCAACTCTTTCATTTGTCATGTTGCTAGCATAATATATGACTAATAGTTTTTTAATCTATTTTCTACCCTAAGACAACACTTAAGGCACAATTAGATGTATCACACATGATCTCAAATTGATAGCTCAAATTGGGAGCTTTTAAAATAAGTGCTTTTATGAGTGTGAGCTTTTAAACATTAAATACTTGAAGGCATGAAACGTCAATATGAAAAGAAGCCTCTTGTACCTAGATTGTGATTAATGGTTTGGTAATTTTAAAAAAGTTCTTAATAAATCTTTTACAAAATCTAACATGTCTTATCAATGATCTAAGTTGTTTTACAAAGGTGGGTGGAGTTAAATTTTGGATCACTTCCACTTTAACTTTGTTTACTTCTATCTCCTTTTCACTTCCACTAATAATGTGTTTTAGTACAATCCATTTTATAACCATAAAATAACTCTTTTTCCAACTAAGAAGTAAACTTATTTTAACACATCTAGCTATGACTAATCTTAGGACATAGCTATTTTCTTTTAGAGATTGACCTAGGTGATGAAGGTTTTTGGGAACTGCTACCATGGATTAACTAAGATGAACATAACCTAATTTAATTAAGAAAAATAAAATTTAAATGAGAAAAATAAATAAAGAGGAGTTAGACGCTATACCAACTTCTTTAACTCTCACTTCTTCTTTGCAACTACTTCTTAACTTTGAAATGATTTTTTAAACAATTTTTTAGTTATTATTATTATTATTATTATTATAGTCTAGAGTCCAAGTCAAGTTTTGTATCGTCTATGGTGGTCTTGTCACTATTTGTGCAAGCTATTTTGTGGCAATGGACCCACTAATTTGATGTGGCTTATTCATTTTTAGGTAAGGTGTCAAATTAAGATATTTATATTTTGAGTTATTTACAAATTAATTTTTAATCTTAGTAATTTTTGGGTTGATCTACGAGTATGTAGACATTGTTTGATTTTAGATTTTTGACATTCAAATTGTAATCTGGTGTCTCATGATCCTCGAGAATCAATAAGCAACTAGGCAACCATTAGGAAATAAAAGAGTCAATTAGAAGAAAAGGAGAGAAGTTTTGACAATTGAGGAATGAGGATGATATATTAATTGCTACTGAAGATATAATATCATCAAATTAAAATCTTTGTTGAGTGCAGATTTTGAGATAAATAATCTAGATTGAGCTACGAATTTTCATGGGATGTAAATTTATATAGACAAGAAGAAGAGACAATTAGAGATTTGACAAAAATAGATATAAAAAAGATTCTTAAATTTTCTTGCTAAAGGTAATAAAAAATATGTAGATACTTATTTGACTGATCATTTTATATCTCTAGTTAGATATTTAAAACTAAGAAAAAATTGAAGAGATGAAGAATGTATCCTATGTAAATACTGATATTAATTTGATATTATACCATAGTTTGCACAATATTGAATATTATACATGTTATTAGTTTAGTGAACAGATTTATGACTAATTCAAGAAATGAGCCTTGAAAAGTATTAAATTGGATTATGAGGTATCTCAATTATGTTATTGATGCTAGAATTATATTTTAAATATAAATTAAATACAAATTAAAGGTTTCATTTTTGTTGATTTTGTAAGTGATATGATAACTAATGATTCACTATGAGTTGAGTGTTTACTCTTGTAGGGGGACAATTAATTGTAAATCATCACTTAAAATGACTATTGAATTTACCTACAATGGAGGTTGAGTATATAGTTTTGGTTGAGACATCTAAAGAGCTTTTTAAGATTACAATTGGTAGATGAATTCAATTTTAATCAAGGTAGAATTATTCCACATTTTAATAGCTAAAATATTATTTATTTGTCAAAGAATCAATTGTACTATGTGATAACAAAACACATAAATGTAAGATATCATAACAGTCAAAAACTAATTAATATAGGAGATATCTTGTAAGAATAAAGATCAGATAATAGAGAATATTAGAGGTATGGTGACCAAATCAATCACAATTGAAAAATTCAAATAATGTTTAAATTTAATTGAACCATCAACTTTTTTAAAATGTGAAAACTTTCTCACATAAAATTTAAGATGAAATATCAAAGTTGATTGAGATATTTACAGGTGGAGACTTTTGATATATGAATCATATCGTGACTATGTTATACTTAACACATTGTTTAAAGCTTATTGGGCTGTGCATTAGCCCAATAATTGAGGAACATAATACTTCAAACGTGGCATGCCTTTTTGACATTTTAAAGAGGTACTTACATAACTCTCTTGTAGGATGAGATGGATGTATAAATAATTATTTCAGAACCTGATTTGGGACATTCTAATTAGTCTTAACTTTTTAGTTTTTTTCCACATGCTATGTGTGTCATGTTATGGGTGATTCTCCTTTCATTGTCTCTTATTATTACTATAAAGGAGATTAGTTAGAGTAAGATTATTTTCAAAAGTACATGAAGTAAGCAGTTAATTGTTCTTGGAAGAAAAGGGAAAAAAAATAGAGCTTTACTATTCTTGGAAGAATAACAAAAGAGATGGATAGTTGGCCAAATCTCAAAAGTTAAAGAGAAGAGGTGGAGAGGCAAGAACCTTGAAAATCATATTATTTAGATTGTTGAAGCCAATTGAGTCAGATTTTTCTCACCAAAATTTATTTGTCATCTTCAAATAAATGTTTCTTTCTAGATTTTATCTTTTCTCACTTGTATATATCCAAATCTTCAACAAAGCTCATGTCAATAGTAGTTGGTCCAATGACTAAGCTACAAGGATGATCATTATAATAATCAAAATACTAATGAACTAATTGTAATTAATTCTCTACCCTTGATATGGTTCTAAAATGAAAATTTTGATTTTTCAGCTATAGAATCTTAGTTTGATTGCTTCAACAATTTTAGATTTGAGAGATGACTTTTCCCTAACCTTGAATAGTGTATATAGTTTTTATTTTTTTATGTGAACAATTCCTTTTGTGGATTTGGATGTAGTGGCTCTCACCTCCTTCTCTTTGGATGCGGGAAAAGTCTCCTTTTAATAAGTTGAGGTTTTGGTGTAGACTAATTGTTTACAATGACTATAAATAACTGAAAATCTGTTTGTTAGTTGTCACAATAATGACAAAAATATTACCTTACATAAAATTGTAAATATTATAATAAATTGATATCTTTGAATAATATTTATTGCATCATGTTATTCAAAGTCTGTACATACTTATATGTGATAGGAATTTGCGTGTCAAACTTATTTGAATCATCTTGTTTCAAATTTTCACTTTTTTTAAAGCATGAGACCATTTACCAATTTGATCCCCAAGTGTAAATTTAATGCAAGTATGACAATTGATTTAGTTGCAAAAATATCATAGCGTACAAAGGGCTGATTAGAATTATATGCACTTTATAAATTATTTAAAATAGGGTAAAATGAATTAAAATTTTAAATTTTCTAATTAAATATTATAATTGAATTCAATAAATTGGTTAAAGAATGAAGTCATTTGCTTCCACAATCAATAAAGGATTCTAAAATTGATATTTAAATCAACATTCAAATCGATGTCTTATATTAGGGTGAATTAAAAACTTTAATTTTTGCTAAATAATCCTATTTGAACTTAATAAATTGATTTGATGATTATAGCATTTAAGCTATGATCAATAAAAGCATTTTGAACTTGATATTGAAATCAATATTTTTACTTAATAATTATAGTTGAATCCAATAAACTAATACAATGCTTGAAACATTAAATTAATTATTTGTAAAAGTATTTTGAATTTGAAATTTGAATTGGTGTGATGCACACAACTAAACTAGCCATTCTCAATTCTAGGAATTACAAAATCCAATTTGGACACTAAATTAAACTTTGTAAGGTGTAGCAATTAAAGTGATTAGTCAATGAATTGATCTCTTATTGAGGGTCACATAAACATTGTCACTATATTTATGCCCCATATAAATAAGAAAGATGAGACAGGTGCCTTAGTCAATTTTTTTTCAATGTGTTTGAGTCCTTCATGAAAAGAACAAGGGCACCAATCTTCCTAGCTATTTGCTCCCAACCTACTTATATATTTTCTATGCACACCTGCGTAAATTTTACTCTTCCTCACAAGTACAAATATCAAACACAAAATTTCATCTCACATACCTAAAAAATACCCTAGATTCTTGCAACACTTGCATTTGATGACAAACTTCTGCCACTTAGAACACCTATAACATGCCCATAAAGCAAAGCTCACATTCTTCCTTTGACATGGAGTTGTGTGCAATCATTGTTGTGTAGGTAACCTTTTTTTTTAATGGTTTTTTTTAATAGATGGGCAATTTTTCTTGGTGGTAGTGGTGGTTAGTCATCATCTTTAATGGCATTTTTTTTTTTTTTGCATGTTATTCCCTTTTTTTTAGGCTCAAAATGGTTGAAAATTTGAATGGCTACTAGTCAATGTTCCACTATTGCTTCAAGTTGCTGCATCAATGTTTCTTCTAATGTGATGATGATGAAGTGACTATTTTACCCTTCTAGTGTAAGTTAACATCAGGGTATTACTGCTATTATTAACCCAAAGTCAGGCATCTTTCTGACTTGGGGGACGGCCACGTGGTGGGGAGTGGGCTCATAGCATTTCAGGCTTTGAGCAGGGCCCAGAAAAAAACCCCAAATTGGTTTCAGGCCGAGCCCATAGTTGAATGGGTCAGGTCGGGCTTTAGATGTTATTGGGCTCGGTACCTTTGTAATTGATTAGTCACGGATTTTGGTATTTCTTCTGGCTAATCGGTTTATTAGATATCTGCCCTCCCCCACTCCCCCCTTGGTGCGTTTTGCTCGCGAGGCACAGGTACACTCCCCGTCTCTCTCTCTCTCTCTCTCTCTCTCTCTCTCTCTCTCTCTCTCTCTCTTCTGGGTGCTGGTGCCGCATCTTGTGATCGGTGCCGGGAGAGAGAATCGCCTTGGGATTTTCTTTTTGAATACGCACTCACTTTGCTTCTTTCGGTTTCCCGGGCTTGCTTACCCCCGTTTCTACTTCTACTACCGTCCAGCGCGGGTTTTCAGGTCGTCAGGAGTGGGGTTTGGAACTGATGGATTGATTGGATGTTCCCCCTTTTAAACTGAAGATTTTGAAAATTTTGGACCTTTTTTGTGGATTCTGCAGGAGTTAGTGGATCAGCAACTTTCTCCCGGACATGGAGGAGACTGAGATTCAGGCTAATCAATCTAGTGGTAATTACTTGTTTCATTGTGTCTTTTGACGTTTGAGCCTTCCTTCTTGCTGGATCTTCTGCCGAACTTAATTCTCAAACAATGTTGTTTAGTTCGTCAGATTTAGTATTTTTGCTATTTATCGATGATCTCTATTTAAATTCTGGATTTTTTTCTCATTTTACGAAAAAATGTATCTTCCTGCCATGGACGAAAATTAATTAATCAGGAGGATCTGTTTTGGAAGCTTACAAATTCTTCAAATGCTAAGTTCGTGAACTTTTTATCCAAAGTTCGGAGCAGTCTAGTAATTTCTTTGGTGACGTCGATTCCATTTAGTTTCCAAATGTATAAACATTGAGGAAACACTTTATTTATGAGCAAAGAACTTCAAACTGTAAAACTTGCGATATCAAGAAAAATTTGTTCCAGATGATTTTTAGCTGGGTAATTTTTTGCATCATGGCCTCCCAAAGCATGGTGACGAAATGCGATTTATGTGGATTGATCTGTCCATCTTCTCAACTGGAACGATTTGAGGCTATCTCTTTTGGTGTTTACATATAGCATCGATTTCTTGTTGACCTTTTGCTATCCTACAATCCTCTTTGATGTTGACTTTTTGGTGACATGGAGAAGTTAGTGATGTTGTCTGTTTTTGGTGTCTTACTTATCGAGGGATCTGCTCCTACTGAAAGAACCGAGACAACTGTAGGAAGAAACCATAAAATTGAAATTATTTCATATTTCTGGCGGGCCTCACCAATACCTTCTTGAACTTAATAACTCTCAAACTCTCATTACATTCACGATTGGTAAATAGGCATGATGTATTTTCGTAATATATGACTAAAAGTGTTTGGATGAAGCACCAAGGCATTCGTCTCTTACCAGTTCTGCACACTGGAAGCATGCCATATTTTTTTTAAAATAAATAAATAAAAATCTGTTAAGTTACAAAGGCAGGCGAGCTCTTAACTGTGAGGTGGCTGACGTGGGGATTACACACTGCTGCAATATTACCCAGAGAAAGTACCGATATGAAACACAATATTCACATAATTCTGGATTGCTCTCAGAAAGTAACAATACTGTGAACATATTCTCTTATAATATTCAATTTTAATTCACATGGTCTTCGTTACAAACTGCTAGGCATGTAATTGTCGTTGTATGTTTATTTTCGTACGTGGATGCTTCACCTAGCGGTGAGTTTACACGCAGAGAACCGGGGAAAGAGATGTGTTCCTCTGGAAGTTCCTCAAGTCTGTGTCGTCCCTTATGTAAAGTTTACTTTTATAGGAAACTTAATGAACCTTTAATTTCTATTTTCATAAAGTTGTTTGTAATCTAATAACCAGCCTGAAAATGCATTTCTAATTCATTTCAGTGCTTCTAATGTTTAAACTTTGATGTTTTCTCTGCAGGATCTGATGCTGAAAATGAGATTGTTACTGAGGGGGCTGCTTTTGCACGCCCTGAACCTGTGCAGGACAAACAAAGTCCACCAAAGGTCGAGTCCGAAATGGAAGTCCTGCATGAGAAAGTAACTAAACAAGTCATCAAGGATGGTCATGGTCAGAGACCACCAAAATGGTCAACATGCTTCTGTAAGTGGCACATTAACAGGTTTCTTGTTCGTTGGTTGTTAGGCTAAGGCTTCCAGTATAGTTTCCCTTTCTTGATCAACATGGGACTCGTTCTTTCTGGTTTGTTTTGAGAGGAAACACTAAAATTCTTTAATTTGGCAGTACACTACAGAGCATGGGCTGAAAACAGTTCACACAAGTTTGAAGATACCTGGCAAGAACAAAAGCCTCTTGAGCTTGTCTTGGGAAAAGGTACAAGTGTTTCCTTCACCGTCCCCTCCTCTCCCCAGCAGAACCCACACACAAAAAAAGCAAAAGGAAAAAGATGCCTTAAGTAAGTGGATCAGCATGTCCATTATGTGCTTTAGGCGCTAAACCTAGATGAACGCTCCAAACTCTCTGTGGCACATACTTTCAATAGATCAAAGAGGAAAATTTCTCATCTCAGACTGAAATCATCGAATCCACAGTATTCACATAAACTCGTCAATTTTGGAAGGAGCTGTTGATAAATTACCTGCTCACAAATTTATATTAATGAATCAAATTTTATCTACATAGTTATTGTCTTTATAGAATAGAATAACCGTTTCTCTTTGTAATAAGGAGCCTACTGGGAGTCGTTCTTAAAATAGATTTTTACCTGATGGCTGTAGCTCACCTAAACATCATAAGCTTGCCAGTATGTCTTCTGAATTAAGATTGATTTTTGTGATACTATGATATGGTTGACACAGACTAGTGTTGACTCATGACACTTTTCGGAACTGGAAATTGTCGAAAACTATACAGTAACGCAAACCCTAGGGGTATATACAGTGGAAAAAAATATCTGCTTCTTTTCACACCACAGATGACTGCTAGTTATAAACAAGTACATGGGCCACGAAATAAGTAAACTCTGACAGAATAGGAAACTGACCAACTAAGAGCCGAACTTCTAAATATAAATTCATTCCTACAGTAATCTATCCTAAATGTGTGAGGTACCCTCATGTATCTACCTTATCTGTCTATAAGAGAAGCTGGCACAAAGGAATCGATTATTTATAATATGATTAATGTTAGTTTCCAAAAGGTGATTGACATAAAGTTTTCAAACCAAAAATCAAGTGTTGATATGCTTTTTCGGCATAACGACAATCTTTGCTGGAGTCACACTCCAACTTGTAGGCTGCATGTTCCGGGCGGGATTCATCTTCCACTATGGATGCGGATTGAGATCTAGGGGTTTGACTGATTGGACATGCTTGCTATGAACGGCGATTTATTCAAGTTTTTGTCAAATTTCTTTCATAGGTAAAAACGATCTATGGTGATTTTGAATAAGGGAGTAGTCTGTTAGAAGGATACAAGGCCAGCATGTAGTGAAGTCTCAGTTTTCTCTCGAGGAAAAGACTGTTTTATACATAGATTTTGTGGGAAAAGGGATAACTTTGATCTTAATGAAGATATCTGTAATATTATCTAGGAGAAATATCTGTCACTCTGGGGCTGTGCCAAATGTTAATTGTACTTATCTCTTCTGTTCCCACTCCTGTTTCTGCTCTGATTTATTTTCGATGAATTAGATTTTTCACCCTCTGGAGAAATTATTAGCACCAGAGAGAGAGAGAGAGAGAGAGAGAGAGAGAGAGAGAGAGAGAGAGTAGGTCCCTTGCGAAATGAGAAGTTTGTCTAGTGGCAAGGTTAAATGATTCTTGGGTCAGTGCTCGTCCAAATACATCTATATGATTACATATACCTGCTCCAGTATTACGAGGTTAACACTTTATAGTACTTGTGATTACCCTTATTTACTTTGACATAATTCGTGAGGTTCTATTGCACCGCAGAGAAAAAGGAGATGACAGGTTTGGCGATTGGTGTCTCAAGCATGAAAAGTGGCGAGCGTGCAGTATTGCATGTGGGCTGGGAACTTGGCTATGGGGAAGAGGGAAACTTCTCATTTCCAAATGTACCTCCAATGGCAGATCTTGTATATGAGGTCGAGCTCATTGGGTTTGATGAAATGAAAGAAGTAAGCTCTCATTATCTCGTCTAAAGAGGATATTCAGTTGAAGACAGCCGAACGCCTCTGCTATTTACTTAAAGTGGGCTAGTGGTCGCCACTATTCCTTTTTCTTTTCTGTTCTACACCTTTGTGACAAAATCTGGTTAACCTCTCATAAAGAGAACTAAGAGTTTACTGGTTCTTGGGATTTCATGATTGCTGCACTTTGTCCCAGAGATTAGAGTTTTAATGTTTTCAAACCGTGTGGAGTGAGAAATACTACCAACAATGGTACTTTAGTTGACGCATTTCAGTACATTTGACAGGGGAAAGCCCGGGCTGACATGACTGTGGAAGAGAGAATCGAAGCAGCCGATAGACGTAAGATAGAAGGAAATGCGCTCTTCAAAGATGACAAGTTAGAGGAGGCAATGCAACAATATGAGATGGTTACGGGCTTTCAGCCGAATTGGATTCCATTTTCATTTTCATTCTTATCACATTTGATTAAATTTGTGACAGAACGCGTGCCTTTTCTGTCTCAGGCTGTAGCTTACATGGGAGATGATTTCATGTTCCAGCTATTTGGGAAGTACAGGGACATGGCTCTGGCTGTGAAAAATCCGTGCCATCTTAACATGGCTGCATGCTTGATAAAGCTGAATCGATATGAAGAGGCAATTGGGCAGTGCAGCATTGTACGGAATAATCCTATCTCCATCTCTCTCACTTGATTCGAAAATTTCATAGCTTCTCACATGAATTTGCACAGTCGTAACTTGCACTAAAAAAATAATCTTCCTTTTCACGTGTATTCTGCGGCCTTAATCTGTGCTGAAGATTTATTTTTTTACGTTGATATATAAACTTACCTTTATGGGTTGGTTTGGCTTTTGAATAAGCTTATCGTTTGTATTATAGCTATGACAAGTGCACAGGATTGTTTAACTTATTTTTCTGGATGCCTGATTTTCTGAATAACGAGGGCCATTTAGGTAATATGAGTCTTAGTTGTGGGCTTGCTAGTAATTTTCAGCTGAATTTATATCATGCTCCAGTTTGATTTGTACAAAATAAGTTGAAATATCTCTGCTCTAATGTAAGCATAGAGGAGAAAAGTGGATTGCATTTTAAAAATCAAAGTCCTTATATTCTTTTGGTATTCAACAAACATGAAATATGTTTTGGAATTAGAAAAAAGCTCTCCACGTGATATCATTTTGGTTTCATGTGATTTTTATTTTTATACTCGTATTTTAGCTACTCTTAATTATTTCCGAGAAAAAAACCCGAATTTAATTTATTTTTATTTCATTAAAAGGGCCATTTATTTTCTATTTTCCTATGCTTGGTGTTTATTTTTCTGTTTTTTATCACCTGTGGAGATATTTTTCCGTTATTTCATTACAACTGCATGATATATTTGTATACTCAAAATCAATAAGCTTGGGGTCTCCTGGGTTTCAGGTTCTGACAGAGGATGAGAACAACGTTAAAGCTCTGTTCAGGAGAGGAAAAGCCAGATCAGAGCTCGGCCAAACCGATTCTGCACGAGAAGATTTCCAAAAAGCCAGGAGACTCGCTCCCGAAGATAAGGCCATCGCGAGGGAGCTCCGTCGGCTCGCCGAGCACGACAGAGCCCTTTACCAGAAGCAGAAAGAGATCTACAAGGGGATCTTCGGGCCACGGCCCGAGCCCAAGCCCGAGAGACGAAGGTGGCTCGCACTTCTCTGGCATTGGCTGATTGCTCTTCTATCTGGGCTCTTCAAATTCAGGAGAGAGAAATCAGAATGAACCAATTCTTACCTGTTAGGTAGGTGCCTTGTTTCTATTTTGGATTATCCATTCCTTAATCATTCCCATGAACTCGCTGAATGGGCTGTCGGTGATTTAAATCCTCATCATGCTGAACAAATTCCAATTTTTATGTGCCGGGTTCGTTTTTTTTCGATTCTGGGTTATTCGTTTTCTGTTTCATCGTTGACTTAAATTTTTGGGTCTCATCGTGGTGATTGAGAACTGATTTTGATGTGGTGGGGGTGCCTCTGCTTCGATTTTGGGTTATTTTTTTCTTTCTAGTCGCATCCCAGAAAGCCCAAATCGGGCTATAAATGGCTTCATGTTCTGTTGACTTAATCATGCCGATCAAGAACGCCGAACAATTGATTTATCACTGATTTGACTCTACATAACAATTGATTCTTGGGAAAATAATCAAAAAATAAAAACCTGCAATGCTCTTGATCATATGGGTTTTATCTTTTGGCACAGAATTCTGTAGTATAACACCAAGCATCTAATTCTCTTATTTGCTACTTTAATTTGTGGGATTACTCTGATCATCTTCCAGGTCCCTGGAGCGATCCAGCTTGATGAAGAAAATTTCTATTCTGGGAGACCAGGTAAGCTATTGAGCCCATTTTCTGCTACTAAAACTGACGTGGGTGATAACGCAATGATATGCTGAAAAATGTCACATGCCCCCACTAACATTATAATTATTACCCGACATTTCAACGTTATTATAGCTCTTTCTTTCTTCATAAAGCCGTGGGCCGGGCCCAGGCCCGGGAATAACCCCGGCACTTTATTCTATCCATCTGAATATAGGAATCGGTAATAACAGGCCGAGTAAGCCCGGAGTCTAGTCGGGCTTTTTCCGACACCGGGGTTCAAAGATCTAGCCCAGAAGGAAAAAGGGCCCCTCGGCCTGGTCCCTACGTGTGCCACGTCCGGGGTTCCACAAGTTCGGCCCCATATTGGGCTCGTTTTGCGTGTTATACAGCTGTTTTCTCGTTCATCCAAGGGTTCGGGGTTTTGTCTGGTCCCCAGGTTCGGAGTGGGCTCTTTTAGAGACGGAAACTCGGGCCGAGAAAGCCCCGGGCCCGGCCCGTCCTTCGTGCTTAGTCCCATCTTTCCGTCGTTTGTAAAATCTTTCTAAAAAAGGAAAAAAAGGGAAGGAGAAAGCGTCCCACGGCTCCTTAATGGGCAACATTACCCCAAGCTTTCGTCGGGATGGGTTTTGTCCCGCTTTTTTTTTTTGAGCCAAACGTGTCCGGTCCTTAGATGGCCACGTCGCTCTCTCTCTCTCTCTCTCTCTCTCTCTCTCTGTGTTCCTGTCCTTATTCTTTTTCTTCTCCCTCCTGCCATCCAAAACCACGCAGACTGCAGGTCTCTGCTCTCTTTCTTTCTTTCTCTAACCTTCCATCTTCGCTGAAAGGCCATTGGAGAGCAGCCATGAAGGAAGAGAGAGAGAGAGAGAGAACTGCCCCTTTTGAAAAGAAAGGATAAGACCTTTCTGAACCGCCGCCCCCCCCCCCCACTTGATCCACTGACAACCAGAGCTTTCTGAAGACCATCGGTAAATAAAGATCACCAAATAATAATGACTGCATTAAACTGACCAACATATTTTATATTTTTTGCAGAAAATATTTCCCCCCTCCTCCCCCAGTATATTATATGCTCACATGAATAAATCATCTCGAGCAACTAAGTTTGCACATATGTCCACCAATCAATCAATTCAAGAGATTCATATGCAAGATCAAGGGGGCCCACGGCCCAAAAAAATAGGCTCTCTCTCTCTCTCTCTCTCTCCCTCCCTCCCTCCCTTTCTCTCTCTAAATGGGGGCATTGAGGGACGTGAATTCCTACTTAGGTTTTTGGAATCGGCTGTGAGGTTCTGTGGGTGTAGCCGAGGCATCTTCATTGACTCTCGTCCAGGAAGCCCACCAGGCACTTCTCCAGTAAGAACTCTGCGTTGACCCAAGCATGGTACTTGTCTTCAGCCTTGGTCAAGGGTACAATCCTTACTGTGCGATGAAATCTGATATAATGATATGCCTAAATAAATTCCATTCATTTTTTTTTTTTCTGGATTTGGGGAGAATTCATCCAAAGAAAATGACCCACAAAGATATTGGAGCATGATTAATGGAGGGAAGGATACTGAACAGAGCCGTACAGTCCCTTCCAGCCGCCTTCATCAGCATGTCAACGCCTGCCGGCAAAGAGGTGTAGTAAGATTCATGGAGATTACTTGAGAAACATCACGGAATGAGCTAAAAGCTGTACGTGATATTACTATAAAAGAGGAGATGGGTAGGCGGGAATTGAAAGAGACGAAGAGGAAGAAGGCGAAAAAAACAGAGCTGTTCTTGGTTTTGCTATCTGAAGCCCGTGGGATCCAAAAGTCAAACCGTGGCAGCTATGGCACATTATGTTTAATGGGAATTTCTTCTGCTGTGGTTCTGTTTCATGGTAGGATGAAAGATGGATGCTGCTGGAGCCAAGAAGAGGAGTTGAGAGAAATTTGCAACCCCAATCAGGAAGCTGTTAATGACTTGATTTACTTTGGATGAATTCTACGTTATTTTGCTGAAAAAGAAAGAAAAAAAAAACGATCTTTGAACAGAGCTCATAAGCTGGAATGGAGACCAGTTGACTTCTGCATTCCCCTTACACAAACGAGTAAAACCTAGGAGGCTCAAGCAGGCCCACATGAATGGAGCCGGGCTCTGTGGATGATGATGATGATGATGATTGAGGGAGCGAAACAAGTTCAAATCCATAAATATATATGCTCGATCTGTGTTCACTCTGATGGGAGGATGCGTAGAATCCTCAGAACAAATGCAACATATTTGTTCGTTAATTCTGGCATAGATTCAGAAACCCAGAGCAGTTTTCGACCTTATCTAGATTACCCTTTAAGCCCTTGCAGAGGAATGAATCAAGCAAATGGGAGAAACTAAGATCACTGTTGAGTTCAGGGAGAAAAAATATGTGGAGACTAGACAATATACCGCCAGGATGGAATTTCATGTAGGGCGAGATATTGTAGACGCGGCCTTTTAAAACTGTCCAAATGGGCCCTTCCTTTTTGTGTTGCTTAACTTCATCAAGGGAAATGAGCCGTCTGTTCGTCTGACCCTTCAGTCCTGAACCAAAGAGAGGGCATAATTAAAAGCCAATTATACCATAAATAGAATCATTTCTCTGCCATGAGGGCGTGAAAAATAAGAGTTCTAAAAAAAACAAATGCAGCAAGCACGATAAAAGTGATAGAATTTGCTTGTGCTTGAATGGTTTCGAGAAAGAGAGCTTCAAACCGCTAGAATAAAAGTTACATACGCTAAGCTTTGGTCTTTGGGATAGAAACGTGGCCAAGATAGTCTAGAAGAAATATTTTTATCGGGATGTGAACCGTGCTAGTGTACGGTGTCTTTTGAGGACCAAAAAAGGTAATTATCAGTCCATTATATCTCTCAGTTAACTTCAAGCAAAGGTTGGCTTCAATATTGTTTGAATGTCATATGATAATTTTCTAAAGGTGATATGCATAAGAACAAAACTAATGTGATAGAAAAAATCATATTCCTGTTGCATTCCACTATCCGGATTTTTTTTTTCTTCTTATTTTCCACATTAACTGCAACTTTGTAAAAGAAGGCTGCACTGTCTTAAACCATGGGATATTGATTTTCTCAGGTCATACAGACATGGAAATACTAATGTTGTGACAAGGCAAAACTCATTTTCCACATGGTATAACTTGCATTTATCCAATCTTGTTAGATGCTAGCCAAAAATGATAAATAAATAGTCTTATAGCTCACTAGATCATCATTGGCAATCCAAAAAGGTAAAAAATGTGACAATATATAACAGATAAGCCAATCAATTACGCATAACAAGTTATACCTAACCAAAAATATTTGAGCATCCAAGGTGAATACAAATCCAAATAAGCGAACTAGAATCTACATTCTCTATCCAAAATAAAATCTAGATTCAAAAGTTGTCAACTGTTAGAACATCTTTCTTCCTGAAATTAATCAAGCTAAATTATCGCTGAAGTGAGCTTTGGGAAAATGCCGAAAGAAAAAAATAAAAAAAATACCTGCAAGGTCCGGATGTGTACGTGTAAGCTTTAACCAATCCATCTGGCTATACCCTTTCTCAAATGGGACTTTCGATCGTTTGATTGGCTGTCTTGCAGCAGTAATGGGATCCTCAGTTTCAACTGCTGACTCGCTCATGCCTCTTTCCGGTTCTTTGAGAGGGGCCTCAGCAATTATCTTCTCTGAGCTGACATTCTCTGCTAAATCATCCTGGGCACTAATCTTACTGCTAGTTCTGCCGTCCAAATCATCCCTTTCAGCATAGATGCTTTCTGTATTGAGAATGATTTTAGGCGACTGAAATTCATCCTCCAAAGCTTTGCCAACCTATCCAAAAATAGAGGAAAATTAATAACAAACCAATCCAAATGCTCGAGTATCGTAAAATGCAATTGAAATTATCGTCAAAATATTAAAATTGGAGATAATAAAAAACTAGAATGAGTAAAACTTGTGAATAAAGATGCCAAACATTTTATAAGGAGCATGGCATCACCAGCCTCCGATTAGTCCATTCTATTGAAATCTCGGTCACTTCATCATAGTTTATACGATATTATAGTTAATAATAATTGAAAAAGTAACATAATTTGATGGAAAACAATATTAGGGTAACACAGTGAAGCTTCATTTTCTGTTTCAATTAAGACCCAAAAATTCATCGAATTCTCATTTTAGCTTTTTGAAAAAAATCAATTACGTAATATCAATTCGTATCTAGGAAATATCCTTCTCCGAAAGTTTTCGGCAAATGATCTATGAGGACATGACACTAAAAACCACGTAATCCAATGTGGATAAAAGCTTGCCTCGCAAAACGTGAAATCGTCAGAATCAGCCATTTGCCTCCGACTTAAAATGACCTTACTTTTTTCCTTTTTCTCGTTTCGTATGGCTCCCAATCAGTGAAATACCCTCTGCAAAAAGAAACACGATCATCAATGTCTTTCATAAACAACATAGATTAGCACGAAATCTAATTGCACTCTCCGGGTAAATCATCGAGCCGGCCAATTAATCGCAATCGATCCGTTCATGAGGGAAACCCCATCATCCCCTGAACCATAAGAAAAAGGAAAACACACGGCGGGAAATCCGCCGTGTACACTCGGAATGGGCGATTCCCTAACGTGGGAGACGTCTACCGGCAAGAAGGAAAAAAATAAATTAAATGAACAAGGAATTGTAGAAGACAACGCCGGACGTATTCAGGGGGAGGGGGAAGAGCCCACAAAAGGAAGGAAGAAATAGAGAGACTGCAGAGAAAACCAGCTACCACGCCGCCACCGCCCCCCGCCGCTCCCCGCCACCACCTGGCGGCGCTCCTTCCACCTCCGCCAAAATTGAGGTGGAAGGAAGTGCACCACGAGGAAAGTACTGATAGTAAAACCTGGTCGTTCTCGATAGGCGAAAACTGAGCGTATTTATACGCCCAAACCGGCCACGGGCTGGAGCAAAGCCCACCCCAAACGGGCCCGGCCTTTATGATCCAATTATATATATACATAAAAATGTGTGTACAGAGAGAGAGAGAGAGAGAGAGAGAGAGAGAGAGAGAGAGATCCAGTATGGGGCAGGCGGGGGTTGGGCTGCGGGCTTTTATCGTTAAAATCACTTAGCAAGTGGAAAGGGCTTCTATATTATATTATTTAATAAATAAATTTAATTTAACTACGGAGAGACGATTCGGCAAGCAAAAGGCTGTAAGAAAAAAAGAATGACGATGATGCTAGCGAGGATATTTGGGAGGTGGGGTCAACGTGGCGCATCCCCAGCCGTCCGATCGGACGCAGAATTTTGGAAAAAATCAGTATATATATATAAAAATTGTCCTTTATTTTTTCCCTCCGTCATTCTGTGGGTCATCCGATTCCCGAGGGACGATCGCAGCAGCTGCGTCGTCGTCGGAATCGACCGACGAGGTCGTCGGAGGGACGGCGATCTGACCGGCGGCGGCTCGCCGGAGTTGAAGGAGGAGGAAGTTCTCCGCCGGTCGTCGGTGTTGCAGCATCAAATCATCAGGATAGCAGTCGGTCGAGATCGGAATTCGCAACCGGAGGGGGGGTCTTTTGCTGTGGGGGTTATTCGGATTGATCATCGTGGGGGAGGAGATCTCCGGGGTGTCTCCAGCGAAAGGTCGATTTTCGGGGTGATTTTGCTCCGGTTGTGGGCGGAGGATGAGGAAGAGGGAGAGGGAGAACCCGTGCGGCGTGTGCGGGCACTATCACAATCACGAGGAGGGGGAGGTTTGTGGGATATGCGGGCACCGGCCGGTGGTGTCGGTGGAGAGGACGGCGGTGCATCCGGTGAGCAGTGCGTTCCCCTCTGAGATCCTCAAGGACTTTCTCTACCTTGGCAGCTACGACAACGCTTGCAGGGGGGAGCTGCTAAGGACGCAGGGCATCTCCCGCATCCTTAACGTGAGTCACACGGATGCCCTTAATTTGCTGTGAGAATCGGATTTCTCGTTTCTATTATCCCATTTTAGCTATGCGGGATCGATCATCCGCGTGCTTGAATTTAGTGTGTTGATTCATTATCCTTAAATGGTGAATCTGAATGTAGTTATCGAACATCAAATAATATAGTTTACTGTATGTTCCAGCAAGTTAGGGGCCCTATACATGCAGAACTTGACGGCTGGTGTCCATTCAGTATAAGCTTCCGATCAAGCCGCCAGCATCCTAGACATTACCACTGAGTAGAAAAAAAAAAGAAAAATAGCGAAGAAGATGGACACTTCCAAGGAATTACTTTCTACTTATCACTTTGCATTGTACCGAAGCTCCAATTGAGATACTTTCATTTTCTAAACTTAACTTTTACGCGCTCTTCTAGTATGAGGACAAACAGGAGGCAGGAAAAACATCTTGCACTTTCCTTTATTTTACTCTTATTAGTTCGTTTAACCAAGCCAGGAAATAGTGGCAGTCGCCCACAAGTTTTTTTATCAATAATGGCAGAACATTTTTGTGGAAATCTCAACGGTTGTCTCAGGAAATAAATTGATAAGAGTTCCCTAGTCAGCAAGATGGCATCAGGTCATTGAATTCGGGGCAGTCAATCTCAAAAAGGATGGTCGAATTGTCTTATCTGATGAGACTCAGCATCAACTCAGATTAGTCATTAACTCAGCAACTGAAAGAAAAAAGAATCTTCGATCTGAACAACCATGTTTTTGTGTTTCTTTCAACCTTTCAGCTTATACTTACTGAAAACCAGTTTAAGAGTTGATTGCTATTGTCGAATGATTTTTATTCCCGTTTGGGCAACTTTAACCTTGACAAGAGAAAGAAGAAGAAAAGGAGGAGACGGAAGAGATTGATGCATCCAAACGTAAAGCGGTAGATGGGGTGGCAAGTAGGTGCAAACCTCTGATGTTACCTTCTTGGCAGACAGCCGTGGGGCATGGAATTGGGGGGTGGTTGGCTTGAGCTGGACTTGTTCGTAGTTAAGGGAGGGTTCTGACTTTTAGAGCCTCACTCAGCCTATACTGGCCCTGACCCACTCTAAACAGCATAAAACATATGAATATGGACCTTGACCTAATCTATCCGGACAATGAGTTTTTGCACCCATGATTTTAGATCAGGTTTGCCAATGCATTTCCGAAATGCCAATAATTTGAAGGTGTGGACTTTATATACCAATACTTCGGTGACATGTTTCCAAGAATTCTTTTCTTATTGAGACATATTGACACATATTTCCAAGATAGTTGCTCTGTTCTTAGCCATTTAGGCCATTTACCAAGCCTAAAAAAATGATATAGCCAAGGTTCATTGCAGGGTGCTTTGAGAATACTTCCAGCCCTTGAGGCGAAAAATTCTCAACTTGAGTAACTCAAGATGAGGGTTTTGTGAGCCATTCTGAATTCACATGAGATGACTTAGTTTTCAGTTTGAGTTTCATATTCTTAGGGATGGGTTGTGTCAGTCTGGTCATGTTGAGATTGAACGTCTTTGTTAGAGCTCAAATCTTATGCCATCAGAAACCAGGCCTCTTCTCCAGACACATTCTGATGTATACAAACTTCTTTTTACCCTGCGATCTATTTTTTCGCCAGGTGGGTTTTCAAAAGATAGTGGTCATACTAAAAGTCATGCATTTAACGTACAAAATTTTATTTGGAGAATGATATGTATTTGAATCTTAGGAGCTCATAGTCAACGATAATGTCATATTGGCTACACTATTATATCTGTAATCAAAGAAGCATTGGCAACTCTGAATTTTTTTATTTCCTTTTAGTTGTTGCGGAACCCAAGAGTCAATAAGAAACTTTCATCAAGTACCTAGATCCTTTCCGTAAATCAGTTCAAATTCATTTCAATTTTTTTTATTGTTGTATAATATCAAGTTAATAAATAAATAAATAAATGTTAAACGTGTTTTGAGTTGAATACAGTTGCTTACTTCAAATGCACTACTTACATTGTTGAGTTTGAATTTTTGAGCTCTGAGTTTTTTTTGTGCTATTTATTTATGCTTTCAAACAAGGGGTGGGATTGCCACATTCCTCTGAATATTCGAGTGCATGCTCTTGCAGCTATCATTTTGTTTTGAGTGTTTGAATTCGTGCTTTCTTATGCTATTTTGTTTGAACCTGTGCAGACTGTTCCTGCTTGCCAGAATCTATACAAGAATTCCTTCACATACTACTGCCTCCAGGATGACAAAGTCTTGCCATTCAATGATGCAATCCAATTTCTAGGTACTATTCCCTATCAATGGATGTATTTACACCAAGCGATATCAAATTATAAAGTCTATGGCCAGATTTATTTTCTTATGAGGGTCATCAACTTAATTTTGATCTGTAATAGTTTGCTTCGAGTATTTATTTATTTATTTTGCATATATGTGTTTTAAGATATATTTATTTAGATATATAATTCAATTCCTCCTCATTATGTTGAAAACTCCTCATCATGTTTAAATTACTGCTGACTTATGTTTTCTTGTCCAAGCATGAAAAGAAAAGCGTGGCACTCTTTTGAATAAGGCATAGCTGTTCATAACAAAGCATGTGCATTGCAGATATGCACCGATACCATTTCGTCAGTCATTGTCCTTAGGGGGGGGGGGGGTTCTGAAATAAGGGAATTCACTGCCTTATTTGAAGATGTTTGGATGGGCTACATAATTAGGGCTGCTTAAAGGTGACATAAATTTTTTGCTCCGGCTTTCACACCTGATTAAATAGATCTACTGCTTGTTGATGGTGAAGAGGAACTTTTGATTTGTGTCCCCGTGACTGGACGGTTCACATGTGTTGCTCATGCGGATTATGGGGGCGAAAGAATCAAAGCTAGGAGATGATAATATTTCAGTAAAGTACCATGCAGAGGATGGGGAAGTCAACCTCTTGCTACTACTATCACTAGAATAGTGTTTTAGTGGATGCCATGATCTGGTGTAGCAGAGGAAGTCGTTTCTTACTACGGCTTAGAAGGATTGGTCGTTGCTGATTTACTGCTTTTTACCTGATGAATTAAGGGGATAAATGATGGTAGATGGACAAGATTCAGGTAAGAATTTACGAGATCTTTTGAAGTATTGAGACCAGTTCAATATTAGGTATGAAAATTGTGCACTTGACGCATTCCATGACTTGAGAATAATATCATGCATCTTTCTTACCGAAATGATGCTGCATGTATGATAACTACGATCGGTTGAATCGTCCTGCATTGAATCAGATAATTAAATCCCATGTTGAAAAAAAATACATGTGAACCCAATTTTATTGTTGGTTTCCATGTCCATCCTATGATGAGAAACTTTATTAATCCTACATGTGACCCATTTATTTCTTTCACTGTGTTCTTTACTATAAAAAGCCTCATCTCATCAATCTGGCGTCAGATAAATACCACAGAAAATCCCAGAGACATGAACATGTTCCCATCCATTTGGGTTCAATGTGGTTTCTCAATCCCAAATGGCGTGGTTGGTTTGCTTCTTTGGGGAAAAAACGCTTGCTTAATCACACTTATTTTGTCAATTCCTGTAGAGCAATGTGAGCGGGACAAGGCGCGCGTTCTTGTTCACTGCATGTCCGGAAGAAGCAGGTGGGTGGGTTTCTTGCTAAGTTGTCGTTTATATCGAATCTTTCAGATTATCCGTCCCATAAAGCTTACAGATTATCATTTATGATTCGTACAGGTCTCCGGCTACTGTGATAGCCTACTTGATGCAGAGCAGAGGGTGGAGGCTCGCACAGAGTCTGAATTGGGTGAAGGAGAGGAGACCCTCCGTTGACTTGTTTCCAGGTACGAGAAAGCGGTCAACCGTATTTTTCTTTGTACAAGAGTCTTCAGGATCCAGCTTCTGTTCTGTCGGAAAATAATACAACCAAACGTATCATTCTCAGTTGACTTTTTCCCAGGTGATAGAAGTTATCGTGTAAATTTCATATAAAATGCTCGATAAGGAAAATCGATTTGTTTATACGAATACGCAATTAGAAAAAGAAAATTCATTTTTTGTGATTATTTGTGTCCGTAGGGGGTCTTCTCTGTGAAAAATGTTTTTTTATCTCCGCCATGTTCATGGAATTTGTGTTCCTCTGCTGCAGCTGTTTATCAGCAACTGGTTGACTTCGAGCAGAAGCTATTCGATCCAGCCCAGAGCTTTTCTTCAATGGGTTCAGCCCCAGCCTTCGGCTTAGGGATCCCCAAACCGGTTCATCCTGCTGCCGCCACCACTGCCACCGCCACCGCTGCCACTGCGGCTGCTGCTGCTCCGCCACCGGCGTTCATCCAGACGCCATCGGCGTCCATCTTTGACCGTGGGTCTCCCCCAAACGGCTCCCCCGGGGAGTTTGTCTTCCGGGCCGGGCTGATGAGCCAGCAGAGGGTCAACGCCCCCAGCACCTTTGGGGTCAACGCCGCCACCGGGGCAGAAGCCCCAATGGACAGCTGCTAGCGCCTGAACTCCACAGCGAGATCAGCGTGAGAGCTGACGTATACCTACAGATTCGGGTGCCTGTTTCTCTCTCCTCCCTCTTTTTTCTAGGGATGAAAACTGCCCACTTTGGTATGTATTAATTCCTCCTGTAATCTATATGATTCCTAATGGTATCTATTCACTCTGGAGGTCGTTGACTTCTTCCCGTTGGCAAAGTCAACGTCCAGTTTTTATATCTGGGCCATTAATTAATTTCCTCCCGGGGGCAAAGTCAAGATCTAGTTTTTCGTTTTGAGTTTGACATTTTGGGTGATCATTCTTCCCTCTTCCCCCTTTCTCTATCTTTTGACTTTGAGTTTAGTATTGGTTCTTCCTTGAACTCTTTATGATTCCTCACGTATCTGCTTGTTTTCTTCATGAAATCCCACCAATCAGCTCCTAACCAAGACCAGGTCTATTTATTGTTTAGGGGTTTACAATTTTACTTGCATAATTCTCTCTCACTCTCCCTCGGACATATTTCTCGCAAATCTTCCGGCTTGGGCCTCCTCTGTATGGCCCATTAATGCCCCCCCTCTCTCCTTCTCTCTCTCTCTCTCCCTCGGACATATTTCTCACACAAATCTTCTGGCTTGGGCTTCCTCATCCTCAGTACTGCGCATTAGTGACCCTCCCTCTCTCTCTCTCTCTCTCTCTCGATCCGTCCCAATTATTACTGTCAGCAATGAATGATGATGGTAGGCCTCGACAGAAGCAGGAGGGAAGACGTGGCGATTATTTACGGGTTGTACTTGTTCATTCTGCATTCAAAAACCTTAACTGGCGAAAGACCGCCATCTTCCAGACTCCATGGGAGTCGCTCTCAGCGACCTCCACAGGAGCAGCTGCAGCCGTCCCCGTCAATGGTTGCTCGCCCATTACTCAGTTGAGGCTAGCCACGGCGGCGCCGCCAATGGCCAGCGAAGCCAACGCCACGGTCCATCCCAACGACCTCCGGGCGGCGCCGCCGGTTCCCTGCGGGACCGCCGCCGCGTTCTCCTTCGTGTGGGTGGCCCGGTTGGGCGTCGAAGAAGAAGAAGCATGGGAAGGTGGCCTCGCCGGAGCGGTGGCACGGGGGAGCTTGGGGACCCGGATGTTGACCTTCTGGCCGATGGTGCAGTGGCCGGCGGCGCCGCTGAGGAAGAAGCGGTGGCCGGTGCGGCGGAGGAGGAAGGCGTCGCTGCCGGTGGCGTGGGCGGCGATGGGAGAGAGCACGCTGCAGTTGTGGTAGGCCTCCCTGGTCACCTCCAGTACGTTGTCGACCTCGGCGTTGTACTCGAACACTGCGGCGGCGCCACCATCGGAGGAACCGGCAACCGAAAGAAAGTAGAAGAAGAAAACAGACGAAGACAGAATTAGGAAATCAGTACGAGAGAGAGGATGAAGAGGATGATGAATTACACGGATCAAGGAACATAACGGAAAGAAGAAGAAGAAGAAGAAGAAAATGTCGCCGACGTGAAAAGAAGATCAGCATTGACCTACCGATGATGTCGCCGACGTGAAAAGTCTTGGAGGAGGCCCAGGCGGAGTAGTTGACGTTTCCGGTCGCCGTCCACCCCGCGGAGTCCCCCACCTTGTACAGCGCCGCCGCCGACGGCGTCGCCATCCCGGCCGCCGCCGCCATGAACAAGACGACGTAGCCTCCAGCCGACCACCCGCCGCCCCAATGTCTCCTCTCCCGTTCCTCCGCCGCACGGCCGGCGCGATGAACGGCTTCCATGGCGGATGAAGAGCCGCAAGAGAGAGACAGTAGAAGAGATGGAAAGGAGAAGAGAGACAGAAAGGGACTGCGAGAGGGCGACCTCTGCTCCTGAACCTGGCAGTTAAGAAGAAGAAAGCATTTTACAAATAAGTCCCTATACGCTTTTATAATAATACCCAAATTTCTGAAAATATTACTGTTACGCCTTAAAGCTGACGTTAATGTCGAGAATTTTTATAGAAATTCAATTATTATCTAGAGGCCATATGGTTGATTAGATCAGGGTAATTTCTATAATTATATATGTTAAAGGGTACACCTGAATTTCATAACTAATGGCAGGGGCTGATACATCTGTAGTGGCGCGGGATTCCTTATGGTACACGTCGGCAAGCCATTACGAATTTGGGCCCCATAAAACTAACTACCCCACGTCGGCATAGAGCCTAACGGTTTTTTTCAGGAATATCCCTATAAAGTCGTACGTTTTATAAGTCCCCCTAGAGTTGAAATCAAAAAATCTTGTATGTATGCCCCTTGGCCTGTTATCAAATGACGTGATTAATGAATTCTTAAATTTTGATAAACTTAATATTTGTGGCCCTTATTTATCTTTCAGTCAACTCGTATAGGTTATAACTATAAATAAATAAATTTATATTAATCGCTGCAAGCATTTGGCTTCTTGGGGACTAGAATTTAATGGTAATTATAAATATAAAAAAGAAAAGTATTATTTTCTATGTAGAAATAAAATTACTAAAAAAAGATAAATCTCGATCCAATAATATAGTGCTTTATTAGGTGTTTATTCATAAGCCCAACAAAAGCATGAATATATTTGCTATTTTTGGATGCTTATGGGGTGTTAAAATCGAATTACTTTTGAAAACTCTACATTAACACAGTATATATTTTTTTATTAGCACATCTTTGCATTTAAGCCCTCGATATTAACGGATATTACATTTACGATCCTGAAAGATCTTATTTTCCACATATAAAAATAAAAATATATATTTAACGTTAATGTTAAAACCTAAGAAATGATAGTAAATAAAAATACTTAAAATGGAAAAAAATATTATGGTAAAAAAATACCTGAAAAACTCACCCCTCAATCCTCTCTCTATTTCTCTCTCGCTCTTCTTATTGAGAGCGAATTTTTAATAATAAACATACTCTTGTATCAATGTCACTTCTGATTATGATGATGAAGACGTAAAATGAAGCCTTACCCATGAGAGATCTCCATCTCTGTCAAAGCTACGAGCTTTACCCACCAGCCACCGGAGAGAAGCCGAGGCGGGGGCTGGTCGGAGGCCCAACCACCGCCGCTGCTGCCGAGATGGGTTCCCCTGAATGACCCGAAGGGGGGAGAGTGCAGCTAAATGACAGGTTCGCTGAGCAATCGCAATGGCTGAGTCTCTGGTTCGGCCGGAGCCGATCTGGTGGGGAATTGGCGGAGAAGAAGAAGAATTGGGAATTGGGTCATCATCCTCCGTCAACGGCGCGGGGCAAGGACGTTCTGGGTGGCGTGCTCCACGAACTCGTCGATGAGGTACGGCCATGCGCCCTCCGGGTCGTAGTTGGTCAGCGAAGGATCCACCGTCTGCAGAAACCAAACAGGCCACCGCTGTTAGCTAGCTCTCTCTCTTCTCTCTCTCTAGAGATGCCGACTTTCTCTCTCTGTTCCTTACCTTGGCGAACTCCAGCAGCTGAGACCAGGTGTCCCTCGAGATCGCCTTGTTGTGCCGGACCTGAATTGGGGAAGAACGGGCAGAACAGGAAGAACGAACCCTAATCAGGGCAACATCTCATCTGGAGGAAGAAATCAGGGGGTCTCTCAGGGAGGGGAGAAGGTGGTGCTCTGTGGTTCTGGTTTGACCTGCAGGAACTGGCACCATTCGTCCACCAGAGGCCAGTTCTTCTCCGCGAACAGAAGCTGCCACATACCGATGGCCGTGTCCAAGGCCAGAGACTTTTGGCCCTGAATTTACAGAGAGAGAGAGAGAGAGAGAGAGAGAGAGAGAGAGAGAGAAAGAGAGAGAGAGAGAGAGAGAGAGAGAGAGAGAGAGAGAGAGAGAGTCAACTAAAATCCAAACAATTATAGCCCACATTTTTTTTCTCGGATAAAATAATTACCAGATAAAAAGAAGTCGCCCTCAGGCATATAATTCATTCAGTGAGCAGTCAACGATATGATTAAAGAAATAAATGAATAAGCATATTAAAAGGCGGTTTTCTTTTTTGCCCATAAATTAGTTCTTCATCTCTTTATTTTATTTTCCAGAATTCATCAGTTCTTCATTCTGCCATGATCTTGCAAAATGAAGCTAAAAGAACAGCGGCCCAATATCCTGAAAAAAGAAATAAAAACTAATTATCATACCTTTTCCTTTGCCCACCCGAATGCGAAATTGTAAATCTCACGAAATTTCTCTGGAAAAAAAATAAAATAAATATGAACCCATCTTGTTGCTGGACAGTCAAAGGGTAGAGAGATCCTGAACAAAAACATGGATCTCTCTGAACATTATGCTTTTGTGAGCTCAAGATCGCTCCGCAGCACAATAATTTGCAGAGTATCATTTCAAGATGTACACATACGTTCGTCCTTCAGCTCCGTCCTCAACGCCGGAATTTTCTCTTGCAGCTTCTCCAGTGAGTCAACCCTGCCATCAGACCACCAGCTTTCAGATGTATGGGAGACCCCAACCCCCCACCAATGAGCAGCCGGTGAGAAAGATGAAAGTGGAAGAACATGATGTTCTGAATTATCACCCGAGGGACTGCAGGCCACCGATGAACTCCTCCCGGGAATATTCACACATTGTAGCAGCCTTCATATGCCAGGACAGAACGAGCTGTTCATCATTCACAAGCACATTAGCTCATAGTTTGATGAAGCTTAGTACATCCTTTAATGGTGGGGGCTTTGGGTTTTTCTTAACCCCCGCCTTGATCTCCAAGCAAGAACAGAAATCTGAAGGATTCTTTGACTAGAAAATTTTCAGGACTCTTTCAGGCCAAAGAAATATTCTATAAGAGTTTTTTGTTTTAATCAAATATTTTCCAAGAAAAATCACAATTTTGATAGATCCGGTGATACCATCTGAAAAGCAATGAAGCTTCCAATATGTTCATTACCAGTAGGTTGATGTTGTGCACATGAGATGCCATGGAGATGATGATCAGGATGATCTAAGCTTCTCTCGGTGTAGTTGTCTGGTGAGAGGCCCTCGGGATTGAAGACCTCCTTTCCCTCTCCTGGGCCTAATAGCAGTAGATTGATATTCATAAAGTTCTTCCCCCAACTAGCTCCTCCCATCAGATCTTCCCTCTCTTCTTTCTTATGACTCTCTCTCTCTCCCCCTCCTTACTCGGCATTATGCTTATCCATTTTAGCGGCAAGCTTTAATGGGTAATTCAGGGCATCTGGATGTATGATATAAATTACAAACTATTTTTATTATTTAATACAGATGCTTCATATGCCATTAAAAAAAATTCAAGACCAATCAGATCAAGGGAGTCTCCTGAATGGATGGTGATGAAATGTGAAACACAGAGCAGAACTCAATCTGTTGTTAGGATCAAATGCTCAGTCAACTACATGAATGTATCGGATGCTGCTTTCATTGAAGCTGAAACTCTTGACGTACATTTCAAAATTACATCACTAAAACATATTTTAGGCATATTATTGTCAGGCATTTTCTTCATGGTGGGAAGAACCCTAAACTAAATTCTATAGATGGAATCACCTCTACTTCAGAGAAGACACAAGACATATTAGGTAACAGTGGAAGACACAAGTCAGTGTGGTGATCGCTGTAAGGTTTCAGATCTCTCCAAATCTAGCCCAAGATCTGGGGAAGTAACAAAAACTGAAACCAAACATCAAAAGCAAGGTTGCAACAACTATGGCCGATTTCCCCAATTCACCTTCTTTATCAGCAATAATTCCAATGATGTGTTCATACAAAGCCTGTGTACCACTACACTTTGCCACATAAGAAAAAAAGAAAAAGAAAGGATTGAAGTAAAGTCTCATAGGAATTTAACATGCACGTACCATAACAATATCCTGAGGATCCACCTGAGGAGAGAGAAAACAAGGCAACAAGGATCAGAATTATACAATAGATGATACATAATAATAAATAAATGTCAAGCAATAACGCCACTTCACACAATTCGTAATGAAAATGGGGTTGGGATTTTTTATGCAGAAAAATGGTACTTCTTTCATGTTGAATGATCGATAATGTTCTCTTCCTGCATTTTATGAAAACATATCGATCAAAATAAACAGTTTGAGTTATCTCCTGCGCATTGGTTAGGAGATGGGACCGTATCTGACAGGGTGGTTTGGGAGATTGACACCTTTTTCAGCAGTTACTTTCATTTATGCTCAAGATTGCCAAAGTTCTACATGAAATATAACGGATGACTATTTACTTTGGATTATTATTGCGTTTTGCTCCCAAAAAATGATGTGAGTTTAATATTTTTTTTAATAGAATTGTACGTTGAATATTCATGACTAAATTGAAGGAACAAAAGCCAACAGTATGTGATACGTTGGATATGATATGCTATAAACATGATCAGGTGCATTGACCCTGTTTTCCTCCAGATGCACAACCTCTCCTTATTGCATGATAAAATCAATGGTGCCTGCGACTTCCTTACTCCTCAGCAGATATTATTAATAATCAGGTGAAGACCAAAGGACGCCATCTTGCTGAAACTAATGAAGAAGGTAAGACTTAAAATCTTCATAGAAAATAATAGGCATCGGCCATCTACCATCACACGAAAGAACTGAAAAGAAAAACATAAAAAGATTCTTATGCTCTAAAGTAATGAACATAGCATGCACAAAACTGGTTTTATTTGCCCAGCAACAGTTTACCTGCATATCACTACACAATTGCGTGATGCCATCTACCATGATCATATCCCCGTAAGGGTCTGCAAATATATGCAGTAAAAACATTAATTCTCTGTAGTAGAAACATTAATTCTACCATAATCATATTCCCTCAGGGATCTGCAAATATATTTAGTAGAAACATTAACTCTATGAGGGAAGAAGATAAATACGACACGGTGAATGGTGTCTGTAGCAGAAATTGACACTTAAATGAAAGAGAGGAGCCATTAAGACTCACGCAAAATAACCTAGCCCCATGCATAAACAGGAAAATAGAACACAATTTCAGGCTAAACTGTATGAAATGATGCTGAAGCATCACTAGAAAAATGAAGAACCATTAAAGGGAGTAGTAAGGGTACGTCAGAAAGTGGCAAATAATGGAAAGATCATTAAATCGATGGAAGCTGGTGAAAAAGATGACATTAAAATCAATCGAACAAAAGAGCTTCGAATTCAAGTCAATCGAACAAAATTGCATTACTTCTTGCAGAGGTTTCTCTTTTGATATGAAAGTTTGGGGACATTAAAGTCAATCGAACAAAAGAGCTTCGAATTCAAGTTAGATGAATCAAAAGACAATTGAAATGATAAATATACACACACACGACGAACACTCATTATTGACATATACTAATTCTAAGGAATTATTTAATACCATTAAAAGAAAGCGGTTAACATAAAATAAAATAAAATAAAATGAGGCAGTAAAAAAGCAATCAATAAGCATATAATACTTGCCTTTGTAGCGCTGATAGAGCTCCTCAAGGCGCCTAGAGTCGATCACTCCCCTAATTTGTGGGTGACTATAAAAAATATCCAAGGCACCATCCAGATGCCAATCACTAGCCTTCAATGCTTGAAGAGCAACTTTGTCGCTGTATCCATGAACAACATGATCTATGAGCTTTGCAGAAGTAACACTGGAAAAGTGATAAAACATGCATGCATATTCTAAAACCGAACTCATAAAACTTAAGAAAGCCCAGGTATAATTCCAAGGACTTTATTTTAACATAAATTATCTATATATTGAGCAAAAAAAATAATCAGAGATGAACTAAATCTACGCAGAAAATTTGGTGATGCATGAGAAAGTGCGAACCATAAATACTGGCATGGTATTCAAGAGGACATATAGCTCGATTGTCAAGGGAAATTACCCGGCTCCAGTTATCATCATGAACTGTTGGATTTTGTCGCGGTGACCCCTGGCTAGCTTATGCTGCCACTAAGAGCAGCAGGCTTTTTAATAAAGCAAGAACACTCAAGAATGAAAGATACGAAACAACTAAAAATTCATTTGTAGGAGACCTGCAGTCCAGAGACTGTAAAAATATTCGCTCAGAATCAGAAAGAGGAAAAGAAAATGAAGGAACGAGCAGTAAAACAGAATCGAAGAATTGATAGGAAAAGAAGAGGATAATTTTCAGGAAGAAATATACAAATCGGAGGTGCCACGAGCTCGTGTAAGTAGAAAACGGAAGAGGTTTCATCCAATTCTAGCACTCACCGAGGGAAACGTATCCGGACAGTTGGGCAATGCCGGGGAAACGGAATTAAGATGGAAAAGGGCAAAGGAGGAGGAGGATCCGAGATGAGTGCGGTAGCACAGGGGAGAGCTAGAAAAGCCTAATCCTTCAAGGCCATCTGGGTGGATTAATAATCACATAAGATCGAAATCATCGAAGCTGAACGATTTCATTACGCAAAAAAGAGAACTCTGGAGAAGACACTCACCATCTTCGCACCTAGGTATGAACAGGTTAAGAATCGTCGAGGAAGAGGGCGGGGAGTAGATACAGATTAGGGCTCGAGATGCTTTTCTCTTCCTATTTCCTTGTTCCTCCCCCTCCGCCCGTCCTGTAGACCTCGCCCCTCCTCTCTTCCTATTCCTCAATAAGAGTCTCAAGCTCTTAAAACTATCGGGCTAGCAGAACCCAAAAGTGGCCCTCAGGAGACCCCTTGACCCCTTCCCTTAATGACGAGAAAACCGCAACCTTGGAGCTGGGGGGGGGAGAGAGAGAGAGAGAGAGATGGCGGCGGAGGTGGGCCCCGATCCGCGGCGTCAAGACGGACGCATGCTTTTACCCAGAAGATGTGTCCGAGGGCGAGCTTCTCTCTCCTGCATGTGTGACGTCGAATGGGATTTATCTATTATCCATCAGACTCGCGAAGTTATCACGGGTGAAACTGCAGATGTCGACATCCCAAGCTTCCGAGGTCAGGACGAAAGCAAGACGTGCCAAGGGGTCTGGATAAAGGCATAAAACCTCTTCATCTTTTATCTCGCTCGTCAATAACCCTCAAGCTCTCATATTCAGTCTATGAACTTTGCATGGTTTTGTATCAGTTTATGGAATCAAGATGAAAACCCTCATAAGATGACCTTGTTTGCGGGAGCAGGTCTGGATCTCTCTCTCTCTCTCTCTCTCTCTCTCTCTCTCTCTTTCTCTCTCGACTGCACCAGATTGAACGTTGGTGGATTTCTTCCCTTGCCAGTTTTTCATTATTATTCTGTATCACTTTATTGATAAGCAAGAAAATCATAACAAAATGCTACGTTAGGTGAAAAGGGTTCAATGTTATCTTAGACAATACAACTTGATGACCATAATTTTTATCACCTGTTGGAATCAACATGAAAACCTAATGAAGCTGTGTGGTGTATAAATAAATTCAGATATCCTTGAAAGAAAAAGAGTCTGGTTACGGCTTTGATGTTCACTTTCTTCCATCTATTATTCTTGAGATGATTATTCTCTATAAACCCTAAAAGCTAAACCCTCCACAAGCCCTCTTCTATTTCATAAAGTAACTTAATTCTCTCAATGTCTCAAAACAGGTACCTACTAGAAAATTCAGATATCTTTTAGTAAATGACTCTTGTTTTTTCTTCTATAATACATTTTTTTCAAGATGGCTTTCCAATGGCATCCCCATTCTAGATTTGATGACTATTGGTGTTGACTTCTAATCATGGTTGTTAGGAGGCTGTGATCACTAATAATCATGTTTCTCCCATAGTATGTCTTTCAATATGTATACAATTTGATCTTGCTATTTTTTTAAGTGGATAGGTAGTTCTGAAGCCTATTCCTTCTGCATGTCCTTTGGTGGGTTGCATATAGACCCAATCTGTGATAGTGAATCTATGCCACACCCTTCAGTTTGTTGTTGCTCTCATGATCTTGCTGTAATTATTACATCTTCTTAATCATCTTATGGAATTGACCAAGGCTTCAAATAATTTTCTTTATAAAGAGAGGAAATTTACTTCTAATAGTTTCTTCTAGATTGGGTTTCAATCCCCCTCGCCCCCCCCTCTCTCTCTCTGTTTGTCTATCTCTCTCCTCTTGTTCTTCGTTCTATATTCCTTACTATGATTAAGGAAGGGTTGAGAGTGTTGATGTTTTCTTACTAGTCAAATATTGGTCTAAACATTATGAGTCACATATTAGGACAACTAGTGGTAAATGTTCCTAATATCAAACCACACTCGCCATTGAAAGTATGGAATGCTTATTTTTATTTTAGTCCATATCTATATTGGACTAACCTAAGAAGTAAAACCCAACAAGATGGATGAGCAAGTAGACAAGCACATCAACAACTGATCTATACTAGCCATGTGATGAACATAGAATTGGAGACATTGAGAAGGCTACAATTGAGATAGTAGCTACAAAGGAGCATAAAAGATTAAAACAAGAGTAATATTAAATGGGTCTAGGTAATTATAATTGTACATTTGTGATGATGCTGAACTTGATTAGCATTAAGTTTGATGACTGTACACACCATGTATAAGCCATGCCTAGAAAATCCTAGTCAAATGTAGACATTATTATGGAAATAGTTGAATACTATAAAAAGATGATGGTGTGTACTATGTTAATTCCTATTCTGAGGAAAATTCTTTGTATGTCTAACAAAATGGCCAAAGGCTAGAATCATAGGCCATTTTGGCTGGTTTAATAGTCAAGGTAAGGTTGGACTAGTGACGTGACTCAGTCGTTGTATATTAAATCACGCAAATATAAAATTTATAAAACTAGAAAATACGAATTTTCAAATATTTAAAAGTATTTCTAAATAAATATATCAATTATAATTCAATAAAAATTTCAAAAATAGCAGTAATTTTCCAGGTCGATCACAGGGATGTAATATAGTATCTGGTAATTATTCAGAATTTTTCTCAATGAATACGATTTTCTTACAAATTTTATACTAGGAAATAAAAAGGAAATATATTTAAAATTTACGAAAAAAAAAGAAATAAGGGTGCGGGTGTCAGGATGACGTCAGCGCCCAGCGAACGCGAATCAGGCAGAAATAGAGTTCCGCCCGGCGATTCTTACGTAAGCGATTACAGACGACTTAATTAATCAAATTAAAATCTGTAAAAGCTGGAAGAATCGTAATTTAACGAAGTATAGTTTGGTAAATTAAAATCACACAAAGTATCACTAAATGAAGCATAAATTAAATTGAAAATAGGAAAACAGATTTCCGGCGTCGCGACGGCGATGCGTCGGCGATGCACCGGAATCTTAAGCGTTCGGGAGGATCGTCGTGCAATGTCCATGGCCTCGAAGGCTCTCCTTGGACAAAAGACGACGTGGGCAATCTCTAGATCTTCTCGCGAAGTCTAGAGATCAATGAAGTGGGTCGTCGAATCGTCTTCGACGGCTGTCACCCGGCGGAGCGGAAAAACGGCGACTTTGAGGCTCTCCGGCGGCTGTTACCTGACGGAGAGGAGCTGGATGGAGGTGAGGCGCGTGTTAGGGAGCTTCATCCTCAGGTTCGCGCAGCAAGAGGAGGCTCTTCATCGCATCTGGTACGCTCTCAGGAGGTGGCGACTGGTCTCTCGGCGGATCGTCCTCTTCCCGATGACGGCTTGTTCGTCGATCAATCGGAGATGATTTACTTGATGGATTCGCGATCCTTTTATCGCGAATCGTTCAACAATTTTAGTAGCAATGCTCTGCGAATCGCGTTGACGAGATTTTCGCCGATGATCCAACGATTCTCGTTGCTTAATCCTTCCCCGGCGATCTGTAGGAAAGTCGCGATAATCAAATAAAAATATATGAAATTTGACTCTGGAAGGATTCGAACCCGCGCCGGTCGCCCGCCTCTTCTGAGGAAGGTGTGAGGGGGGTCCCACATTGGTTGTACGCCGATTTTTTGGGCGAATATATAGTAATGTTAGATTTGTGAACAAAGTTCCTTTTTCGCATGTATGACCACTCCTTGCCCCACAGCCGGCTGGCCATCGGTGACGTGGAAGAGGAGTGGCGTACGCGTGCCCTGTCGGTCCCCAAGCCAAGCCACTCGAGCCCCTGCTCGTGGCTTACTCCCCGACTGCGCTTCCGACCCGCTTGCGGGCACTGGCCTGGCGGGTCCCTCCATTTTTGCAATATTTTTATTTTTATTTCTTGTTCTTCATTTATCTCAAAAGTAAGACTGTAAAAATCGTATAAAATCACATAATTACCCAAAAATTCACGTTAATCAATTGAAAACCAAAAATCATTCTTTAACACAAATATAAGTCTATTTATCATGAGTTAAGGCTAAAACTATATTATTCACTAATTATTAACTCATGATAATGAAGACTTATCAACTAGCAACCTTCATCGTAAGGTAAGAATATACAAGTTGCATAATAATTTATTTATATGTATGCAGACATGTGCACCAATACATACACAATATCTTAGCTAGTGTTTACCATTCATAGTAATTTTTATATTTGTATTTATGCATACCAATATATGTAAATATATGTATTGATTTATTTATTTGGGCATGCATGGAGAGGAGGTGATGCCACCTATCCATAACAATTTTTTGAATAGTTTAGGAGAAAAGTGGTAATATTATAACAAATTTGGAAATAGGTCCTATATTTACTTGATGCCGTTTATGTTTCTATTATAATTTTAGGAAAATATTTGACATTCTAAGGATTTTAATGTGAAATTCTTGCCAATTAATTGCTACATGTTAATATATGAATGAATCAAAACCTGGTCATTAGCAAGAAAATAATTGGGATGGTTGGCCGCATGAGAGACATTGGAGTCCCTCCACCCATTTGTAATTTGGATGGGTGGTGATTCGTTAGGTTGATTTTTTGAACATGTTGGGAGAATGCTATTGTTCTCTTTTATTTTATTTTAGGGACTGGTTTCAGGGTATGAAACTACTCTTAGCCTCTTCATATAAAACATATTGAAAAAGGGAACTTTTGAGAAAAACAAGACAAACCCTCTCTCTAGTAGTAGTAATTAGGGATTTGACATCTCCCTTGTTTGTGGCTTGGTTGTGGGTTTTGTTCTCCATCATAATTGTATTTTTTATTTTCTTATTCATTGTGGAATTTGTTCTCTCATTTTTGTGGACATTAGGTGTCTAGGCCTCTCAATTTTCAAATAAATTTGGTGTCATTTTTGTCCCTCATTTTTCTTCTCTTTGAATATCAACCTCTTTGTAGATTTTGTATCTTTGACTCATTCTTCAATTGCTATGTCAGACCTTCAGATTCAGACCCTTCCACAATAAATTAGTATTAGAAAATTACACAAAATGAGAAATAAATTCTATTTGGGAGGCACTATTTGGGAAGAAGAAAATGCCGAGCAATATCTATGAAAGATAAACAAAAATTAGATTAGAATGCATCAATTGTGATTCAATTGAACTTGTTAAGTGGGGTCCTACAAGAAGTTATCCATTAAAAGACTACAATTGTCATGTGACTATAATTAGAGTCATTGTATGTGACCAAGTTCATCACTAGTATGTTATTTTTGAAGCAATGCCACTTCATACTTGTCATGATAGAATATACGTCAATTAAATCACATCTTAATGAATTTAATGTAATAGCATTGAATTCAAAACTTTCATGTGAAACTTGAAGAGGAAGCCTTGGTTTTATTATTACTTTATTTATTATCATTGTCATATAAATACTTTTGAGAAACATTGTTATATGGTAGATACACAATCTCTATTGAAGATGTTATTTTTTTTTCAAAATAATTAATGGATAAAGATATTACCAGAATAGTTTGATGGTCTTATTGTTAGAAGATGACTATGGAAAGAAATCAATTTGGAAGAAATAGAGAAACCAACTCCAAATACAAAACCAAAAATAAACTCTGAAATTATTACTACAACAAATACATACATGCTAATGGTTAAAAACTCAAAATAAATCAGAAAAATAAAGCAAAGAAAAAACTTAGTTGAGCTGAAAATTCAATAGAGGTTAATGTTGGCAAAGAATAGAATAACAATTATGTTCCCTTTGTCTAGGACATTAGATCTGAAGATGATTGGATTTTGGTTTCAAGTTGTTAAATACCATATGACCCTAATATAAAGTTTTCTCTCTATATAAGCAAATCAATAGTGGAGTTGTTTTGATGAGAAATGATGTCTCATGTAAGACGATTATGATTGATTTGGTTTGATAAAATGTTTGATGGCAGTGTGAGAACATTTACATGAGTTTGACGTTCAAATTTAAAGAAAAAATCATCTCTATGGACACTATTGATGTAAATGTCCATAAATATTCAATTGATAGTGGAGTTATGAATATTAGAAATTAAGAACTTACCATGATAGAGGGGAGAATGTACGGTGGCCCATACATCTTATTAGGTGTCACAATTTTTAGTATAGTTGTTGAATCATCTACCTTTATGAAAAAATACAGTATTAACTTATGACATATGAGGTTGGAATATATGACGCTGGATATATGCTTTGTGGATGAAGTATTGAAATGGTGAAGTTTTGTGAACATTAAATTTTTAGGAAGGAGAAAAAAGTCAACTTTTAGACACTGGTATACAAATAGAAAGATGCACTTAATTATTTTAAATTATATCCTTGGTTTCCTTCTTGTGTTGCATAAAAAAAATAGTACATGTTATTTTCTATCTCTCAGTGACAATTATTGTAGGAAAATTAGGATGTTTACACTTAAATAAAAAGATGAAATGTTTAACTATTTAAATAATTAAAGACTTTGATTAAAAATTGGACATGAAAGAAAATCAAGAGCTTGGGACTGATAACATGCTAAAGTTTTACTCCACAAAATTGATCAATTCTACAATAGAGAAGATATGTTAGGTAACATATAATGGGATTACTCCATAGTAAAATGAAGGGGCATAATAGATGAATAAAAGCCTTTTAGATGGAGCATGTTGTATGCTGTCAAATGTAGGTCTTAACAAAGTCTTTTGGATATAAGCAATACCCATACCATATCATCTATTGACAAATTTACAAAAAAATCTATCAGCTTTAAAACTCTAGAAGAAATGTTGTTAGATAATCCTTTGGACTAGTATGAGGTAATAGTTATTTGTTACCTTTCTTATGCCCATGTTAGTGATTAAAAATTTAGAATCAAGGACAACAAAGTATATGTTTTTGGTTGTGTTTCAAGAGTCAAAGGATGTAGATGCTAATTTAAAGGAATATCACTTTTGATGAATTCATATTTTTACATAAAAAAGAGATGTTTGTCTCATAAATACATATTTTCCTAATGGTGTTACAAAATGTGGAATTTGATGTTAAAGGTTCAAATGAAAGGTCTTCTTAGTGAGACAAACTTAAGGTTCCTAGCACATGTTTGATGATGGTTACTTCATAAATTGAACATTATTATTTTGCATGACATCAACAAATAAGAGAGATTAGACTACCCTTGAGGTATGAGATGTTATAATATAATAAATCTTATAAATTTTTAAATACTATATCTCATGAGGATGCTAATAAATAGATAGTTGTTGCAGAAGGGGAAATTGAATATCTTCATAAAAATCAGTCTTTTAATATGAAGAAAATGGTTGGTTGCAAAAATGTCTTCAAGAAGAAACAATACTCTCCAAGTATTAAAGATGTTAACGACAAGATACAACTAGTTGTAAAAAACTATAACTAGGTAGAAGATATCAATGATAATAATATTTTTCACATGTTATTAAACATAGCTCTATTTGTGTTCTATTAACATGTGCTGCATCACATAGCTTATAGTTAAAGTAGATGCATTTTAAAATAGTATTTCTACATAGTGAACTTGAAAAGAAATTTGTATGCATACATCCTAAAGGTTTTTTAGTTAAAAAATATATAATCATATATAATTATTTAATTTTTTTTGTATGATATTGTAGAGAAAGTGGGTCAGGCCCATATATCTCTATAGTTATGAAACAATCTCTTAGGCATTAGTACAAAATATTTGATGGATTTATGACTTAACATGGTTCTTTATGAGTAAATTCGACAATTCTATTTATTTTAAAAATTATCTCATGATTTCTTTATTTGAGAAAATGACTTAGGAATAGCCAAAAATATTATCATAACAAAGATCTAAATAAACATAGGTAAAAGCGAGTTGTATTTTGACTCAGGCTAAGTGCATTGAAAAGGTACTTAAAATCTTTGACATGTGATATACCAAGCATGTTGTTACCCCTCTTGCTACTCATTTTAAGATTTCAATTTTCTTATCACCATAATCTCTAGAAGAAGAAAAATATGAAGCTAGTTAGAAAGTTACCTTACAGCCTATCATTGCATTATAAACTAAGTAAATAATGTTTATGATAATTACATAGGTGGTAAAGAAGTATATGGTTACGAGGTTTGTTTTGTCAATTAATTCAAATCAAAAGATAAATATTGTCTATTGTGATAGTCAAAGAACTATTCATTTAATTAATGATAAAAACTATATTGATGTCATATATCATTTTATTTGAAAAATTATTAATAGAAGATTGTTATAGAAGACAACTTTGCAGACATTTTGACAAAATATTTTTCATTCACAATGTTTAAACTTTATTTAAGCTTAACGGAAGTTTTTTTCATTGTTTGTAGGATCTTATGGAAAGCTTAGTGTAAACTTTGAATGGCACTTATGTTGACCAAGACAAATAGTTGTTTCCTCAGTTGACTTAGTCAACCCATAAAGAGAAGACCATTCAAACTTCTTCTATTTCTCTTTTATTTTATTTATGGATTGGTTCCAGGAATGAACTTAGTCATGCCATCTTTGTACAAAACATATATACAAAAAGGGAGCTTGATATAGAGAAAAATAAGATAACCTCTCTCTCTAGCATTGATAATTGATTATCGAATGAATAACCACTTTCATGGCTTTACTATGAGTTTTATTCTCCTTTATTCACATTTTTTGTTTCCTGATTCATATGGGAACTTATCTGCTGATTTTGGTGGAAATGAAGAGGTGTTTCAGCCTCTTATTTTCCAAATGAAACCTATGTATCTTTATTCTCCCTGATCCTCTTTGGATATCAATCTCTTTGTAGATCATGTATCTTTTGCCTATTATTTTGTTGCTATATCAAACCATTGGATTCAAGTCATTCTCTCATGAACTGATATCAAAGTATTATTAGGCATCTAGTGTTGAAAATTTGAAAAGTACAAGATGTTTAGAAAGTTTCATATTGAGAAGTTCAATTAGAGAATTAACATTTCAGAATATGACAAGTTAACTCACCTAAGGCTATAGAAGTCACTATTTAGGAAAAAGAAAACACTAAACACTATGTTCATATAAGAGAAAGAAGAATGAAGTGTGACGAACACTATGCTGAACACTATGTATGTGGAAGAGAAAATGACATTATTATTTTACTTAATTTTGAATAACGTGTGGGAAAGTTTCAACCCTTTTCTTGAGCTAGTCTTTCTAATTCTGTAGGAAAAAGAAAAAAATAGATCAAGACATCAGTTTATTTGTAATATATGATTATTTATGATTGTACAATTAAGTGTTGAATTACGCAGAATACCCCTATGATTTTTTTTGGTAATGAGAACCCCCATTACAAAAATAAGATCCAAGATTAAGAAGATCCGAAGCAGTCATTTAATTTTTCTTATGGGATAAATTATGCCCAAAACCTGATTCTTGCTTTGAGCCTAGTTTATGGGCTTCTCGTGGTTGCTGGAGAGGAGTCGTCCGCCGAGGTGCCCTCGTGGGTTTGGCCACTCTCCGGCGAGGTAGCGGCCGTCACCGGTGGCGGGGGCGCCGCTTCCCACAGGTTCATCCACCGGCGTGGCTCATCCGAATGCTGAGCATTTTTTTCTCAACTCTTTTGGAACGCGTCTTGTCTGAGCTCCCTGTCAACGTGGTCTTCGCGGCGGCGGAGTATCTGACCTTCGTGTCGGAGGAAAACGACGGGGGCAGCCAGCTGTGCCGTGGCCCTCCCCCATCTCCTCCTTGTTTTCTTGCAGAGCGAGAATGTGCAGATCTCCTGAAGGAGGGAGGTTCTTCGGGGAGCTGGGCCTATAAAGGCGGTGAGGGGATCCTCCTGCCGGAGAAGACGGAGGGAGATGGAGAGAATGAGGCTGAGGATGGCCTTGACGGCGGTCCTCCTCGTCGTCGTCCTGACGGCGGATGTCACCGTCGCCGACCTCACGATCTCCATAGGACTTCCCCCTCTGCTGCCCATCTTCGAGCCGCCGTCACCGCCGTCACCGCCGCCGCCGCCGCCCGAGGACGACTATTACGACTCGCCGCCGCCGCCGTCGCCGTCACCGTCTCCACCGTACTATTACAAGTCCCCACCGCCGCCGTCGCCGTCACCGCCGCCTCCTTACCATTACAAGTCTCCGCCACCGCCGTCACCTTCACCGCCGCCTCCTTACCATTACAAGTCCCCGCCACCGCCCTCGCCTTCATGGCCGCCTCCTTTCCAGTCCAAGTTCCTGCCACCGCCGCCTCCTTTCCAGTACAAGTTCCCGCCACCGCCGCCTCCTTACCATTACAGGTTCCCGCCACCGCCGTCACCTTCACGGCCCCCTCCTTTCCATTACAGGTTCCCGCCACCACCACTGCCTCCTTACCATTACAAGTTCCCGCCACCGCCGTCACCTTCAGGGTCCCCTCCTTTCCATTACAGGTTCCCGCCACCACCGGCGCCTCCTTACCATTATACGTTCCCGCCACCGCCGTCACCTTCACAGCCGCCTCCTTTTCATTACAGGTTCCCGCCACCACCGGCGCCTCCTTACCATTACAGATCGCCTCCTCCGCCTTGGCGGTCACCGCCGTCTCCTTACCATTATAGATCGCCTCCGCCGCCGTCGCCGTCACCGCCGCCTCCATACCACTACAAGTCCCCGCCGCCACCTTCGCCGTCGCCGCCGCCTCCTTCACTACCTCCTCCATCGCCGCCGCCTCCTTCCCCACCTCCTCCGTCGCCGCCGCCTCCTTCCCCACCTCCTCCATCGCCGCCGCCTCCTTCACCACCTCCTCCATCGCCGCCACTACCTTCACCACCTCCTCCATCGCCGCCGCCTCCTTCACCACCTCCTCCATCGTCGCCGCCTCCACCACCTCCTCCATCGCCGCTGCCTCCGTCCCCACCTCCTCCACCGCCGGAACCTTCCCCTCCGCCGCCGTACTATTACATTTCGCCACCTCCACCGTCGCCGCCGCCTCCTTCCCCGCCTCCGCCGTACTCCTACGAATCACCTCCTCCACCATCGCCGGCGTCTACGCCGCCATTCTCACGTTACCATTTTCCTCCTCGTCATCCAGTCTACAAGTTCAAGTCTCCGCCGCCGCCGCCATACCCGTCGTGAGTACGGGACGCCGCCGTCTCACTCCGCTGCTACAAAGAGTGTCGGTGGGAGCTGCGCAGTATTACAGTAATTAATGTACGCCTTTTTCTCAAGAATGTTGTAAGACAAGAGTAAAAATATTGTATGACTTTTTAAACCCCCGTCAAAATGAATATTATCTAAATGGCCCCTATGACATTAATTTGTTATTGAGTTTTGGCTTGTATTTTCTTGGGCGACTTGTGACCAATTAGTTCCAATCCGCATCAATTCCCCTCCACAAACCTAAATCTTGGCTCATGAATGCGCTTGACTAATGAAGCAGAAGAAGAGGAGATCATGAGTATAGTGTGTGACAGCTGGTTATGCGACCATTTTAAGATAAATTAATCACATCAAAATCATACTTAATGCGGTGAAATGTATCTATGTTTGAAAATGGGACAAGGTACCATACAATTATAAATCTCAATTAATATAGTCAAAGTCTGGAAATGTTTTTAATCTTACTATTATTTTTGTAAGAACACAAGTGGAATTTCCTAAATTAGGTGACAATTTATGGACACATGCTATTATCATGTTAAGGTGCCCTTCCAACATCTATGTAATTTAATCATGTTCTTGGGATCAAAGAAGGTCAAATTCATACGATTTTCTCACAATTTTCATGATGCTTGATAGATTTCATTTAGCTTATCCTTGTTAGTAACCAACTTGATATTGTTCATAAAATTTATCAATAAATATCTCTATGGAAGATTAGTATCATTGCATTTGTTGATATGAATCATTTTTGACTATTGCTATCGTTGAATGAAATATTTATCCAACCTTAGATCAATGTCTAAATGCATACTTTAATCCAACATAAAAAAAAATGGTTAAAAAATGTTGACTTCCTCTCACATACCAATTCGGCTGAATGAGAATAAAACTCCAAACATAATGGTAGTTTTTAGTCCACCAAGATATGCCAAGGCTGACTCTACTTGATTTGCACAAGATTCAGGTCTGCTATTAATTGAACAGATGTTTGAAAAATGGATGGAAACGATATAAGCAACCCTAATCTAGTCACCATAATAGAATTTTCATTAGATAGACAAACTTTATTCAATGATGCATTCTCACATTTCTCTTCATAGGCTATTTAACGAATCACAAAAAAATTATTATGGTGATCACTAACATATACATAGATACTTTTAAATAAGGTTTTGTTGTCCAAGTGAACATAGATGTGATGGGGATGCCTAATATATAACAGAGACTAGAGATGAAAATTTTTGCGAAAAGTAATGGATGCTTATTTTTTCTAATAAAAACTTTACAGATATGGTAATCAAAATTAGTTAGGTTCATCAACTAAAATATAAGATGTTTAAAAACTATATACTTATGCTGGAAATGAATTCAGTAGGAATCTATTGTTTGTTGATTCATGAGAGGTAAAAAAGTTTAGACGATAGGAAACATTATTTAGGTAAATCAATCTTGAGTCAAAATTACGAAATTGACAACATTGTAAACAAAAATTTAGACAACTCACAACATTAGGGGCAAGTTTCTTATTGAGTTCTAATTTTTCTTAACTAGAATATATATTTATCTTGTCTTAGTTTTATAGATTGAGATTAACCTCTTTATATAAAGAATTACACTATAGAAATCAATGTACAAGTACTAATTTAGAGGCTGAAATATGGAGAAAACCAATGGAATAAATAAACCATAATACTGTGTTTTTGATTTTATATGGGTTTTACAAAGCCTAAGACCATCTTTTAGGCATTGCCTAAGACCTATTTAAGTCCATCCCATTCATGCTTGAAAGTTCTCAACTCGATACAAACTAACTATTCAAACTGAAATGACAGAGCACACAAAACAAAGTTATGGTTCAACTTGGAAAGTGGCCTATGTTAGATGTTCTTAAAGTGGGGAATCCAAGTCATTAAGCCCAAACATATAAGGACCATCTTGCTCAAATTAAGGGATGATAAATCACATAGAGAAAAGAGGTGTATGACTTCATTACATGTTCCCTTCACTTCCTCTTTTCAACAATGGCATTCCAAGAACTATCGAAAAAACTCAAATTCTAGAGCCTTGTGTTTGAAGAACCATCTTAGGCAACTCCTTGTCTAACATCCTACTCTAACAAAATCCTTCAATGGAGAAAATGTTCTCATCTTCTATTGAAGGCAGAAATAGAAACTATTTGAATTGTTTTTGTTATCTTCGTTGTTGTGTGATTGAAATTTGACAAATGTTGATGCATCTATAATGTACATGCAATGAGGTTTACTTAGGACAACTAAAACTTAAGATTCTAGGGGGTAAGTATGGGTGCATGGAGCATAAGTTATGTGAGAAGTTCCCAATCCCAAAAAAGTACAAGAATAGTAAAATTGAAGTGTTGATCTGATGTGCACTTGTCACTATATTTAAATACTCATCATTTAATAAAATTTATAAGTAAGACTTGAAAATATTTTAGCATAGGTGTAAGCCTCAGATCAAATATAAGGAGATTGATTAATCTATCATGAAAACTTGATCTAGTTTATATTATTGATATTTAATGTTTACCATTATTTAATAAAAAACTATCAAGTATTATACCTATTAAAGATGTAAATATATTTATATAAAATGGGTGAAGAGAAGAGAAAAAAGAAGGTGGAGGAAAGAAGAAGAAAAAGAGAAGATTATTTATAGAGAAAATGAAGGATTTTTAAGGTAGAAGAGACAGAGAGGGAGAGATAGACAAGGGGAGAGAAAGAGATCTCACAAGAGAGGGAGAGAGAGGAAGGGATAGAAAGAGATCTCACAAGAGAGGTGGAGAGAAGGAGAGATAGGAAGAGATCTCATGAGAGAGTAGAGAGGGAGAGAAATTAAGATGAATAATAAAGAGAGAAAAATAGTCATCTTGTTTTCATAGTGACCATGATTATTAGACGAATGTGTTTTGAGAATTCACACACATGACATGAGTTGAGGTGTGGATGTCTTCACTTTATTTTAACACCTAAACACTTATTAATTAGCCTTTAATCTCACTGGTTTCATGCTCTAAATAAAAAAGTAATCATTATTCATGTAATATTGAGAACATGAATACTTCAAGATTCAATTGTGAAAATTAATAAAATTAAGTTAGTCACGATCTTAGCTTAATTTTATTTGAGTTTTGAAAGATTTAGAAGAGGAATGAAGATCATTAATTAGGTTTTGAATCAATTATACTTATCTTTATCAAAAAATATAGAAAAATAAAAATAATTTGACATAAAATTTAAATAAATGATGAAAATAGAAAAGAAATCACTGCCCAATGTTAGTCTACTTCTTGGGCAACTAGAAACACTAGTGTAGTGACTTGGTTTTATCTAAACGTACCACACCACACTTGTAATCACATGAATATCATTCAGAAGTATTGTGTCACTTGTTTGGAGAGATCCACTGAGAAGAAGGGTCAACCACACATTCATTGTCTTTTAAAGAGAGAAAGGAGGAGCTAAACACTCACTAGAGGCCTTGAGTGCAGTTGGAGGAAGTAGTGAGCTTGTTGATCGTTGGAGGTGTAGATCACACGAAAGAGAGTAAGAAATGAATGTCATATTTACGACTATCATTGGGATTTTAAAGATAACTGATAATATTTATTTTACATGATGGTAATTAAAAATGATCTTTATATCCTTAACATCAATACGTGTGAGAACTTAAGTTCCTAGTATTGTGGCGCTTCACTTGTCGCCAAGTCAACTATCTTTGGTCACATGACACATGAGCATTATAGGATTAATCCACCACCAATTATTATTAACTGAGAACTTAACTTCTCGATATCGCGGTGCTTCGCTCACCACTAGATCATCTTCTTTTGATCATGTATTGTGCTAAGTACTGAGCGTTGTAAGATTAACCTATTGTAAACCATTACTGATCAAAAACTTTATGTTTCGGGTATCATGGTGCTCTACCTACTATTTGATCAGTCTTTTCCAGTCATGTGATGTGTTGAGTGCCATAGGATCAATGAGTCATGAATCACTATCTGAAACATACATAAAATCTTTAGTCCCATATTGGTTTTTTTGATGTACATGTCACTTATATATTATAACACTTCCAAGTGGTTTTAACAAGTCCTCAATCTGGGCGCAAGCCATGGGCTGCAAGGGTAGTTGTTTGTGGCCCATTATTATAAAACATAATATAATATAATATATTATTATATTGAAGAATATTTTTATTTTTTTATTTGAAAGAAGCAATACATTAACTCATTTAACTTATAATTTTCGAAATTAACTATATAAAATTACATTTTCTTCTACAAATTAAAATAATAAGCTACTTAAAGAAAACAAATAAAGTATTAATGATCTTAGAAGTAGATGTAGAAAAAAAGGGTTTGACTTACCTATTATAAACCTTCACATCTCAAGTATTTCTCTCCTAATATCCCAATTTAATTAACTCAAGATAACATTAAGAAAGCTTAAAATTGAGATACATTAAAAAAAGATATTACAATTAAATTAACTAGATTCACATGGTTAGTTTGATCATGTATTTCCTTAAATCATTTTGGCAGGACTAAACAAATCTTTCTATATAAATTTCAAAGTGGTAGATTTTCAAGTGTTAGTAACAAAGTGTCCATGTTAATCAAATATAATAGACTGTCATCATTTTGTCTTTTCCTAATAAAGTATAGGTAGAATCAAATTTTGGTGGGTAAACATGCTTGTATTTGCTCATTTGGGTTGACACACTTTCTCAGTGGGTCAACACACTTTTTGGATTCTTCTCTTCTTGTCTCCTCTCATTTTACTTTAAATTGACTTCTTTTGATATAGTTTAATTAGGCTTGATAGACATGACTTTTGACATCAATTTTCTTCATTCATTTGAGCCCTAAAAAATATATTTAAAAAACAATAGAAATGAGATCTTAAGACTTATATCTTGACTTAGATGATTCTCGTGACATAATTAGATTTTTGTGTGCAATTTGTTGGCATCATGACAAGTCAAATGTTTTGCTATACTGCCTAAAGATCTACATGGGCTTAGTTTTGGATTCACTTTTTTTTTTAATGTGCCATGCTTGTATCAAATCTTAATTAAATAGTCATCATAAAGACCTGGTATATCGACTAGACCTTGCCCCATAGATCAACACTAGCAGATCAAGTAAGGGTTTTACTTGAAATGCAAACATCAAGTTACCTCAAATCTGAAAAACCACTAATTTAGAATATACGTTTGAACTTGATGTTTGTATTCCTTGGTCAATTTGATGAACATAAGTCAAGTTGATATCAAGCATTTTGTAGCAAAATTGCATTTGAGAAGCGCCGAACAAGGTTACAACTTGGAACCCCAATAGTCAGGCTAAGAGCGTCAGGAACTTGCAATCAATTGAAGTCTCTATTGTAATGCAGTAGGTGCAGATTAAGACATCGTATACTCAGCTTAAAAGCCATTTTGTCCTTATTTGGCTGAAAAAATGCTCATGCCTTAGTTTGACCCGCTGGATACACCCACAAGCTGAGGGGAAGGCATAACATGTGTGGCTGTCACTACTGACACGGATGGGCTTCTGCTGGAGAAATGGGGAGAGAGAGAGAGAGAGAGAGAGAGAGAGAGAGAGAGAGAGAGAGATGTTTACATGAGCAACAACTGTCCGACTGCTGTCGCTTCTTGGTGTTCGGAAGCGGGTCATCCCCTTTTCCTTTGGTTTTGTTAGGAAGAATGTTTGTCTAGTGAGGGTTAATTAGCGGTAACCCCGAGGGTATGGGTCTAAAACAGCCACAAAAGGATGTGGACGTAATGAGGACACTGATAAAATTTCCATGTGATTTGAACAAAATAGTCTTGTGACCGCCAAATAAGAGCTAAGAGCGTCCGTCACGAGTTCACACAGGACATGGAGACAAACTCGAGGCCAATTAAATGCTCTGCGCGTGTGAACCGTTGACTGGCGCGCAAGGCCTAACTCTGTCGCATCGCCTTCTCCTTTTCTCCACGGACATCTTGCAGATCGGACAGTTTTCCACCGCTTAGTTGTCATTTTATGAGGCGTACATTAATGCTGACCAAGACCCATAACGCGTTGACTCGCTTCTGGCAGGTTAAGAAGAGGAGAACAGTAAAGATGGGATCTTTGCGAAAGCGTCCTCGGCCCCACGTCGTCGGCCTCTTTGTACGTACTGACTTAATGGGGGGAAGTAAAACTGAGATGGCTTGCGTATGATCAAGAAAGGGATAAGTTTCAAGCTGGATCATTTTCGAAGCCCAAACCCTCCTACTTTTAGTCTTCCGCTAAACTTTGTGATCTAATCCATGGCCAAACCCCACTCAGATTTTCAAGTGGTAGCAAGCTTATCTGTCTCCCAATAGTCTTCTCCACCAGCAATGTCTTCTCCCACGGCCCACTCGTAGCCCCTCCCCACCATCTGCTTCCCATCTCTTCCATATCCGGCTCTCCTACCGTGCCTCTGCTGAAGAGCTGCAGCCGTCACTTACCTTGTTCGAATGAGCCATAACTACTCGGTAAACAGTCTGCAGACGCCCTAATGGACCTCGCGCATTCTCCGCCTCCGCCGGCGGGTATCAGTTGGTGGAGGACGAGATGGGGACGGGTCGTCGTCTAGTTTCGATCGATACCTAACGCAACATCCTCACCGTCACCGCTGCTTACAGATACCCGGATGGAGGAGAAATCTGATTATTACTGGATGGGAACGCAGCTCTTAGCGTGGAAAAGAACGGCGGCGGGGAAGATGGTAATAGACGACTTCTCCTCTATGCAGATTCGGGGGGGGGGTGTGGGCGGGAGGAGGGTCTTGCTTTCCCTATAAAATGGGGACGATGATCCCCATCATCATGCACCTCAACACTGCTCGGTGAGCCGTGAGAACTCCCCGGCAGCAACTGAGCTGCTCATCTTATTAGATAGTATAGCTTCTGGGCATGGTCGGCCCTCGAATGGCGGGGCACCTGCACCGCCTTCTGTTGCTCGCGGTGGCGGTCTGCTTCGCCGCCACCTTGGTTGCGGCCGATGGAAAGTCTTACTACTACAATTCGCCACCCCCACCGTACCGTTACAAGTCTCCCCCTCCTCCTTCACCGTCGCCTCCTCCTCCATATCATTACAAGTCACCGCCTCCACCATCGCCGTCGCCTCCTCCCCCTTATCTCTATAAGTCGCCTCCGCCACCGTCTCCCTCGCCTCCGCCGCCGTACCATTACAAATCGCCGCCGCCTCCTTCGCCATCACCTCCTCCTCCGTATCTCTACAAGTCTCCACCGCCACCATCACCCTCTCCTCCTCCACCATACCGCTACAAGTCTCCCCCACCACCTTCACCATCACCGCCGCCTCCCTACAAGTACAAGTCCCCACCGCCACCATCACCCTCTCCTTCTCCACCATACCGCTACAAGTCTCCCCCGCCACCTTCACCATCGCCGCCGCCTCCCTACAAGTACAAGTCCCCACCGCCACCATCACCGTCTCCTCCTCCACCATACCGCTACAAGTCTCCCCCGCCACCTTCACCATCGCCGCCGCCTCCCTACAAGTACAAGTCCCCACCGCCACCATCACCCTCTCCTCCTCCACCATACCGCTACAAGTCTCCCCCACCACCTTCACCATCGCCGCCGCCTCCCTACAAGTACAAGTCTCCGCCGCCACCATCACCCTCTCCTCCTCCACCATACCGTTACAAGTCTCCCCCGCCACCTTCACCATCGCCGCCGCCTCCCTACAAGTACACGTCCCCACCGCCACTATCGCCGTCTCCTCCGCCGAAGTACTACTACAAGTCCCCACCGCCGCCGTCGCCATCTCCCCCGCCGAAGTACTACTACAAATCGCCGCCACCTCCAAAGTACTGATGGAGTTTTAATTCTGATTAAAGGGCTAGGAAAGCCGGGTTTTCATTAACAGGTCTTCATAGCTTGGGCTTCTCCAAAGTCTGCTAGGGTTTGTGGCGTCAATAAAGGACTTATGTCATGCATGCGGGGCGTTGTTCTCTATGATGAACGTTTGCGAAACAATGTTCCGATTGATGGCAGCTCAGAGTCCTATGCTTCTTTCCTTTTCTATGTTATGGACCTGTGTACGTGTTTCTCAAGCGATGGTAATAAAAATATTCCGAGAAATCATTCTCTTCCCCTCTCTCTTTGCATTCTCTGTCCATCTCTCTCTCTCTCTCTTCTTTGTCTATCCCTCTCTTCTCTCTCTCTCTTCTCTGTCCATCCCTCTCTTCTCTCTCTATCTCTCTTCTCTTTCCTTTTTTCTCTTCCTCTCTCTCCTTTGTTCTCCCTCTCCCGCTCGGACATGGATGGCCCTGATGGCCACTGGAATCCCCGGGTCATGGAAGGCTGCGGCCAGCGGAGGAGGGAATCAGGTGCTGACCAGGCCGAGGAGAGTGACAGTCATCGTCCTTCAGCAAACCTCTCAGATTCTAGTCTGGTGGGGTGTGGGCTGTTGCGCAACCAAGTCTCTGCATTAGGGCACCGAATTATTGACCAACAAATAATGCCCCCCCCGACTTTACGTCGTTTTTAAAAGATGTCCACGTGGACGATACTTGTCCCCGGATTATTTATACCTAGGCCACACCATCAACCCCCTAACACTCGCTGCAGCCATTCTTAAAAGGCCAAAGCCACTCACTCTTTGCGAAAGCCGATCACCATAAGTATCGGATCAGATTCTACAAAACGACCCAGTACGTCGGAAGAAGTGGCCTACGGCTCGGCAAGAACCCACGTCACATCGATGCGGTCAACGTCCAGAGTGGGACCTAAGAATTCGGGTCAGCCCGTCAGGGCCGGGCCGCCGCCCTCTTAGGGTCCGGCCGATTATAGGGAGATTAGAAGGCATCTATCTGGATGAAAGCGGCTTCTAGCTGCACCGGTTTCTATTAATGGCTGTCCTCAAAAGTAAGCCCATTCTTGAAGATCATTCATAACCGTTGACAATTGACGCGCAAAGGTGGGCCAGATCTCTCTCTCTATGAAGCCCAAGCCTGGCCCAGCATAGAAAAAACGAGCCCAACTGAATACAAAAGAAAAGAAAAAGGGTTTTAATTTGATATAAATGGGCGAGCAAACCATGGTCAAATAAGTTCCAATGTCTTTGCCAGATGGACGGCATAAAAGGGCCATCACAAGTATCACGGGGGGCCTCCGCAGACTTTTGAGCCTCTCTCCCATGGAATAATACAGCGGAGGAACGGAGTTTCTTGTGGTTTCCCAGGAATTATTGCCAGATTCAGGCCACCAGAAAGCAGAGATACGTAGTCAACGACTTACTAACTTCGTTCATTATGGGCATTGGCGCTTCTCAGCAAACACCTCGGCAAGGCAGATCGGGCAAGCCTGGTTAAGAAGAGGGGAGAAGGAGGTCAACTGATGATTGGGGGGAAGGAGGCAGATGGGGGGTGAGTTGGGGCCGGGAGGGGACGTACCCGATTGATGCCCAGCCACCTGGAGATGCAGCCGACGTGGTAGCGGTGGCGGCAGGGGAGGATCATCTGTCTCTCCCCTCTCTTGTAGCCCATCTGGCAGATCACACATCTGCAAGGGCGCACCACTCTCAAATGATAGAGAGAGAGAGAGAGAGAGAGAGAGAGAGAGAGAGAGAGAGAGAGAGAGAGAGAGAGAGAGAGAGAGAGAGAGAGATGGAGCTGGTACCGTTCACCACGGGACTTCTTTCTTGAGAAAAACCAACGTTTGCACTTTGATGTCGGTAGTGAGAGAATGAGTTCTTCAGGGAGGCCCCTGCTTTTAGTCCCAGTTGCCACGCCAATATCCGGAAACTCCTGTAAAATTCCAGATTTACAGGCACAAGATTAAGCTTTGGGAAGGCAGGAATACGTATTTAAAAAAATAAAAACAAGAAACTATGGATCTTATCTGCTTAAATTTCCTACAAGTCTCAAGATCTCATGATTCCATTCCAAGCAAGAACACAGGGATTTACTTGTTCTTACTCTTGTGAGACTACTCTTAGATACTCAATCCCCAAATCTGATCTCGCTAACAGGGTTTGTCTTCGCCAACTCTAAATAAAGTACGGAGTAGGGCAATTCTTATGTAGCCCTAATTTAAATCAGTTTTAGAAAAAAATAGTTGACTAAAAAAAATTCTTAAAGAAGAAATTGAGTAACACGAGGCAGTTGAAATATGTTAGGAGGTGTAAAAACAATGGAGGACTCTTACTTGAGGGTCTCCTGTGTGATTGTGACTTTGAATACCTATAAAATTCAAAAATAAAATTAAAAAATTCTCAGATATACCACAAGAGAAAAATGATGCCTGGAACATTAAAAATATTCTTAAAGAACCTAATCATGGGGACTTTTAAAGAGAAATTAAAAATTAAAATAAAATATGAGATAAGAATAATGGAAAATGGAATACACCCAATTAACGATGCTATTGAATGTTTCTCGTAAAAATCTTCAGTTGTCAATATTAATGCGAGATTAGTGAAGATATTTGGTGCTAAAGATTTTATTTTTTTAGTAGCGTCGTATGTCTGCGCAAATATCTCAGAGATTAAAACTAGTGCAAGAACAATAGAGATCTCAAGGTGACTCCAGTAGAGATTTCTTTCCCAATTATGTGCTCGACGGGAAAAAGCAAGCAGACAACTACAGGTATTAACAGACAATATACACTTGAGAATTGATTCATTTCTGTGTGGCGAATAAGAGAAACAACACAAAAGTTAACATTACTGAGATCTCGCGGCACTGTACACAAAAATCTTAGATCAGAGAACAAATAATTAAAATATTTAGTGCCCCCATGAGCACAATAAATGAGACTTACGTTCCTCATCACTTGCGTGGGCAGCTGGTTCAGCACCAACTCTACCTCCGTATGGAGCAACTGCTAATGTTTCTTCATCACTCAGAACTGCCGAACCATCCCAAACCTGTATGCTTTCATTGAATCTCAATGCATTACCATTTATCTCGTACGCATCACCCATTTCATAACAGAAATCACTCCTTGGACAAGAAGATCCATATTTGTATGAATATATGTGCATCGATGAACAATATGAACTTGGCTGCAAATAGAATTTCAAAGATGATTCTCTTAAATCTCCAGATTCAAAAGAAATAAATGCTGTTAGTGTTTCAATAGATGAGGGTAAGCGATAAGATCAAGGCAATACCCATATTCTGTTTAAGGGAAGGGGATAATCTTATAGAAAAAGTATAAGAATAAATGGATTTTTTAAATAAATAACTTATATACTTTTTAATATGTTATTTTTCACCAGAAGCCTGATGGGACAAGCAAGGAATTCCATGTTTAAGGACGTGAACTTTACAGATGATGTTTTACACGCTCAGAATCTGATCCGAGGTGATCAAAGGAAGAAGTTCAAACCGAACAGGATTACCTGATAATGCAGAAACCTTGAGAGAGAAGCATCTCCACCAATATATGCGAGACCCTCAAACAAATCCAGAAAATTCTCAGCGAGAACATAGGGAAACCCAGAGTTTATGTAATGTACTTCCATCTGCCAGTAATTCATTTGTGACTATTTTTCTGTCATCAAAAAGAAATGCGCAAGCATTTAGTTCAAATTCATCACGTTTCTCAAGAGGATCAAGATCTTAAGGATCTTAAGAATAAATTTCACCATATACCCTTCTAATCTTAAGCAATCAACCATTTAATATGAAGATTGGATCTGCCTGTACTGCGCCATCTTGCGATACAAATTCTGTGGATGGCGCGTTGGGTCACTTTCCAAGCATTTTTCCAACACACTGCAATGGCAAGAAACAAACAGAGAGGTTAGATCTCAAGGCAAGAATCATCCAATGCACCTAATTAAAAAATTTGCATCACGTCCCGTTTTCTTATAGATCCAAGAACCAACATCAAAATGATATCAGCATCGTAGTGTATCCATAGCTATCTACTGGGTGAATTGCTTTTGTGCACATTGGAAGAGAGATATGCTTGAGGAGAGGAACCTTGCTGGCAGAGTTGAGCGGGAGAGATCAGAACTCTTGGTACTCTCTGCAGAGAAAGATGAATCGTAGAGATTCTGAATCAGGATTTAAGGTCATCTATGAGAGATCTGCAACGACGCTACAGCCCCTGCCTTCTCGTGTTCCTCCAGGAAACAAGAGGACTAAAAAAGAAAATGCAGGCCTAAAATGCAGACCTATAATTCCACGGGCGTCCTTATCTCAATAGACTCCACGAGAAAGGCGAGAGACAAACACGGGATAAGCCATAACTTTCCTACGGGGACAAGCTATTCGAAAATACCTTCATCATCACGCTTCTGACGAAGGGAACAAAAGACAGACGTTCTTCTTACCTATTCCTTTTCATCTGATGGCACAAACGCTCCTGGATTCAACTCAAATTCCTTGAAATCAGCCGAGAAGGCTTCGACGCGGCAGCTCCGCCTCCTCGTCGGCGATCAGCAAGAACGACAGGGCGAGGGAGAGTACAGAGAAAAAGGAAAAGCCGCGGCAATCGGCGATGAGGAGATATCGCGTAAGAAAGGAGAATGCGGCAGCATCGGCGAAGAAGCGAGCGAGCCGGCAAAAAGGGAGGACTCCCGGAAGCTTTAATAACGGAGCAATGGTGATCAATGGCTTCTCTGAGACGGTTTCCCTGTGACCACCACCACATGGTAGATGAGAGAGAGAGAGCGAGCGAGCTAGAGAGAGAGGGAGAGAGCAAGCAAGCGAACGAGAGAGAGAGAGAGAGAGAGAGAGAGAAGAGCAAGCAAGCGAGAGAGAAACAGAGAGAGAAAGACTCAGCTTGTTCTTGAGCTCTCTGTCTCTCTCTCTCTCTAGGATGAGAGGGGCGGTGACGGGACATTACCCAGGGGGCTGATCACTTTGTGTTCTTCCACTTTACTCCGTGGATGAACCCACCCACTCCGACCATACGATTACCGGAGGTGACGGCAAGCAAACGCCAACGGTCCAGGTCACGTGTCCCCCGTGCCGCGCTTATAATGTCGTACATATTCTAAGAATTCGACCGGGAAAGCAGAAAACCAGAGCTCCAATAAAGAAAGAGAGAAGAGGTAGAGAGAGATAGCGGTGTATCCGATAGGAAAGAGAGAGAGGGAGAGAGATAGAGAGAGAGAGAGAGAGAAAGGGAGAGGGAAACACAGAGAGAGGGAGAGAGAGGAGGGTTAGAGAGAGAGAGAGAGGGAGGGAGATGGACCAGGTCGTTAGCACATTGGCCCGCGGGTAACTAACTGGCGTCACGGGTCCCCGTGGGGAAGGGGCGCCCCGAGCAATAGTGTAGCGTGCATCGCAGTGAAATTACCGACCACTCCAACATATTCATTCAGTGGGCGGGTGGATGACATGACGTCAGTGTCGGAACCGGCGCGACGACTCAGTGGCCCGTTGCTTGAGGAAAACGGTTGTCTAGCATTTTCCCAGATACACCCCTCTAAAAGTCGAGAACTTAAAGCATTACCAAGAGAGAAGGCATATTTAACTACATCAGGAGAGTCTACTCTGGACTATTTATACGAAGCTTGTGGAGCATTCCAACACCCGGGAGGTTCGTTGACTTGAGGGTTGTGTGTGGTAAGGACGATGGGGAAGGGTTGGGAGGGTTGAGGGCTTCTATGAAGAAGCTTGCTTCGGTTGCTAGTAAATATGGAGACTTTTTCAGTGAAAAGTTGCTAAAAAATCCACAATAAGTAGCATTTACATTATCGTTTGATTGAATGGGTAGAAAGACATTGAGCTTTAGGGCATTTTGTTTGACCATTTGGTTACTCAATTAGTTTATACATCTTCAATGTTAGTAGTGTAGGAGTAAAGTCAACGAGCTCAAAGATGATTTTTATAACTATGATGTGTGTGGGAAACCTGGTCAAATGTCTTTATGCTACAGACACAATACAATAAAAAAATGGGAATAAAATTAGAGTAGATTCAAGCTTCATAATGGAGTTGTTGAGGTTTTTTTGAGTCACAATGCAAGGCATTTTCAAGGTTTGACATGCCATTTTTATGAAGAAAACTTGAGGAGGCTTAAAATTTTATTTTCAAACTTCCCAATGGAAGATATAGTGTTGGAAGCACCTCGATTTCTTCATCAAAGATTGACAAATCTCCAAAAATCATTTATTTACCTTTATCTTGGGTAAGAGAATGTGGGTTGACACTTTCATTTTAACATGTTTTCATGATGCAAGTAATTCAGTGGTTAATTCTGAACTCTTGATTCATGATGTGAATCTGCCCTAGGCGAGCTGACTTATACGTTGGCTAAGCTAATCAAATTATTTAAATTTTTAGATGAATATAATATGTCAAGTTGACAAAAAAACTATGCATTATTTGATTCTAGGATGGTTGTATTTCATTCCATCACTTAACTTTGTTGTTGAGATTCGTATCTGGTCTTTAGTTCCTTATAAGCATGCCAATAGACACTCATTGTTATTTTTTTGAGTTAATTATCACATGGAGATCTGTTTCAAGGCTCAATGAAATAACTTCCCTTGACTGTCACTTGGCTGATTCATTTACCTTACTCAAGGGACTAAATCTTGTTATAAAAACTAACTATCTGTTTTTGTTGTATCACAAGATGTAGATTTTTGGATGTCTTATTGATGCTCCTTTTGCGCCTTCAAAGAATGAATTAATAATAAACATTTTTTATGAGAAAGCTATGAGCATATTATGTTCCTGTTGGGATGTAAATGATATGCAACTTACTTACTATAAAGAGTTGAAAAAAGAAATATCTCAACTCAAGGAGACTAAATCAGATGACTTGGTTCATAAATTAGAACAATTGACGATGCACCTAAGGAAGTGAATTGGAGACATAATCTCAAAGTAAGTTAAACCAAATAAGCTAAAGATTCTAGTGAGTTTCCACTCAATGAACTTTTGGCTTCATTTAGATTATATGATTTGAAAAATAAAGGTATCAATGAAAAGACAAGAAAAAGGAAAATTCAGAGTAAGGCTTCCACTAGATGGTTGTTTGGTATAACCAGCCTCCATTTTTTTTCTAAAACAATCAACCTAGTTAGTTTGCTGAAAGTCATTTATTGAAAAGTGATAACAACTACTTTATTTAGATGAAGGAATGCTATATTTATTTTGAAGCTATTTTCGGAACAAGGAATGATTTTATTCCTGCAGCTCAAACAATATATGGGATACAATACGGTCCATAAAGGACAGTGAGAAAACGGAAGACACAACTACGAAAATAACTGGTCGTGGAACTCTCATAATACACAAATCAAAGATATTTTCTCTCATCTATTTAACCAAAAATTGGAAAAATTATAATTTTGTCAAATATTTTTCTGTTGGGACTGTATTTCGAATCCTATACATTTTTCTCTGTAGAATATCCTTAGATAATGCATAATGTGCTATCTAAACTAATTGATTATTTCAACAAAGCTTTTAATATTGAGAGTTTTTCGAGCATTCTAATCATGGATAAAGTACTTGTTTTACTAACTTTGCTTTCATTATTTTCCTAATTTTTTCACCCATCTGTTTTGATACCCAGTAACCATATACTAACCGGTGTTGCCTAGAATTTCAAATTTCATTTACAATGCTCCAAGGTATCAATACATTGTATTTCGTTAATAAAAGTCCCCGAGTAATTAATTTCCCACAACGAGCCTGATTTCCTTCTAAAATTCTGGGACCAACGTGTTGAGAACCCTGTTAAGTTATTGATATTTTTTCTTTGACTTTAAATCTTGGGGTTATTCATTGACCAAGAATTGGCAGGTTGCTTCCTTTTTTCTTTTGCCGAAACCTCAGTTCAGGCTTCTTGGTTCTGGTCACTCCACTCTAATCTTTCCCATACACAAGCACTTGGGCCCTCGTCCTTTTGTCCTCGTCAGAAACTATGTACATTCTTTGCGATCCCCTCCTCTCTCATATTTTTACAATATACTCTTAAAAAATATTGAAAATAACACTCATGTACTTGAGCCATTATGAAGAAAACGGTATAGAATTACGTCACCATTTTTCCTATACATGTCGATACAATGCATTATATCCTTTATGATCGTCACGGTCATTCATGAGCCATATTTAGCCAATTGTATCTTCTGAAAGCATTCTCCTATGTCCTCACCACCACAAGGAATGACTTATCTTTTAATCTCTCCGATGTTTACAATAAAAGCATTTTAATTGGATGGAATCCTGCTGGCAGAGGGACATCTGAATTCAGATGGACTCCAATCATTTATCGCTATTCTTTCCAATTGCCATTTATAGGACCTTTTTTAGTGGGAACCTTGTTCCTATTGGCAGGCACATATGTTCGTTCTATATCCTGATCACTCTGAACTAAGGCGGGAGATCCTCTTTCTATATTTTTAGAAAACATGTAGTCAAATTTTGATTAAGAAAAGAAAAGCTGCAGTCTCTTTGTTTGTGAAATCAAATAAATAGTGGAGAGCGAGCTCTTGGTCAGTGACATTTGTTGAGTGGTTCCAGGGACGGTCTTTCAGGTTCTTGAGGAGATTCAAATAACGAAATGGTAAGTTGACATAAATTTTATACTGAACTCTCTGTACTAAAGTTTTATTTGTATTGCAATCTATTTTTACGCAAGTTTCAAAGAAAGAGAATACTATTTGTAGAGTTGACGCCGATTTTCACAGCTTTAAACGTCAGTCAAAGAGTCATAAACGATATGCCAATACTTTATTTACATGTTTCACCAATCTACGTAAGAAAGGAGAACTATGCGCGAGACAAATGCGATATACCCATATTTTTAGCCTGAAATAGGTATTTCTAATGGCACGATTAAGGAATCATTCAAGGCTTGCTAGTAGCCACTTCTGGGGGAAAAGGATATAAAGAATATTGTGGCCCAAACAAGTAATTGTCTCAAGTGCATATTTAAAGGTTCCTCTCCACCATTAAAACTTATATTTATTCTTAACAAAGCTCCCCTTGCACTTAGATTTTCTCTTTCTCCTTGCTAGACAATAAGTTACTAATTTTACTCTCTTTGCTTTTGTGATGATGTGAAAGCAAGATACTAAAGCTTAAGTATTTATGTAAGGCTTTGATTAGCTTCTCTTACTTAGTGTCACGTAGTCTGAGGAGGCTACCATCTCCGTTGGTCCTTGAACAAAAATGGCGCATTCCACAAGTAGCGTCGGTGAAGTAACGCTTGGTATCTTCAGCCAGGCCTAGTGTAGAAACGTCTCCTGTTTGTCCTAACATCAAACGATAGTGACTAGCGTTATAGGTCGTTGGGCGGCCGGAAGGTTGCCATGAGTAAGGTTGGGGGGCCGAAGGCAGTTTTCCGTGTACCGGACACGTCCCTAACAAGTCTGGACGTCCTAAGGTCGTGGTCATTGACATTATGTAATATGGAAATTATGGTTCTTAAAGTGGTAAAGTTTACTGAACAGTTTTTTCTTATAGTCTAGTTTCATTTTTTTCACAAAACTGACGGAAATGCTAAAGAACCAACTCGTAGAGTCTTGTCAAGCTTGTCTTCGACTGGTCAGAAGCGTAGGATATGTAAGTTGGACATTATGCGAGGAGAAGTGTCCACCCAATAATCCCTTCACGCTTGACTTTTAGGTCCTTGTGTGCGTAGGACCTTAGGACTAATAAAATAATATATCAAGGAAAATTTATCCCACTTATGAATGTTCTTATTGAAATATCCAACCTTCTATTTCTAAATATTGATACAGATTCATAATGTTGAACTAGATAACCAGGTTGTTCAGAATATAGCATCGTGCAATAATACATAAAAATGTTCCTGGATTTCTTCCAACGGAACATTTTCCAAAAACAATCATGTACTCGGGGTATGAAATTATCTTGTCCAATAGTAACCTTAAAGCCAACTTATGAGTTTAAGTCATATAACTTCATTTATTTATTTCATCAGCGTCATTATGCTGTAGGCAACGAGCTTTGTTACTTTGTGCGAAGCAAGACCCTTGAATAGTTAGGCCTGAAAGAGGTTCCAGGCCACCGTTCGTCAGAGAGAGGGAGAGGGAGAGGGAGAGAGAGAGAGGTTCGGCAAAGAAGTCCAAGGTTTCCCATTGTGGTACCCAGAATAACAAGTATCAGTGTAGTATAAGTTACCAAAGGATAGACCTCGTTTGGAAGGCTCTGCAAGGCACGATAGAATTTTTTAGTTTCGATCGAAATCAACTTGAAAACCGAATTTAGGAGTACGAGATGCGTATAAAACAAGTCCACCAATCTAGTCCGCTTTTGCACCTAGTTATCTGGTCAAGCTCATTGTCTGCAGATTTTTTCTACGGACAAATCAGTCCGTAGATGAGACGAGGCCTGAGCCGTTGAAAAGAAAGTGGCATATGAACTGTGCCTTCTTCAAGGAGCCTTCGAGTAGATCCTCATGTGCTGCCTTGTCTAAGTGTTGTCATGGCGCATCCCGCGGGCGACAGGAAATCGCGACAGTTCTGATGCACCGTAAAAATAGTAAAAGCAGTCGCCTAAGAGTTATGAGGTAGTAAATTTCCCTCGTAATTCAAAGGCTCAATTGTTGAGAATGACATATTTGAGGCGTTAGGAGGTAGATCTAATGGAAAAAATACTCAAAACATTGGAAAATCTCCTTACCATTGAATTGTCTCTCAGATTGTGATGAACAAGTACCCTTAAAGGATTCCCCGCATAATCAAGCAGCATTCATGGAGAATAGGATGCGTAAAGTATGTTCCAAAGTGGCGGCCAGCTTAGGCACAAACTCTGACGTCAGAATAACGTTTTTTTGACAAATTTGTAGACTTCTCTTTATTTATCTACTTCCCTACATATGTTGAGTTAATTTCAAATAGAAATTAATCTCGACATAAGCAATGGCTTTAAAAACTGACAAAAAATTGCTTTTGTATTTAATTTCCTTCAGTGTATTTCTTGTAACATAGATACCACACAACCTTTTATGGTAATACTCCTCTATATTTTTGCATTTATAAAAATTTAAATGAGTTTCATTCCTTTGAACGGTAAAAGGATTGGAAGGTTAGAGTATTCATCCTTGCTTAAAATTTAAAATTGACTTAACTGGACACAAAACTGGTACTGGTTAATTGTGCTCTCCGTAGAAATTATAAATAATTGATGAGGTTTCTTCTAAGTGTAGTGTAATAAATGACAACCGAATGGGGGACTTGGGAAATTTATAAAGCTTCTATATTTATTTTAAATCATTTTGGTTTTTTAGTCTAAGGGAGGACGCTGGTGAAAAGTACTGAGGAACATTATTCACTAGTGTTGGCTGGCCCTATACCAAGGCTTATTATTTCCCTGAAGGGAAGGACCCAATGCCAGTAGGATTTCCAATGGGCTTGAGTTGTTATGAAGATGGACCCAATAGGCCTGGGATTCTCTCGTCCTCATGTTCCTAATGATCCAAGAATTATAGTAGTTGCGATAAGCCACATATTTCATAGCATCCAAACCCTTCACTTTGTTAGGTATAAACTGGGTAAGAAGCATTATGACTTGAAGAAATATTGAAGAATTGAGCTTGCTTAGGACACTGGTCATTATTTTACCTGCGACGCAGTGGGAGATTGTTCTAGTTTGGAAGAGAGGCTTTACTCACTTTGTTGAAAGGTGAGAAACTTTGGCTTCCTTCTCTAAATCCCAATGACTTACCCAAAAGTGGAAAAAAACTTTAGGTCATCAAATCTGATAAATACGAGATCTAACAATCGGTGAATCATGTTTGATATGACTCTTATTAATATGTCAATATTTTAAGAACCTATTCACAGATATAAACTATTAGCAAAATTTATCTATTGGATTGACTAAATAGCATGCAACTACCATCGAGGTTGCTTTTAGCTGAGCCTTGCTTCATATGGACGAAAAAAAGAGCTCTTATTCGACAATGTTCTGCATTATCCTATAGAGTATGCACGTCATCCTTGAATGCTACGGACTTGATTCTGTCTGGGAATACTTTCCACAGGTTCTAATCCCCGAAAACATTGAATCTAACAAGCCGACGGAATATTCACATTACTGACTCCTCTCATGGTCAACCCCATACGACGGCGTAACATAATGAGTCAATCGCGATTTAATTTATTTATATGACAACATAACTTTGCAAGCAACAACCCATTTTTCAGATTCTGCAGTGAGAAGAACTTTTTCAACTACGCGATGAGATTGAAGGCCGTGAGCTCCCGGTAGTTCTTCCAAACCGTCTCGTACACAACGGCCAAGTAGAGGGATTCCACACCACTGTCCCCCTCGACGCCAATCACCAGTTGGTAGATCATTCCGTTCACGACCTATTGCTGCGAATGGGCACTAGCAAGGGAAGGAGGACATTTTGAGAGTGAGTTGCCATGGTTTGTCTTTTCTTCTTTTCTGCAGTAAATAGAATGGCAGTGACAGTGATGAGAGTGGAAGATCGAGCGGCCATTCTTTATAAAGGAGGTGATCCGACAGAGGTCAAGGTAGACAACGAGAAATGGCGGGCTAAGGTTTTGGCCGGATGTTATATCACCGCACACGAAATGTACTTAAAGCTTTACCGGTATAGTATAGTTTCGCTGCGAACGGAGATTCTGTACGCTGGCTTTTCGTTCTGGATTGTTAATCACCCTGGTATTTGAGGATTTGCTTTTAAACTGAAGACTTGGTCTTGGTGTAGGGGTCACCGATTGGAAAGCGCGGAGTTCTAAGCTGAAAATGACCGGTGGCTAGAAAATATATAATTTATACATCATATACATCCGTCCGGAGACGACCTTTGCTGCAGTCACCTTCGGACGATAATCGATGGAGACCTCTCTCGTTGAATTAACTTTGGCTTTTGCGTTGGAGGTCAGTCACAGAGCATCTTATGAAGACTTACACAGAAGTCTTTGCTTGAAGAATATACTAAATTCGACTGGCCTTATCCTTGTCCAGCCAGGCATAGTCGTCGGCCATCCTTGTCCAACATTGGGTTGGTTTGAGACTTCAGCGCTTCAGGACAAAGAATTCCTTTTTCAAACGAAGGGTTACCCCGGTTTTTCAATTCAGACTGTCATTTAGAAGGTAGGGGAAAACCCACAGAACGGAGAGAGAGAGAGAGAGAGAGAGAGAGAGAGAGAGAGAGAGAGAGAGAGAGAGAGAAGGGCTGCCGTGTTTAGTCGATCAGGTGTCACGGACGCCATGGGTTTATGTATTAAAAATATATTAGGTAGTTACCACCACACAATCTAGCGTGTCTGGCTTCGTCTGATTCCGACACAGGTTCGATGTGTGTTTTGTCTGTAAGTCCTGGCTCTACAGGATTGGGAACACTTTGTACTGTCCTCTGAGGTTCATTTATTCATCTGATAAATAAGTTCGCAGGAAGCCACCCCATTTATCAGATACAGCAGCAGGAAGAACCTAGTGAATTACGCGATGATATTGAAGGCCGTGAGATCCCGGTAGTGCATCCAAGCATTCTCGTAGACAACGGCCAAGTAGAGGTCTTCCGCACCGCTGTTCCCATCGGCGCCAATCACCAGCCGGTAGTCACTCCCCTTCATCACCAGTTGCTGCCCACCAAGGACGCGAGTCAAGGACAGCGTCTCACCAGATTCTTTATTGTGCTGCCTTACGGCGAACATGGCGAGAGCCTGGATGTGGGGATCATCGGGGTTGTCGATAGGCTCGTACTTGGCCGGGATCATCGCTGCGCCGCCGTTGGGGAAGATTAGAAGAATAGTCATTAGCAAGGGAAGGAGAAGGGCATTTTGAGAGTGAGTTGCCATGATTTGTCTTTTAGTCTCTTTTCTGGAGTGCATAGAAAGGCAGAGACAGTGATGAGAGTGGGAGATTGACGTCCCATTCTATATAAAGAAGGAGATCGGACGGAGGAAGTCCTGGTTTTGGTGTCGTAGAAAAATGGAATTGGCAGACAAAGGTTTTGACCCGATGTTAAATCACCGTGTTCGTGACGTCGGAAGAGTTTTAGCAGTATAGAATAGTTTGGTCGGAACCCGCGGTTCTCCACTCTGACTTTTCGTCCTGGTTTGTTAATCAGCCTGGTATTTGAGGATTTGCTTTTAAGCTGAAAGATTGGTGGAGGAGGGTTCACCATTTGGAAACCACGGACGACTAAGTTGAAAGTTACCAACGGCTACAAAGTTTTAAAGTGGATATTTCACATTTATTCCTCATTGATGTTTCCATCGAGTCTAGAGCGTGATAAATCCGATTTTTTATAATTGAATAAATGTGTAAAAATGAAAAGAATATATACTAAACCGTAAAGTATACAATGTGTCAGAGTAAATTTGAATCTATTTTTTAATTGAGTTAACGAAAGCTTAGGTAAGTCGTCTCTTTATAAAAACTAGGTTTGAAAGAACATCCAAAAAACTTTGTCACCGGGGTTAAAAAAAATGATTTTCTTTAAACTGATAAAGATTTCGCCTTCAGAAAACAATTTATACATGTCATAATCCGTCTGAAGAGGCCTTTAGCTCCAGTCACTCTGAAATGAGGATCTATGGAAGCCCATCGTTGGATTGACATTAGCTTTTGGGTTGGATAAGACGTCACCCACAGAGCTCCTTACAAAGACGTATATGGAAGTCTTTGCCCGAAGAATAGACCAAACTGCTCGGCCAGCAACAGATATTCGTCAGCATTTCAGTGACCATACCCGTCATCGCATATTTTCCTTCTGCTGAAGTCATTTTCTAGTGGCTTCCTTCCAAAAGGATCATGTCCACAACTATGATCCGGTTTTCCGTACATTGGGTAGGTCAAGCCGAGGTCTTCTAACATATTTTTGAAAAGAGTCCATTATTAACTCTCTTTATTGTAAATGTGTGCGAAAAATAGTTTATTTGCATCTGTCTTCTCGTATGGAACGAGTGAAGGGTGAGAGTTATGTTGAGTATCAGATCCAATGGAGCCCAAGGTTCCGGCTAGATGAACGTAGAAAGTCGGTGAGACATGTGCGTTCCTTAGGTCGGATTGATGCTTTAAAACCTAAAACCGGGGTCACAAACGCCTGAAAATATCACGCCCAGGTCTATGATCTGGTCCCCTTTGGCTGGGTGAACCCAAGGTGCTATAATTTTCACATAATCGTCGTCACACCCACTCCCATACGCGATATCCGAGCTGAACGAGGATCATACGCGGAGGAGATACTCCGCGTCCGTCACTATGGCGACGGTCGTCAACAATAGTTCAAACTAACGAGCAAAAGTCTCTGTGTGCTTATTTTACCCTCAGACGCACACTAAAACAAATGGAACCGGTAGTCGGGGCGACGGGGGGCCAGCGACGTCGAGGACCACTACTTGCCCGTGGTATACGAGAAGCGGTGGAAGAAAGTCATGGAACTATCAGCGTCTGAACTAATCGCTTAATTGGCCTGGTTCCCCCGTTGTTTCTGTGCCTGATGAATGCTTAAGTTACCTCCGAAGACGAAATCGGTCAGAAACGAACAAAAAAGTTATCTGACGTTAGACCCACGGGATGCGCCATGACCCAGTTTAGAGAACAAGAAACGTACCCGGAATTCTTGTTGTCTTTCGGCAGCCACAACACAAGAAGATCTGCCCTGTGACTCTGTAAGGACACGGCCCATATGCAGTTCTCGTGTCTAATGCGGCTCAGGCACTACGCCATCTGTAACTTATTTGCCCTCAGCACAATAAACTTTGGGTAAATTTTGTCATGGAGCGCCAATTGACCGAACTTTTTCATTGCATTCTAAACTCAAAGAGCTTTTCATTAATTGATAGTTATCTGAGAAAACATTTGAAACAGATTGTCAACGGTTTGAACTGAGACATTATTTTTACAATTTTGATCAATACACTTGCTCGCACGTTCTTTTATTGGTAAGCATTGAGTAGATTAAAAAAGAATTAATTTTTGTAGGAAAAAAGCGGGATGTCAGCATTCTTACCACTGCACGAAAAACTGCCCATCTACTGCCAAATCTCTGTGTTGCGCTTATCCCTCCTTTTCTTGACAGTTCTACCCACCATTCGCCACCTAGCCTGGGGCTAGCGTAATTGGGAATTTTCGGATTTCTAAGACAGAGGACAAGGTATGGGCTTTCTTCCATTGCACTGTTGGTAAGAGCTTGACGAAAGAAATTCGTCGCCGCGAAATCGACTTGGAAAGGAAATGGACCTGTCTGAGTTGTTTTATTAACGAGATGGTGAATAGGTTACGTAGGGATTCGGCCGTGTGGGATCCATTGCAGCGCATACGACAAGAACACTTGAATCGACGTTTCGGTTTTTTCAAGGAGAAATTGCCTTCTCAAGGTACGTCACCATTCATCACATCGACAAGGCAGGCTAATTTTAGGCGTAGAGGAATGGCGTTTTCCAAGGCCTCTCCCATACAAAGGCGAACGGGAGGTCCTCCAAAACGATGTCTGCGGCTGCGCCGATGAATTACTAGCGCTTCCTACCATAATTCTTCTGGTGTGAACCCTCACGGCGATTTTTTCGAGGGGCCGGAATTTGAAACCATACCAGAAATCGAGAGACCTGAGAACCTCGGTGTGCATCGTTTTTTGAGGTGATTTTCAAACTAAGGAATAAAAATCTGTGTGCTGAGCCCATGTTCTTATTTGAACAAATGAAAAATATTCTTCGGTCTCGACGATTCTTTCGTTGGGCATTATATGCGATCCGATCAGCATGTTTCAGCGGTCGATTTCTTGTGGGCCTCATTGCCAAACCTTGACCTTCTCCTGAGTTTTTTACCTTCCCGTTTGTATTGAATGGCTTGAGCATATCTCTCTGTCATCATTTACTCTCTCTGCAACAACCATCCAGACAGAAAACGAAAGATTGAAGCCATGAGAAGTCCCACTGATCCTCTACTCCTCCTCTCGCCCGTATTCGCAATTCTTCTGATTTTCCCCAACGGTGGTGGTGCGGCCTCGCGCAAACCCATGTTCTACGGCGCGATCCTGAGGATGCGCACATTCAGGCTCTCGCAAAGTACTCCGTGAGGCAGCACAAGGAGTGATGGACTGACTGATTGAGCCAATCAACTCCTCATCTCAAGTCAACTCAATGGAGCCAACTCAAGAACATGATCAACTTCAAGTGGAATTTCCTCCAGCATCAAGACCCTTCCTCCCAAGAAGGTCAGCCCGAATTAGGGCCCACCCTAATGTGAGGATCAACTTGATTCAAGTCAACCGGCGGCTGCCACCCTTGGTGGATCCCAAGTGAAACCCTGGGTCAACCCCAATTGGATCCCATAGGACCAACAAGAGGATTCACCCTATCCAATGGACCGCAGAAGAAGAAGAAGAAGAAGAAGAGCCCATGGAGGAAGGCCCATTATTCAATGGGTCCATAGGAGAAGGATAAGGCGCGCCCCACCAAGAGACCACCTCAAACCAAGAGCTTTCTCTAACCGCCCAACTACATTCTCTTTCCTTCATCTCGGCTCCTCATTTCTTGGATCTCTCCTCTTTCTATCTCTTATAAATTGAAGATGGAATGCCATCCTCTCTAGTTCTCTCCCTCTCTCTCTCTCTCTCTCTCTCGCTCTCATTCTCTCCCTTCCTCTCTCGCTCTCTCCCTCTCTCTCTCTCTCTCTCTCTCGTTCTCTCCCATTCTTTCTCGTTCTTTCCCTCTCTCTCTCGCTCTCTCCATCTCTCTCTCGTTCTTTCCCTCTCTCTCTCACTCGCTTCATCTCTCTCTCGTTCTATCCCTTTCACTCTCTCTTGCCTCCTCTCCCTCTCTCTTTTCCGTCTCTCCCTTTCTCTCTCATTCTCTCTCTCTTACTCCCGTTCTCTCCCTTCTTCTACCGACTTCTTCCTTCTTCTCCTCCGCCGGAATCCCTTACCCCTTGGTTCCCTCTACTTCTTCCCCTATTTTCTCCATCTCTCTCTTTCTCTTCTCCCACTTCGTCATCCTTCCAATCCGTCGCCACCGTTTCTGCCTCCTCGCCATCCGCCTCGTCGCCGCCATCCCTTCTCCTCACCGTGCGTCCCATTGTCGCTGTTCGGCCTCCTCGCCGTCCGACTCGTTGCCGCCGTTCCGTCTCCTCACCGTCCGCCTCGTCGCCACCATCCCGCCTCCTCATCGTCCGTCCCGTCACCATCGTGCCGCCTCCTCACAGTCCATCCGTCACCACCTTTCACCTCCTCCACGTCTACCTTGTCGCCGCCATCCCGCCGTCTCACCGTCCACCATGCCGCAAAGCCCTGTCCTTCTCTCTCCCGCCGTCGCCTCGGAGCCTCCCTCTTCTCTCTCGCGCCGTCGCTACGAGAACCTCCCTTTTTTTGGCTCTCCCGTTGACGCCCCTCCCTTCGCCCCTTTTGTCTCTCCGCCATTTATTATTTATTTATTCACACCCCGTCTTAGTTCGTGCCCCTTCAAATTTCAAGGATTTTCAAGATTTTTTTCCTTGACTAAGGTACGTTGAGCCTTCTCCTTTTGTGAAATTTGGTCCATTCAAAAGTCATTGCGCTTAGAACTTTGTGTGGTTCATAGGATAGCCACTCTTTACATTTTGATGATCCTAAACGCGGTTCTAACCATCTATGATTTCTTGAATTAAGTCTCCTCCTAAAGGGTAATTAAACGATCCTCTCATCTGAATTGTGGAATTAATCTCATCTTAAATCTTACTTCTGGAATTCGATCCAAGTTCAATTTCTAACCACTTCTCAGATTTCCTAAGAATAAGAGAAATCCATCTTAGATAGTCTCCATCCTCTTACGCGGTCCCACACAAGGAGTCCGGCGAGTCACTGTCCCTGGCTCGCATC